AACCCGGGTCTTCGCCCGGAGGCAACCCGGGGCTTCGCCCAGAGGCAACCCGGGGCTCTGCCCAGTGGCAACCCGGGGCTCTGCCCTGTGGCAACCCGGGGCTCTGCCCTGTGGCAACCCGGGGCTCTGCCCTGTGGCAACCCGGGGCTCTGCCCTGTGGCAACCCGGGGCTCTGCCCTGTGGCAACCCGCATATTAATCATCAGGTAAACCTGACGATTAATATGCGGGTTGCAGATAAATTGAAGTGTAATAAACGATCTTTTATTTCTGTAATTGAAATCTTGAATATTTGATTGAAAGTACTTTATAATATTTTTTAGTTTTGCATTTTGTCCTAACATTTTTATCAATGTAAACCTTGATGATTAAGAAGGGAGTAGCTTTAAATTGTTATAATAAGCTGTTTTATATCTCATAAATTAAATTCTTTATGAATTGATTGAAGTTTAAAAATATTAAAAATAAAAATTGCATTATGGGCATGAGTTTTTATCTATGAAAACTGCTGTTTTGAAGAATCATTTTATTATATTAGATAGAATTGATTATGTATTTTGCAAAACAAAAACTTTGATTTACCGACATCGAATTTTGTTAAATTAGATGTGATTTTAAATAGAATATGCTAGTAACTACTGTATTACTCTAAATTAAACCAAATTACAAATAGAATAATTGATTCTATTATTGATTCAAATATTGATTTATTTATTTATTCATTTATTCATTAATTCATTGATTTAATCATGTATTCTAATCTTTCAAAGACATGTATTAATATATTTATTAAGTTTTAATTGATAAATACTTTTATATTCATTCTTTTGAATTAATTCATTTATTAATCATAGATTCCAAAGTGAATGAATCATATCAAGTCATGTGAATCGAATAAATAAAATAAACATTTATTATTTTAAAGCTGAAACTATATACATTTTTAATCACCACTATTTACAATTGTCATTGATATCTTGAGATCTGCACGAAATGTTATTGTTTATGCGTTGCATTTATAAAATTTCTATTGTCACTAATCTAATAGATAATATTTCCAAATGTTGTTGTTGTAGTTGCTGTCGTTGTTGTTGATATTAAATATATCTTTTTGAATGTCATCTTCTTTAAATATCTGTTATCTAAATTTATAATTTCCTAATAATAATCAATAATAATAATCAATAAATGTTAGTAAAATTCTATTAATTAATATAAAGTATTATTTCTTATATTACTGTTTATCTATTTGAAGCTATTTAAAGATGATTGGCGTCTATTATTGTAATCCAAATGTAAATGATTTGAAACATTCGATCTCGCTTGTTCGATAGTGACCATATCTTCTTGTAAGATGGTAGTGGCTGCATTAACTTTGATCAAAGTGTTGGTGTATGTTTCACCTAATAGGTAAGCAAATAAGCTTTAGAACAACAAGTTGTACTTGATCAATATCATTTTCTATTGCTTGTCGAAATAAAATCTATTTATAAACTAACTTGACTCTCTATATGATTGTGATGTATATTAGATAATTGCAGTATATTTAAAAATGTTTAAAAATATAAATTTACATACCTCAATAGCACACCTTGGCTTTGTGTCGCAGGCCCGTCTCCAACTGTACTTTCATTGGCATCGCTGAACCCTCTGTCTTGATAATCTTGATGATCATACTATTAATTGGTCGTACTTGAAATGCATTACTATTGCAATAGTTCTTTCACTCTGATAGTATCTTTAATCACGTTGATCCTTGTCATGTTTTAGCCAAAGAGTCGAACACTGTATCTATTAATAAATTAAAATTAGTTTGTTAGTTTAGTTTAGCATTATAGGAATGATCATTATCTCAATATTACTCTTCAATATGTATCTTTTTAGAACAAAAGTAAAGTTGGCAACAATATAATAGACTTATAATACTGAAATCATTGAATGAGCTTACATTTGAATTGAATCTTATAACTCATTACTTTCTTATATAATTACTATATTCTAAAGCTGTAACATCTTTTAAAATTATTAAATAAATAAATATTGATATTATTATACTATTGATAAATATATCTTAAGATCTATAAAATGAAAAAAAAAAAAAAACAATTCAGTGACCATAAACACTGAACATCAAAAGTATTATTTTTTTATTTTAATTGTTAACAACAAATTACAATCATTTATCATTTAACTATAGCTTTAAAAAACAAAAATTAGCATATTTTTTATATTTACCACTATTATCATGCAAACTCTTGTAAAGATAATTTAAAAGGTTAGTTAACTTTTATTCTTATTTAATCTACACTCTAACTTTACTGTTTTTTATTCAATATTATATCGATTTAACTTGTTTATAGACAAAATACAATATTAATCATGATTCAGACAACTTGGATTACCAAATATTTAAACTTTAACATAATTACACACCAACAAAATAATCTTATATCAACTACCTTGAATCACAATTACAATTAACAAAAATAACATAACAGAGAAACCTATACTTTGAGTATACAAACCTATACACTAATGATTTCAAGTTACCGAATGCTCATCACGATTATTCACACTTTCTCTACAATTGAAATTGATTCTCAATTCAAATAGCTCATTTTATTTATTCATTAATTATAATTCGTTTAATCAATCATTCATTAGTTTTCTCATTCATTGAGATATATTTATTTATTTATTCATAAATCCTATAAATTATATATAATTTCAATAAATTAAATACTATCATTTATTAATTGATTTACTAATATTTTTAAACTTTAGTGATATTGCAAAGTAAAAGCATCTCAATCCTCAAAATCATGATAAAATAAAAAAAAACATGATTTTTTTGATGAAAATCATGAAAAACACACATTCGTAAAAATGATTATATTTATGTAGTTAAGAATTACAATTATTATTATTATTATTGGTATAGTTATTGTTATTATCATTATTATTATTATTGGTATAGTTATTGTTATTATCATTATTGTTGTTACTGTTATTGTTGTTATTTGTGGTGGTAGTTGTAGTAGTTGTTGTTGTGGTAGTAGTAGTTGTAGTTGATTTCTTTCTTTGGGAGAGGTAAAACAATAATTCATCATCTGACATTCTATCAAAGACATCAGGCAACACCACCTTGGAAACCACTTTACGTTTCTCCATGACTTCAAAGAGTTCCGATTTCCTCTTTCCAAGGAGTTGTTCTTCTTTGGCTATCTTGTCGAGTTCACCGTGGATCTCCTGGTCTGTAAGCAAACTTATAGCCTTGGCTTGTGGCGCAGACACTTCTTTGGACTGGACACGTGGAAGATTGACTTCTAATTGGTTTTTAAATAAGAAGTAGTTTTTGTGTTGCTTGGCCTGTTCCTTCACCGTAGGAATGATCAACATCGGAGTTGGAAACGGGTTGCTTGCCGAGCCAACCGGTGGTACAACGTTGACTTCATTCATAATTCTATAGACAAAATAATTCTTTCATTTCCTGGGAAGCGGTATTATGAGACTCTGGCTTCTGACAACCATGGCCGTTGCATGTTAAGGGACACTTATGAGAAACCCGGTATCTCATATCCAGTTTGTCCTGGCCTTTAGGTTTTCTTTGATGGCACAAAGAACAAACAACACCAGTACAGTTTGCAGCCTCTGGGTTGAACGCCACTAAAGCGGGAACACTGGTCTCTGCTTTGAGCGAAGTGGAGGCTAACTGCACATACACAGACAGCAGCGTTACATCACCATTTGGTTGGAAACCGGCGGCAAGTGGATTTGGTGGAGCTTGGAGACCGGCTACTTGATTTGGTTGAGCTTGGGCACCGACTACTGGATTTGGTTGAGCTTGGGCACCGACTACTGGATTTGGTGGAGCTTGGGCACCGACTACTGGATTTGGTTGAGCTTGGGCACCGACTACTGGATTTGGTTGAGCTTGGGCACCGGCTACTGGATTTGGTGGAGCTTGGAGACCGGCCTTGTTTGATGGTCTACCCCTAGTTCTCTTCATTGCTTGAGATGGAGCTGTATCATCGGTAGGAACTGTTGGTGGTTGGAGACCTGCAAGTGGATTCACTACAATTTTTTCGTAGTTGTTACGAAGTTTTTACATAGTATTCAACTCAATAAATGCAAAAAAAAAAAAATTTGTATGAAAAAGCATACTACGAATGGGATTCGTTATGCCCTTTTTTACACATTAAATTCGTAGTTGTTACGACAATTTATTTTTTAATGAGAAAAAAAAATGTTAAATAACTTTAAAAAGAACACTTGCAACGATTTTATAGATAATCTATATTATAAATGAGAATATTTATTTTTTTGTTAATCATAATTACTATATTAGTATTTATTCAGAAGATAAAGCTTTTAAATGTAAACATACCAATATTGCATTCATAGACATGTCTCGTAGTTGAATCTACTATTGCAAAAGATCGTCAATGCATCATCGATCTCTACAATGTCAGTTTCATTTGTCTTTTGTATCTTTTCACCACCTTGTTTGAATTTGATACTGTTTTCAAATGAATTATTGATTATACTATACAATGTTTGTTATTGTAGCTTCCCACCAAGTGCTATATCGACACCATCTATTTTTTTTTTTTTGTTAGTTCACATTCTAAACATCAATTAAATATACACTGGAATGACATACTATTTGATTTAGCAAAGACTTTTTTGTCCATTTTGGAATAACGATGGGCGAACATCAGATGATCGATTATTCTTCTCTCTCTTTGTGTTGTTTGTCTTTGTTGTATTTCAGAAGTTCGAACGATCGTTGTTGTTCTGTGGTTGTAGTTGCTGTAATTTGAGTTGTTGCTGCTGTTGATGTTGATATTGTTGTTGTTGGTTCGTTGGTCGCATTTGTAGTGTTTGTTGGTTTAGTAGCAATATCTGCTGAGAAAGATATTCGATCTCCATATCTTGACTCTCCAAATAACTAATAAATGGATGATTTAAATTAAAAAAACTATTGTTATAGTAATTATTGTTATTATTGTTATTATTATTATTATTATAATTAATATTGTTATTGCTATAAGTGAAGTTATTGTTATTGTTATTGTTAATGTTACTGTTGACTATCTCAAATTAAATAACTATTGTTTGATATTGCTATCAAATCTGCAAATCGATAATAAATAACTATTAATTGACTATCTTAAATTAAATCTTAAATATTATTATTAATTGACTATCTCAAATTAAATAACTATTGTTTGAAATGATCATTTTTTTTTTTTTTTTTGGTTCGAGTCATCAAAATAAATTTTTAAAATTAATGTGGTAAAAATCTCGACAAATTGTAAAAAAATGAAAACCACACTAGCACACCTTAAATTTTTACTATGATCAAAATGCACGTTTCAAAAGTGAAAAACTTTTTTCACACACTGATTTGTGTGGTGCCCATGACAACTACGAAACAATCGTAGTGGAAGAAGCATATATCTGAAACACACCAAGGTACCTGGGGTGGTGATAGATGCAGCCACTTGACCCGAGAGCAACGTCTCAAAGTTGCATCTCTAGTGGTGACCATTGTCAAACACAATCCAACCTACACGGTTGACCAGGTGAGGTTGAAACTTTCGACTGTCGGAGTTTTTATTACCAAAAGGTAAGTCGACTTTATTAATAATTAATAATTAAATTAATAGTCATATATAATTAAACTTTTAATCTTTTTATATATAATTAACATGAAATTTTAGTTATTTGAGAGGTGTAATAAAAGATATGGGCTGGTCTTTTAAGAAGCCCGAGTATAAACAGATCAATAAGTTTACTGATGAGAACATGGTAAGATACACCACACACCTGTATTGGGTGAACACCCACGATTGGAACAAAATGGTTTTCATGGACGAGGTCCATTTTAACTCTAAAGGTATGTGTAAATTCATTTATTATTTAATTTATCTTATAAATATTAATTTAAATACATATTTTTTATTTATTTCTTATTTCTTATTTCTTATTTCTTATTTCTTATTTTAAACTGTAGATTTAAGAAAAAGAAGTGTCTTGGGTCCGAAATCCCAAAGAGTACATGTTTCCACAGACTCTTCATTATCTTTTTCGTTTAGCCTTACTGTTGCCATTAGATTCGACGGCTCCATCTTTGTTTCACCACAACGATCAACCAACGATCAATATAATTGTCTTGACTACATCACTGCCGCCATCGAATCCGATTTCTTGAAAGAAGGAGATGTCTTGATCATGGACAACGCCACAGTTCACTTAGGTGATGATACCCACCCTATCATAGTGGAACGTCTGACCAATGCTGGGGTGGATATACGTTTCTTACCTGCCTATTCGCCAGAATTGAATCCCATTGAGCTAGTTTTTGGCTATGTCAAGAACTATGTCCGTCATCACAGAACTCTGCAGGAGTCAAACCTGGTTGGACTAGTCACCCACGCACTCCAGAAGATCACACCCGTGATTATACAGAACTTCTATATGAAAAGTTGCAGGCCTTGGGATGATTAGCCTCTCGTGCTGCCACAACAATTAACTACAGTAAGTTTAAGTATTAATTAATTGTAAAATTAAAATCTAAAATTTTTTTGCATTAAATACAATTAATTATACTTATACTTACTGTATACAACCAATAATATATAATTAATAACAATAATTAACAATAATAATAATAATTTTAATATTCATGTTTTTCATGATTTTCATTTAAAAAAATCATGTTTTTTTTTATTTTATCATGATTTTGAGGATTGAGATGCTTTTACTTTGCAATATTAGAACAATAAAAATGGGATTTTTGAATTCTTTTGGAATGAAATTTTAAAAAAAAAAGACAATAGTTTTTCTTTGTTAAAAGGGTGGTGTTTAAAAAAAACCGTTTTGTTAAAGTTTGGAAAAAGATAGCTTATGAATGGAAACCGTAGAGTGTACGACCTTGTTTCTTTAGAGCATAGACTACATCCATTGTGGTTAGAGTACGACGATCTGCATGTTCACCATAGGCAACAGAGTCACGAATAACTTTTTCCAAAAATTGACGTAGAACATTATGTACCTCATCATAAATGGGGAAAGAAATACGTTTGACACCACCTCTTCTAGCTAGACGACGAACAGCAGGTTTAGTAATTTCGGTATAGTATCCAGCAAGAACCTTTCTATATCTCTTGGTACCAATTTTAGAGCCTACTTTTCCTCCTTTGCCTTTTCCTGAAGCCATTTCGATTTATTGATTTAAAAGAATATTGAAAAAAAGTTTAAACTTTCTGTTTTTGTAAAATACTTTTGAATTTTGAAATTGATTATTTTTTTTTAGTTTGATGAAGTATTAACATAAACAATCTTTTTATATTCCTTTAAAACCAAAAAAAATTTCAAAAATCCGATCAAAACTCCTCTATTCATATTAAATTGAGAAAATCAAATTCAAACACATCTTTTTTTCATTTTTCTTTCAAACTCAGTCAATGTTTACAAAATCATTTCATTTTTGATATTTAATCGAAATTCTGACTGGGTATTTGGTAATAGGGGCATTAATTTTTTAAATACATTATTTCCAATCAATTTTCCAGTTTTTAATTAATATATGATTTATTTTTCTTGAATCATCTTGTCTGGTAATGAAAATTTCAAATTCTATCATTTGATCTATGGAATTTAAGAGATGAATCAATCTTTGGTTGGCCTGGCATAATATGATAGAAACTATAAATTTATTTCATTTATTAAATATTATTATTTATAATTTCATAACACAATTTGATTTTTAATTTTAAAAATATGAATATTATAAATTTTATTTAAAGATATAATATATGTTGGTTTGTTTTTTTTTTGTTTTTTTTTTGTTTTTTTTTAACATTGTAAATTATCACCTGTTGGAATATTAAGAATTCCACAAATATTTTGATAGTATTGAACACGACTTTGCATTTGTGCAGAGTTGGCACCATTACATTCCAGTCCTCCATTGATAGCTCTGATTGTTTGACCAAATGAATGTTGATAAACCATTGCATAGTGAGGTGTTGTTGATGTAGCACCACTTTGAGTATTCCAATACCATAGAGCGGTCTTCCAAGCAATAGATGAGTCTGTTGCAACCCAATCTGGATTATTTAATAGATCCAATCCAAGTGCATTGCCAGCTGCCGCATAGTTATAATTCCAACTCAATTGAATTGGACCACGACCATAATATTGTTTATCTCCACATGATCCTGTTGAACAATATGAATTCCAATTCGCTTGATTGATTTCACGAATATAAACTAATCCTCCGGTCTCATGATTTACATTTGCTATTGATATGAAGAGTTGATTGTCGATATTAAAGAATTAGAATTGGATAACATATAAATAAATAAAATATACATCTGATCTCTTTGATCTATAGAATAATACATTACCTAAAAATGCCGCTGCTTCTTGTAACATTGTAACATTATCACCGGTAAAAGTAAATGCTGGATAGGCTGGCAAAGCAGAAACCAATCCACTATAGGTATAGAATGGATTTCTATTTGGAAAGATTTGGTTGAATTCCGATTCACTAACGATCCAATATCCTGGATTGTGTGGATTTGGTGGACTTGTGGTATCGGTACCTCCACTACCACCACCTACTTGAACCACACCGTTTTGACAGGTAACCAATGACCAATACCAAGTTGAGATTAAAGGATCAGTTCCATCACTGCCATTTGCACCTATATTAATCAACTTATATAGATTCCCACCTAGCCAAACAACTTGATTAATTTGATAGTTGATATCTCTTTGCCATGTAATAGAATTACAATCACCAGATGAAGCAGTTCCACTTCCACCAGTTGATGAGGATGAAGTTGTACTACCACCATCACAATTTGTTATTTTAGACCAATACCAAGTTGAGATTGAAGGATCGGTACCATCACTGCCATTTAAGCCCACATTTACTACTTTGAAATATTCGCCATTGAATTTTACAATTTGACCATAAGGGTAGTTTATATCTCTATACCAATCAATAGCAACTGAGCCACATGTTGATCCACCAGTAGAGGATGAAGGAGTACCAACTGAAGAACAATCGACTTGTGCCCAATACCATGTAGAGACTGAAGGATCAGTACCATCACTGCCATTAGTTCCTATGTTAACTACCTTGTAACATGCTCCATTAAAAGAAACGACTGTACCTAATGGATAGTTTACACCTCTCTGCCATTGAACTACATTACCAGATGATCCACTAGATGAAGAAGAAGAGCCGGAAGTTGAAGCATAACAATCTACTTGTGCCCAATACCATCCTGAAATAGTTGGATCGGTTCCATCACTGCCATTTGCGCCAGCATTAATAACTTTGTAGCATGCGCCATTCATAGAAACGAATGTACCTAATGGATAGTTTACACCTCTTTGCCATTCAACTGCATTACCAGATGATCCACCAGTGGTTGATGATGATGATGAAGTTGAACTACTTCCAGCAGAACAATCAACTTGAGACCAATACCTATAGTTATTAATAATTATTGGAACAACAAAGGAGGAGGATAAAGGTTAGTAACCGATTAAATAATTTCAACTGTTAATACTTACCATGTCGACACTGTTGGATCGGTTCCATCACTACCATTTGCGCCTACATTAATAACCTTGTAGCATGCGCCATTCATTGAAACCACTTGCCCCATTGGGTAGTTTACACCTCTTTGCCAATCAAATACATTACCATTTGCAGAACCTGTGATTGATGATGAAGAAGATGAAGTTGAACTACCCCCAGCAGAACAATCAACTTGAGACCAATACCAGGTTGATACTGTTGGATCAGTACCATCACTGCCATTGGTGCCAGCATTAATAACCTTGTAGCACGCTCCGTTATGACTTACGATTTGACCTAAAGGATAGTTTACACCGGCTTGCCATGTGACTGTATTACCTGTACCAGCACCAGATGAAGGATTAGTGTTACCACCATTTCCAGAGTTACCATTGCAATCAACTTGAGACCAATACCAAGTGGATACTGTTGGATCAGTACCATCGGATCCATTTGCGCCTACATTCACGACCTTGTAATAAACTCCGTTGAATAAAACCACTTGCCCCATAGAGTAGTTAACACCGTTTTGCCAATCGACTGCATTACAACCTCCAGCTCCGATGACTCCACCGGTTGCTGCTGCTCCTGTGGCGGCTGCGGTTGCTGCTGCTGTTGCTGCTGCTGTTGCTGCTGCGGTTGCTGCTGCTGTTGCTGCTGCTGTTGCTGCTGCTGTGGGTGCTGAACCAGTAGCAACACCACCTGTACTATTGCTATTATTGCATCTTATTTGAGTCCAATACCAAAAAGATACAGCGGGATCAGTTCCCTCGCTGCCATTCCCACCCACGTTTACCAACCTGTAATAGGTACCATATCTTATGACGACTTGACCACGATTATAGTTGATACCAGCTTGCCATTCTACAGCACCTGAACAATCTCCTTGGCCACCTGGTGTGGTTGGAATGGAAGGATCAACAGGATTCAAACCGGTATTTGAAGAGGTTACACAATCGATTCTACTCCAATACCATGGAGATAAGATAGGATCGGTTCCATCACTTCCACCACTCATACCGGTATTGGTCAACTTGTAAAACAAACCTGGGCCACGTCTAACTATTTGATTTCGACTATAATTTTGGCCTGGTTGCCAATCAACGTAATGACAATCACGTGTAGCTGGTGGTGTAGTACCTGCAACTCCATTACCACCAGTATTTTGAACCGGTCTACCAGTTCCGTTACCAACGGGTCTTCCAGAGCCACTACCCCCGACTCCAGCTCCACCACCAGCTCCAAGACCTGATTGTGATAGAGCAGTTGGTAACGATAACAATGTAATAAATATACAAATATATAATAAATAATATCTATTTGATAACATTTCAATATGACTTTATCAACAACAACATTGTTGTTTTTATAGGTTTCGTTCTTCACTGACTTGCACTGTTCACTTCTCGAACTATGTAAAAGTAAATGTGTTGAAAGTGGGGAAGTGGGTGCACCTATTAATTACCACCTTTTCAAATAATAAATAATTATTTTAATAATAATCACTCTCTCTAGTTTGGAAAAAAAAAAAAATTTAAATTTGGTGAAAGGCAGACGACTGAAGCCCATTAACTTAACATTATTATTCAACATAAAAGATTTGGTGTCAACATGATGATTATTAAAACTTAACACTAACATACTTATATGTAAAACAATAATTTTTTATTTTTAGTTTATTCTGAACCAACTGTTGGGTGGTGAACCGTGTCTCTATGAAAGGGTGGATCATTCAAGTTTGATCTTTGCAAAAACAGGAATTCAATCAAAATGAAAAGTTGATCGCCGCTTGGAAATTTTTTTAATACATTATTCATGATGTCGACAAAAGTTTGCATTATTTGATTTGAACCTAAAAGAAATTTAAATTGAAGAAGATATTATTTATGATATCTACTTTAATGTGTTCAATTTCCAAACCGTCCGACCCAATTAATTGATAGAAAGAGGAAAAAAAATGAGATATTCATTCAGTAAATCAAATCATTGAAAAAAATAAAATAAACCATAAATAATAGCAATATTAATAAATTTTATAATTTTTATTTAAAACATATTAATATTGATATTGAATGTTATTTTTGTTAGAGTTATTGATATTAAATCTACAAGTCATCTTAAACAGCCATCTAAATTTTTTTAATAACAACAAATGATTAGTAACATTGAAATATGATAAGTTTAAGTTTTAGAATGAGAACTCACTTCTTGGGTTTAGTTGAACCCAGTGTCTTTAACCTCGTTGGTTCTTGTAATCTAAACCATCTACACAAGTTAATCTAAAAAAAAAAAATTCAACTGTTCATATATCTTGTGCTACATGATTATTAACAATCAATTTGATTGAAGAGACAACTTTCAATAGAATGAAACCTGTATTATAATTATAAAATTGAATTGTGCATCTCTATAAAAATTGGTTAATCATGATTTATTTATTTATTACTATTAATACTACTACTATTATTAAAAAACTGTTCTGAAAGCGGAAGCTGGTCTATTGTATGATGTAATAACATCAACTTCGTCGAATTCACTCTCTGGTGAACGATCGAGTTTGTTTCCAATCAAACACAATTCTTTCAATTTCTCTTCAACCTCTTGTTCTGATAAATTTGTTACAACTTTCTTTTCTTCTTGTCCCCAATCTATTTAAAATAATGAAATTGTTAGTAAAGGCTTTAATGTCAAATAGATTACTTTAGAATGATTTATTCATACCGTATCTTGCATAAATTACAGGTTCAATTCCGTGTCCCTCACGAACCATCAATGGTAACTTTGGATTCAACTTTTTCAAATCTGTATAGTTTTTAGTAATGAAGTTTCTATATATATTTATATATATAAAGATAAAATGATTAGCAATTAAGAGAAAATGGATATACAAATGTTTGTTTGTTTGTTACCTTAAACCTTCACTGCTTGGTGTTGATTGACAAAAGTGAATTCTAATCTCTTGGAGATTATGTGATAAGAGAGCTCTCCAGGACATCTTGAAATCTAATTTAAAAAAATAAAAATAAAAAAAAATAAATAAACAAAGTGAATATTAATTGCTATTTAATAATGTAATCTATTAAAGTAAAAAAAAAAAAGATTAAATAGTTGCAACAAAGAGTAGAGAGTGGTGTTGATTGAAAGAATGTAGATTAATCAATATGTTATCTATCTAAACACTTTGAAGAATATTATTTAATAACTAGTGATATGATGATGGAGATATCTAGATATTCTATAGTTTAACATTTCTATGATCAATAAAAACATTGTGTCGATGTTTAGTGTTACTGATATGGTGGCGAGTGAGTTTTCTATTTACTATATTTGTGAAAAGAAGGTTTAGTATAAATCTCTACCTTTTTAAATATGATATAAATCAATGAAAATCAGTGCTTGCTAATAAACATAAGTCTATTGTCGAACAATGAAAAAAAAAAATGAAATTTAAAAAAAAAAAAAAAAAAGAAAAAAACTTTTTTTTTTTTTTATTGATTTTTTTTTTTTGAAACATATTGATTCGTTTTGTACAATCATATTGATTTTCATTATTCATTATTTTATTATATAGAGTATAGAAATGACATCAATCTGTATGAGAAGATCGATTGTAGGACTGTTACATAAATCGAATACTGTAACACCAAATTCATTATATATATTGGGTCGTGCAAGAGTCAACAAGCATAAACTACCGGAACATATGCAAAAAGATGACTTTGATGATGACGATGGAAAGGTTGTAGAATCAAAGATTTCAAAGACTAGCATGGACAAGATTAAACAGAGATTCACTAGTACTTTCAAGAGACCAGATTTGGATAAACAACCAGAACAAACAGAGGAAGAAAAAGAGTTAAGATTGTTCATACATCAATACGATAAATATAGAAAGGAAATTGAAAAGAGACGTGATGATGAAGAAAAATATGCTGTAAATATATAATAATTGATTCGAAATAACAAGCAGATTTAGTATTAATCTCAATCACAAAACATACACATAATCTATAGATGCATTATCAATGGGAAGCAATTGCAGAGCTACCAGAGGATCTAAGAAAGACTGCAATGTTAGTTGACACACACGACGATGCACCAGATTGGATTCCATTCTGGACTTTAACACCACCATCAGAAGATCCAGCATCAAAGATGGTCATGAAAAAGAAGGTCAAAGCAAAGAAACGTTCAGAAGAGTTGCTAACAGGAAATCTTTTCTAAAATCATATATTATAATAAACAACACTATTTTTTTAAATATATTTATTTATACACACAAGTTAACTTTTTTTATTTCCAAAAGAATTTACTGTTTTGTATGCCTAAATTGTTCTAAATGATCTGGGTTTTTACGATAACATTTACCATCATATTTACAAATTGGTTTTACATTTCCTAATCCGAGCGGATCACTCTGTGATCTTGTGATTGGTTTAGTAGGCATGGTGAAATTGTCGTCATCGTCACTGTTTACAGCAAACATTACATCGTCATCATCATCAACATCCATAATTTCATCACTCTTTTTTGTTGTCTTTTTGGTTGTTTTTGCTTTACTTGCTTTCTTTCTTGTTGTGGTGGTAGTTGTAGTTGTTGTTGTTGCCGCTGCTGATGACGATGATTTTGTCTTTTTCTTTGGTCTATTCTTTTCATCTTCATCATTATCTCTATCATTGTAGAGAGCTGTTTCGGCATCGTCCGATTTCAAAAGATCCAATTTCTTTTTATCGAGCTTTCCTTCTTTGATATATGCAGTTGCCACCTCAACTAAATCAGCCTTCTTTGCTTTGGTTGGTGTTTTCTGACCTTGGTTCTTGAGGAATTCATTCAAATCTGCAACTGTTAGCTTCACGATTCCACCATTCTCTGCGAGTTTCTCCCAATCGAGTTTGGCAAGTGCATTCTTATTCTCACGATCTCTTTTCTTTGATTGGTTGAGTTGTTGTACATAATCACTAGAGTATACCGAATCCTCCCATTGTTTGACGAGATCTTGATTTTCATCTTGTTTATCTTTGTTTGGTTTTGTATTGTCGGTGGTTGGCGCTACAGAGTCACGCTCTAAAGCAAGCGCTTGAAGATTGGCATAGTGTTTCTGTAGTGCTGGATTGAGAAAGTCGGCTGGATTATAATCGATATGATATGCTTTGATCACTTGTTTCGCACAATCGATCTGGTTTGTTGTTGCTGTAGACTCGCTCTGCTCCACTTGGATCGCACGAATATCGTCGGCATACGGCAAATAGATGATATGGAATCCACGTGGCATTCGAAGATCTTCGTCCTCCTCTTGTGGGACGAGAGCAACCATTCTTGGAGAGGTGTTTGAACGAGGCAGGAATTTGGCAATCGCAACCCGATCACTCGATAGCATTGCATCGAGCAGTGCATTGAGTGCACGTGTAGATCCAGTGATAGATTTCTCGTCTGGAAACAAAAAGTTGGAGTGTTTGACTAATCGATGTCTTTTGAGTGCTGCCTTACTCGGTTTGAATCCAAGCAGTGTTAAACCGACACGGTCTAACGAACGGATAGAGTCTACCTCTCTCTTCTCAAAGACAACCGGTTCACCACCGTAGTACATACAATAAGCAATCTGTGACGGCAAAAGAGTGGTGCCACTTGACATGCAAATATTTTTGGTGAGTGTCTTTATCGGTAGATTGCTTGCTGGATCGAGCATAGTTGGTGACGATCTTGTGGCAGCCGATACCAAACTATACAATTGTGTTCCGATAACGACATCCTTGCCAATATACATCGGTAGTTGACCTAATGATCGCTTCTTAAACTGTTTACGCTTCAACTTTGAGAAGAGCTGTGAGAATCTAGAAGCGGAACTAAAATCTTGGTCAACGATTTGGTCATCTTGCAAAATGATAATCTCTTGGTAGAACAATGAGAAATCGAATGGATGATCGGAAAGAGCATTGTTCATTGAAAATAGTTCAATTTCAATACCTAAATCAGATAAATCCTTTGCTCTCTGAATTGCAATTACCTTTTGATTATCATTGTCTTGTGTTGGTTGATCTTGATTTGTAAATAAAAATATACGTTTATGTGATAGTTTTATATTACTATATAATAATAGAATAAAGGTTAGCATTTTGACATTAAATGATTTGTATCAATAAATTTATATATCTTACCAATTCGAAAACATTGTAGAACAAGTCCAAAGTGCATCACAAAACACCATATCTTTATTTTCAGTGTAACCACCGAAAGAACTATAATCACCCTCCAGAATATCTTCTAACAACAGAATTGTTTTTGGATCGGGTATATCCAAGTCAAATAATACATAAATATTTTCAAAATCATTTAGATTCTTATTCTTGTCCTATAATATAAACATAAAATATAGATTGCGCTGTGATTAGTAATTTTCTATTTGCAAGTAGAGTATAGAGTCATTTTGACTTACAGTATTGTATAAACATAAACCAATAAGATCACTATCACTTGTTATAATCTTATCGGTGATCGTTTGTATTAAACATTTAATGGCATTATCGAATGGTTTCTCCTTTGTAACAGGGTCTGGCTCAAACATTGCCTTTGAGGTGTCAATAAGAAAGATGATACAATCTCTCATTACTTGGTATTGATATGCGTTTGCTTGTTGTTGTTCATCATCATCGTTATCTTTGGCAGCAAACAAATTATCCCAACCACCTTCATTCTCCTCATCGTCGTCATCTATATAGTTGAAAAACTGTGCTCCTGACATCGACGACATAGATACGCCATTGGTACCACTAACTGTATTGCTTTTACTTGTCTATCGATTAGTTAGTTAGTTGGGTATGTGTTGTGTATGTATAGTTGAATTAAATTACCATTTAATAAACATAAAATAATATAATATTATAACTAATAAAATCCAAATTTTGTAATCTATTTTTTAGATTTGTTTTTGCAAAATCACTTTTTTTTAATTTATTTTAAAAAAATACAAACAAAAATCTAAAAAAATTTGATAACTAACAAGATTATGATTAAAATAAATCTCTTCTTTGTGTTTATTTGATTATTTTCCAAAGATTATATTCTTTTTTTTTATAATTTTTGTTGGTTTATTAAATGATTCTTATATAAAGTTGGATAGATACTTGGAAGTACCCAAGTGTCTACTTGGCGCTAAGTTTTTGTATAGCTGATGTCAACTCATTGACACTGTCATCACTGTCATCACTGTCTTCCTGGCCGTCATCTTCACCACCCTTTTTGAGGACTTCTCGAATATGTTCTTTGTCTCGTTCACAATTTCCTTTTCCACAATCGCAACATATGCAATGTCTCTTTGTTGTATTATGTCCATAGCACTTTTTACAGTATCCCATTCCACGGCAGTTTTTTTGTGGACAATAAACCTGTTCAAATCTGGTTAAACACATTTCTTTAAACCTGTTTTGTTGGCACATTTTACAATTGTGAAATTTGCACATACTCTCTGTTAGAATAAGTTATATATATATTTTCGAAGCTTTGAAATAATATCCTTTGTCACAGAAATTTTGTGCCACTCTTGAGAACTGGATTGACAAAAGATCTTTTTGCTTATTCCGAACAATTAAATTTGCAAATCATTTTTGCTTTGTCACCAAGCACTTTGGTAAAATGCCATTTGGTATTTTATTTTTATTTAATTTTTTGGTTTATCAATTTGATTATTCAATTTAAAGAAAATCTTAAAATTATTAGTTATAGATATTTCTAGAGTGCACATACCAATAAATATTTTTATTGATAAATAGTTGTTAAAAATTTATTGTTGTAAACAAAGATTTAATTATTTGTAATAAAACAAGTCATTATCAATCTTTTCGTGAAAGAACGGATGGTTGAGAGCGTCACAAGCCGATAGTCTCTTTGAAGGTTGATATTCTAATAACTTTGATATTAAATCTAAAAGCTTTTGATGTTCTGGGTGAAAATATTCCTTTTTTTTTTTGAATCAAATATTAGTTGGTGTGCTATAAAAACGAATAAATACAAAAATACATACAACCAAACCCCTCATAGAATTCACTTTTTCCAAACTTCTTGTATCTTCATCATGTTTCCAATCAAGATATTCACCGGTTGGGTAATATTTCCTATAAATAGAAATGAATAAATAAAAATAAAAAAAAAAGATTAAAATTTTAGTTAGTTATTTAACCAATCTTAATTTAAAGATAAAATGATAAATACTTTGAATTTTGAGTTAAATGTTGTGGTAAAGGTCCAATTACTCTTTCCATCATTGCTAAATGTTGACGATTGCTATGAGTGTCAAACAAAGTTGCACCAGTGTAAAGCTCTACTAAAATACAACCTATACCCCACATGTCACAAGGATAAGACCAACCATTGCCCAAGATAATCTCTGGTGGACGATAAGGACGACTGCATACAACGCTAGTGTGATGCTTATCGTCAAAGGTTGCACCACCAAAATCAATGACTACGATATCGGTTTGCTCTAAATGATAGTATTCATCATCGAAAAGATTGAAATCACTATGTAGGTCTTTACTGTTGCTGCTTCTGCCGCTGCTGTTGCTGTTACTGTTGCTATTCTCATTGCTATTGTTGTTTGATGACGATGGTGGTGATGGTGGTTGTGGTGATGGTGGTGAGAGATCTTTAGTGTTTTGGTACGATGTCGTAGTAGATGAAGTTGGAGAAGAGGTCTTTGTAAAAGTGTTATTGTTGTTGTTGTGTGTATTTTGAAACAATCTTTGTAGATAGTGAATCATACGATTTTTCAGTTGTGTAGGTAACATCCTGTTCGATATACTATAGTTTGAGTTTTCTAAAAGTATATTCTCAGGTTTCAAATCTGTATGAATCAGAGATAGTTTATGCATTGCTATATAGAGTAAACATAAATTTGAATAGAGAGAGAGAGAGAGAGAGAGAGAGAGAGAGAGAAGAAAAGAAAGAGAGATAGAAGTCGGAGGAGGATTATTGTTAGCACAACTACTAAATTGAGATGAGACTCAAGTGGATCTTACTGTAAATTGCCGTCAGCAATTGCTTGGATATATTTTGGATGTGTGACAACGGAAACGGTCTATTACGATTCTTTTTCAAAAAGTCGTAAAGACTCAGTCCGTACCTCCTAAACACTAGACAAACATGATCTTTATGTCTAAACCAATTCAAAAGGCGAATGCAATGACTATTTAAATGTTACGGTGATAATTAATAATAAGTAGCCGAATCTTTTTAGAGGATTTTAACATAAAAAATAACATACTATTTCTGATTTGTTACACCATTTCTCTCTAGTGAATCCAAAATATCAATTTCCACCATAGCATCTTCACTGTATTTCTTTACTGCTCTAACTATCTTTATAGCAACGTATACATCTGAATTAGAGTCAAAGCATTCAACTACTGTACTGAAAGTACCTGTTCCTACTACTCTTACTACTTTATCTGTAGTATAAATGTGATTAGTAAAAATTAATAATAATAATTTAATAAATAATTACATCTATCATGTAGGTATTCACCAAGTTGTGCTTTATAATAATTATTCTCATCATCCCATGCCGGTTGTTGTGGTGGTGCTGATTTAGACTTTGTAATTTGATCATCATGATATGAACGTCTATTATCTGATTGTGATGCTGCTTTATAGTCATCTGAATGATAAAAATGATGATTTGTTTCACTTTTATAACCATTATTATTACTACTATTATTATTGTTATTATTATTATTATTATTATTATTATTATTAGTATTATATCTATAAGCTCCTCTATCTTCATTATTATTATTATTGTTGTTGTTGTTGTAATATGAAGAATTATAATTATTGGTATTATAATAATCTCTATTGTAATCTCTGATGTTGTTATATTCATGATCTCTGTGACTGTTAATGCTATGACTATTACTGCTATAGTCATCTTTATTGTTGTTGCTATAATAATATTCATTTTTACAATTTATATATTTATCTCTGCTGCTGTTGTTGCTACTGGTATTACCGTAATCTCTGTTATTATTGTTGTTGCTGTTGTAGTTACTATTACTACGGTAGTCATCTCTACTACTGTAGTTGGTTGTGTTGTTCCCCCCTATGTATTCCCTATTACTATTACAATCGTCACCCCTGCTGCTGCCGCCGCCGCCGACATTATAGTATCTCTGACTTTGGTAGTATCCACTACTACTGCTGCTACTACTTTGATATGTTGAGTTCCCACTGTAATTTACATATGATGAATCTTTATAATCTTTATTACTAGTAATGCTACTTGTACTGTGACTGTTATTGTTGTTGTTATTGTTACTATTACTACCACCACCACCACCACTATAGTAGGAAGAATTGTAATAGGAATTACCATAACTATTGTTGTTGTTGTTGCTGCTGTTGCTGTTATTGTAGTAAGAAGAAGAGTAGGAAGAAGAAGAAAAGTTATTTCCCCATTTTCTATTACTATTACTATTATTATAATATGTACTACTACTATTATTATTAGCAGTATAATTATAATAATCCAACTCTTTTTCTCTTTCTCTATCAATTGATCTAACTCTCTTCCTATTATATTCAACTGATTGATACATCATTACTATTGTAATGATAGATTAAACTATCCTTTAATATATATTAATATATAAATATATATCTATACAATAATGTTATGTATGTATCTAACAGTGAAATAATTATGATTAATCGGGATTAACAATAAATTAAAATTAAAAAAACTGAATATTTTTTTGGTTTTTTTTTATTTTTATGTTTTTTTTTTATAAAAAGTGTGATGTGGTATTTTTTTAATTGAAGTTGAAATTATCATACAACAAATTCAATTTAAAAGATGGGTAATCAAGGTGCAAAAAGAAGAAAGCAACAGAATGAAAGTGAAATATTCAAACTAAGAGTTGCTATTCTCTCTGTGAATGTAATATATTATTTGTATAGAGTTTACTATCATGGTGATAGCTTTGGTGGTTGGAATTGGTTCCTCTGGATCGTCAGTCTTTTGTTGGTCGGTATTGCCTATTTCCTCATCAGTCTCATGGCGAAACCAACATTCCAAGATGGTGAATTGATCGATGGTGGTGCTGATCTCTCAATGAAAGGTTTAGTTGAGTAAGTTTATTCAATCATTCTCATCATCATCATTTAGATTACTTTTTGTTAACATCATTCTCTCTATAATAGATACTACTTTGATACAATTTATATTTGTTTAATTATCTTGATATTAGGTTTGTTTAGTGATAAAGCATTCCTCATCATGTTGATTATCCCAGTATTTGCATTCTACCAATTGTGGGTCAAGTTTTTGGGTCCATGGTTCTTCCAACAACCATCAGAGGATACAAATCAAATGGAAACAAAGAGTAAAAGAAGAGAGAAAATGGAAAAGAAAGCAAATAAGATTAAATACTCAAGATAGATATAATAATAATAATAATAATAAATTTAATATCATCCAGAAAAGATTAATAATTTTATTTAATTATTTGATTCGGTGGTGGTGGTGGTAGTTGTTGTTGTTGCTGTTGTATTATCATCTTCTCTTTTTCTTTTCTTTAAAACCTCTTCTTCTTCTTCTTCTTCTTCTGGTTGTTCAATTTCATCTTGTTTAATTGTCATTTTAATATCTTTGTTGTTAGAAGACATTGTTATGGTCGATGTTGATGTTGAGGTTGTGGTTGTCAAAGTTGTTGCTTTAGTATCATTACCCTTTACTTTGATTGCAGATAAAAGGAAACCAGATGATCCATCCATATTCATATTTGGATGTGTACGTTTAGGTAGCACCTGTTGTTCACGCATCCAAATCTCGGCAACAGAGATGTTGACAGCGAGCATATTTTCGTGGAGGAATTGGAAGCACTCGACTAGGTGTTGCTGGAACTGCGAGAAGATTACAATGTTACCCGATGGATTCAAGTATGGAAGACACGCCTTGAGAATATTGAGTGGATGATATTGTGTTACTATCACCAAACTGTTGACACCATCCTTTAGAAGCGGGGTGGTATCGTCGATTCTATTCTGATTGTAAACACCGCCAGCAGTCGAGTTTGGTAGTGACATCGTAACTGTATTATCACCGAGTGCCTCTGCATTCAGTTTGTTGATCAACTCGATCGAGAATGAGTAAATGGTTTTCTCTACCTTTTCTTCGAATCCAAAGTTTTGAGCGATCGATAACGATGGACCCTTGCCAATGAATGCACTCAAAACCTCACCGTCACCACCCATTCTCTCAGCGATCGCACCTGTAACAATACCCATTGCCGATTCAACAACCAACACTCTAATACCTGCTCTAACATTAGCATGTGTCAAAAGACGACCAAAAGTATCGAATCTAAGGTGACTATAATGATAATAAATAATAATAATAATAATAATTGTGCATAAATTATGTTAATGATTTGAATTGTTGTTTGTAATATTTGAACTATATCTATATATATTTACCAAATTTTCTTTGCATCTTTTGCATAGTATGATTCACAAAGTGTTTTAAGTGATGGTTTCAAAATACGAATAAGTGTAGAATGCTTTGCCATCTTTTTCTTGAGATACTTTACTTGACTGTATGCTGTTTTGGTGTGGAATGACGAACTATTATCAATCAAAGCAGTAATTACATCTTTATAATCGCTACCTTTCTCTTTCAATCCTTTGATATCGTCACCTGTCAGCTTCTGTGAAGTATTGTATGGTGTAAGTGTACTGTTGTTTGCTTCTTGATTATTGGAAATCTCTATAATATGTTGTTTGTTTTTTTTTTTTTTTTTAATTTTAAAAGCTATTAGTATTAAAGATATTATCTATATTCGATCGGTTAGAAAGAATAATATACCTGTAATTCTCAAGAGTTGTTCATCCATTTCTTTTGGATTGACTTTGTTCAATTGATTAGAAGAACCATTTACACTAAAAGTGGTAAAGTATGGTTGTCCTATAGCATTCGATATATCGATATTTCTTTTCTTTCCTATTGTAATCTTACTTTGGTATGATTGAAACGTTAATAAATGTGATAGTACACAGTGTGATAGTGTATCAATAATCAAAAACATACTTTGCAGCGACAAGTCTAACATTTTTATATTGCTCTCCATTATTTATATTTAAAACTACATTATCACCTTCCTTTATACGATTTCTACCGTGTGCTACTGCTGTTGTTGTTGCAGCTGTATCTTCTTTATTTGGTACTACCTCACTATTTTCAGTCACTTTTGTATCTACTTCCATCTCTATCTATTTATCAAAAAAGGTACAAAAGAAAAACCGATCGATTAATATTTGTTTTTTTTTGTTCAAAAAAAAAAGTTTTGGGTCCAAATCTTTGTATGAAAATTTCATCTTGGTAAATAGAACTGGGAAGAATAAGGCATTTTTTGTAGGATTATCACTATTTAAACTTTTTATTTATTTTTTATTATTTTTTATATCAAAATATAATTAGTTTAAGGTAAAATATTGTTTTATTTCCAAATTTTAAATTTTATTTGTTATAAACTTTCTCAACAACATCTTTCAAAAGAAACCCTAATTTCAATCTGTTTAAACTCTTCATCAGGAAATTTACCTGATATAGCTTGGAACTGGAGCTTTTGGGATACAGAAGTTGATCCGTTATAGTTTTAAGTTCTTATGTTGTAAATACTCTTTTAAAGTTACATAAAAGTACAAATAGATATAGTATTAAAATTGCCAAGATGATTTTCCGAATAACTCAATTCATGTGCAATAAAGTTATGATTGAAGCTCTTATTCAACAATCCTGTTCTCTTTTTCAAAGAGAATTGGTAACATATTCCTTGAATCCTTGACTTAGCCTATTTTATATTAGGTAATATCAAATAGTTGAAATTAGTGAGGAGAAAGTTTATAACAAATAATATTGGAAATGTGTAAAGTCAAGAATAAATTCTGATACTGGAAAGGTACTAATTTTAAAGTAAGCTGTAGTTTGATGAATAAAAAACTAAATATTTAAGTTTTATAATCAACAAAAAAATAATTGATAATTTTTAAAATACATCTTTCTTTATGATTTAATTTAAATTGGACCAATTATTCAAATAATAAAAAAATATGATTTATTTGATCTGGAATAACTAGACAAAGCATACTATCCTCAATTAAAATTATAATACAAGTTCAATTCTTTATTTACTATTGATTGTGTGTTACACTTTCACCGTTGTGAACTCTTCTAATAGTTTCAGCCAATACAGATGCTAATTTTCAATAGATTTGATATTAGTTTTATAGTTTAAATAATAGAATAATAATAATAACTTACATATTGACACAATCTTTAGTTTTGGACATTTAGCTAGGTTATGAGAATTTGGAACAGAATCTGTGATAACCAATTGAGATAGAGAACCTTCATTTATTATATCTATAGCATTATTTGAGAAAACACCATGAGTTACGCATGCAAATATCTTTGTTGCTCCTCTTCTCATTAGAGTAACCGTTGCAGAGTTGAGTGTTGCTAATTTATTTTAATAATAATAAGATCAATGATTAGAACTGAATGGATGAATGTTGCACTAACTACTAATCTCTATTATAAACTTACAGCAAGTATCAGCAATATCATCTATAATGATTGCTACTTTATCTTTGACATCACCAACCAACATAGTTTCAGAGTCTGACGATGCAATATTGGCTTTGTGTATGATCGCTAAATCTGCTTTCAGTTCATCTGCAATCTTCTTTGCTCTCTTTACACCACCCACACCCGGTGCAACAATAATATAGTCAGAATGAGTCGGTATGATCCTTTTCTTGATGTATTTAGTAAATAAATGATCAGAGTAAACATTTTCAACTGGTATATTAAAGAATCCTTGAATTTGACTCGAACTATTAAAGTAATATTGATTGTTAGGTATAAATCAAACTATACATATAATAATAAGATAAAAACATACTGTAGATCAATAGTAATGACTCTATCTATACCAGAAACCTCCATCATATTGGCAACTAGTTTACAAGTGATTGGTGCTCTAGATTTATCTTTTTTCGACTGTCTAGCATAGCCAAAGAATGGAACGACTGCAGTAATTCTATGTGCAGAAGCTCGTTTTGCACCATCTACCATTACCAACAACTCCATCAAATAGTCATTAACACATGGATTACAAGTTGGCTATTACATTATATAAAAATATTATAAATGTTATTATTATCAAAAATAAAAGAATAAATAAATATTCTTAAAGAAAGCTATACCTGTACTATATATAAATCTACATCTCTAACGGATTCATTGATAAGAACTTGTGTCTCTGAATTGGCAAACTTTGATACCAAAACATTACCAACTTTGATATTCAACTCTGATGCAATATCATTAGCAAGTGTTGGATGTGCATTACCTGATAAAATTACTAACTTATTATGATTGGTTGACATAGTTTAATATAAAATAATAACATGAAATTGAGAAATGATTTTTTTAATTTCATCCAAACTATAAAAATTTATTTTTGTCTGCCATACTAATTTTTGACTTAACAAATTTTATTTTATTTGTATTTTCTAAATTTTTATTTTCAAACAGATAATATGCAAAACGATTTAATTGTTGAAAGTCAAGAAAAATACTATCAATGTTATATTGATAATGGTGGTGAATCAAAATACATTATATGTCAGCTAGATGTTACATATAATGCAATGTGTGTTGATTTAATTGGAGGAGGATTAGAATCAGATAGTGATCTTTTTAAGGAGTTTATTGCTAACGTAGGTAATGAAAGATGCTCACCGAGATACATGTTCATCGCACTCGATCAACCATATCACATAGAGATCTACGAGGAGTTTAAAGATATATTAAAACAACAACAGAGACAGCTTAATCAACTTTCAACCGATAACTCTTTGAACTTAAAGTACAAACTTTCATGTCTGGGTGGTGGAATCGTTAAAATCGATGACGATAAGCAAACACTATCTTGCTTTGGTAAAAGCTATCAATTTGGACCACCAGATATCAAGTTGGTCAAAGCAATACTAGAATCAACAAATATTTCAAACTATAAACTAGATATTCAAATTACCAATGAAATAAGAGGATAATCAAATCAAATTGACCAATAACATAACATAACAATAATCTTTTTTGTAATAAATAAATATATTTTGTTTTCTTTTTTTTTTATTTACAATTTTAAAAGTTTGTCATTATTACATAATTTAAATTAATTTATGTATATCCTGTTATTTACATTTCTTGTTTAGATTCTTGAGAATAGCTCTTGTGCTTCCTTTGGTGCACTCTTTCTTAGTGCAATTTCAAATCTACAATGTAAGTGTGTTTCATTACCAGATGTACCTACAATGATTGGCCATTTTGCTTTTGAAACAAGTAAAGGTTCATTTGCATTAAAGAATCGAGCTAAATAATAAAAAAATAATTATTAATATTAAAAATTATAATTACAATTAATATTATTATCATTAAAACAACTTACATTCATTTTTAACAACTTCCAACATATCAAAACATTTATCATAGGCTGTCATATTAAACTTCTCTGCCATACGCTTACAGATATCTCTTGCAGTTTCAGTGGAGGAAATCTTGATACTCTTGAAATTTCCTTGTTGATAATAGATTTTGACGACCTCAGAGTTGTCGATGGTCACTGCGGTTTCACGAGCGGGTTTGCTAAGAATCTGGAACATTGGACTGGTTCTCTCTTCCAGGTCCTGTGAAATGACTGGTTTACCTTCGGAGGCAGCTACCATCTCCTTTTGGAACCAACCCTGTGCCAGATCGTAAGCTGAGAAATTGTTATTGTCTGCCAAGTGAATGTTGGCACCGTGTCTAATGAGCCAGAGTGCCAGAACATCGTATCTGTTGGTGACCAACGAGTGGAGCGGTGTAATACCTCGATTATCTTGAGCATTGACATCGGCACCTCTAGTTACCAACAACTCCAAAGCCTGTTTATTTCCTCTGGCCGCTGCAATATGAAGTGGTGTCGTACCTTTTTCGTATTCCTTCATATTGATATCCACTCCGGTATCTATCATCTCTCTTAATTTTTTGATATCATTATTTCCAACTGATCTTAACAATTCATAATCATATTTTTGTAGTATAGACATTTTCTTTTTTAATTACTATTTTTTTTTCAATAATAATAATATATTTCATATAAACATATAAATTTAAAAAGTTATATTAAATTGTTTACATTTTTAATAATTTATTTATCACATGGGGCAAAATTTTAAATGTATTTTTATAAATAAAAATGTGGGTTTGTTTTTTGTTTTGGTGTGGATTGATTGGGTTGGTTTGATCAAAAATTTCAATGAAATTCTACAACATATAATTGAAAAGGGAAACGAAGACGGTGAGAGAGAAAAAGCAAAGTATTTTTGTTTTTTTTTATATATTTAATTTTTTTATAATTTATTTATTATTATACTTTTTTATTTTTTAAAAAAAAACTATTTCTTATTTCTTTTTCATTTTTTTAAGATTTAGTTCTTCTTTTTGATACCGTCAACGTAGTTCATCTTGTAATAAGTCAAAATTGAGATTGGGAATGCAACTGAACCCAAACATAAGAGAACAAAGGTACCCCATTCCTTCAAGTGGAGGGAAGTACGCTTGTCGTAGTCGGCAACCGATTCGACGTACATTCCACTGTAGCTGGCGGCGGCAGTGTATGAAATGGTGTCGTCTTGTTGTGATTTACGGTATGAGAGAACGGTTGGGGTCAATGGGTAGATACCTTGAGTCGATGGGACGACAGTCAAAGTTTGTGAGACATTGGTACCTGCTTCGAGGACTTCCCATTTACCGTTGGTTGTTCCCTTAACAATTTCAAAAGTTGATCCAGATGCAGTGAAATCGGAATCAGTGAATGCGAGATCGTAGGCTGGTCCTTCACCAACGTTGTAGATGACAAACGAGATTTCCAACTCTTTTCCAACGACTGGTCCATCGACAATCTTCTTTTGGAACAACAATTCTGCTTTCGATGCAGCACAAACTGCAATGTACAATGCAACCAATGCAACTAATAATTTACAATTCTGTCAATTGAATAATAATAATAATTGTCCCAATATAATTTGAACAAAAGACAATATTGTTTCATGATTAGTTTTTGATTGATTTTGAATGTTGATTTTAAAATGATTTTTTAAACTTACCATTGTTTTATAAAAATATTTATAAATATATATAGAGTATATAAAAATGATTAATGAAGAATTTAACTAAATCAATATAAAAAAAATAAAAAAAGAAAAATGAAATTGTAAAAAATAATTAAAAAAGCTCAAAGTTAATGTTCACTCACACACTGTGTCATCAACATCAAAAATGAAAAACACACAAAAAATTTTAAAAACAAAAAAAAAAGATTCAAAGACTTTTGTTTGACTGTCCTCCAAAAAAAAAAATATGAAAGAACAATTTTTCAAAAAATGTCAAAAAATAACGTTATTTTTCGTTAAAGAGAAATAATAAGAAATAAAAATTTTAAAAAAATTTTATATTTGGTAAATCTTATTATTTCTTTGTGCATAATTTGTTAAAAAAAAAAAAAATAACATATAAAATAATTTTAAATAGCCTTAAAAGACTTAAGTCCAGGATTTTTTAAAGTGTAAAATACCTTTAAAAAAAAGGTACGAGAAATTTTTTTGTGATATCAGCAAAAAATAAAATTATCAAAAAAAAAAATGGATAATTCTCTGTTGAATTTTCTTTGTTGTGTTTGGTTTTCACCAAAAATATCACACAGTTTTTTTTGCAGTTTGTAAAAGCATCATCGGAACAAACATTGAACCAAATTTATCATTGTAATATTTTTCTTTATTTTTATTTATTTTTCTTTGCAAATCAACAAAAAATATTATATATTTCAAAAAATATCATTATCAATAAATAAAGAATAATTAATCATCAATTGAAATGAATGGTTTAGAGTCGTTGTCACCTGAGGCCTCCACTTATAGCCCACCGGTGTCTGGTGGTAAACATCTGATTCCAGACTACATTATCGAACAGTGGAAGAAAGACTTTATCAATTTGGAGGTACATGATCAACAAGATCAACAACAGCAACAAGATGATCAACAAGCAGCACAACAGACTCAGAATGCAGACGATGCATTCTTTGATCAAGTCAAAGCAAAAGCAGAAACAAAACAAGATAATACTTTGATGAATGATATTTTTGGTTCGACTACCACTACAACCACCACCACATCGACTACAACAACAACAACCACCACCACAAATTCTACACCACACTCTTCGACACCAGCGTCATCAGCTGCCAAGAAGATTACAGTAATCGATATGGATTTAGGTGTATATGGTTTGCCAGCGCTAACTACAGTTCGTGGTGTATTCTGGAAAGTAGCATTGGGATCATTGTCGAATCAAACAAAGAGTGAATGGCGTGAACAAACAAAGAAACAACGTACTAAATATGATACTTTGAAGAGAGTATATATCATTGATCCTCGTGGTATCAAAGAACCTGTAAAACCTGTAGCTGGTGTTTTCGATGATCCTCTATCTCAAAACAAAGATGTAATTATCAATAATACAATTTTATAATTATTCTAAACATAATATTAATTCCTTTTCTAAACAAATCAACAGAGTATTTGGAATCAATTCTTTGAGAATGAAACAACACAAAAAGAGATTGGTCATGATATTACAAGAACCTATCCAGATATAGATTTCTTTGAAAGAAAAGATATACAAGATACAATGACTGTATGTAGTAATCATTTTTGAATAATCAATATTAATACTAATCACCATCATTATTATTATTATTTACTTTTTATTAGAGAATTCTATTTATTTTTTCAAGACAATATCCAAAGATTAAATACTTACAGGGTATGAATGAGATTTTAGCACCACTTTTATTTGCTTGCTACGCAGATTCTCACTGGGGTGATTACCGACAGATCTACAAATTGGGTGAATCCGTTGATGAATACGGAAATACTGTGCAGGTGAGTTATCCATCGACACCGCTCGCCTATCCAATCGATGAGACCGATCTTGCATCGTATATTCGTGATGCACGTTACGTTGAACACGATACCTATTTCCTCTTTGATGCTCTGATGTCGAAAATCAGCAAGTGGTTCACATCGCCACCAAACTCACCGATGCCCACACCCAAGTTGTCCGGCGCCAACAAAGAGCTCTACGACATCTCGGAGCGCGAGGCATCCGATCAGGCGATAAACATCATCGTTGTCGACCAATGCTTTGAGATATTCCACCAGCTTGGAATCATCGATCCACAACTACACAACTACCTCAGAGACATGTCAATCGAACCACATCTCTACTCCCTCAGATGGTTGCGTATCCTATTGGCACAGGTATTCCCACTCAACAATCTTCTCATTCTCTGGGATGCAATATTCAGAGATTCTGTTGAACTACTAAACTACATTTGTATATCAATGCTTATTGTCATAAGAGATTCATGTAAATATCAATATCAAATGGTTTAATATTAAAACTTACTAACTAACTAATCATTAAAAAACATTTAGTAATTGGCAAAGATTATTCAGAATGTTTACATTTATTGTTTAATTATCCGATGACACATGATCCAACATCATTGTTGTTTACAGCATACAGTGTCAGTGAAAGAATTAAAGCTATCATCTCTGAGAATCCAGGTGTAGACTATAGTTATACTTCGAGCAGAGCAGTTGCCAAACCAAAACCAAAACCAAAAGTACGTCCTCATTACAATCTAGCTTCTCAATCAAAGAAATATAATACCATTTCAAATCCTTCATCATCGACAACTTCATCCGCTTCCACCGGCGGCAAACAACAAGCAAATGGCACTAAACCAGCAGCACAAGTTACAAAGCAACAAACAACTGCCACCACTACCAAAACAACTACGACAGCATCGAGCGGTGGATTCTTCTCGAGTGTAGCATCCACTGTAAAGAGTCTCATCGTTGAACTCAACGAGATGGATGTTGCCGGTGAGATTGAAACTCTTCGTGAGAATCAAATTCATGTATCAAGTAGAATCGAAAGATTAGTATACATTTTAGATACAATCAAAGTGTAAGTGTTTATCATCATATTTCTTTTAACTTGACATTTCAAACTTGTTTTAACCAAATGATTTGATTTGAATCTCTTTTGTAATATAACAGTCAAGATAACCATGAGACCATTCAATCAGTTCAAGAGGAATTGATGTCAATTCGAAAAGTGTTGAACCCCAATGCACAAGCATCACCAGTATTCCAATCAACCAACCAAAAAGTCAGCATTCAAAATGAAATACTTGCAAATACCAGCACTGCTAAAGGTTTGACCGTACAGCCAACACCATCACCACAACAACAACAACAGCAGCAACCAACATCTCAACAACAATTATCATCATCACAATCAATATCACAACCAAATCCAGTACAACCACCACAACTTGACTTAAATCAACAATACAATAATAACCAAATAGATCAGCAACAACAACAACAACAACCACAGCAATATCAACAACAACAACAACAACAACAACAACAACAACAACAACAACAACAACAATATCAGCAGTACAACAACAGCAATATCAACAACAACAACAGCAACAACAATATCAGCAACCACAACAGCAACAACAATATTCACCACCATCACAGTATGAACACTATGATTTTGAACAAAATGAAGATTATGAGCAAGCTTATTATCAACATCAACAACAACAACAACATCATCATCACCAGCAACAACAATATAATACATCTAGATCAAACCAACAAAGACAACAACAACATATTTTTAACGAATATCAACAACAAGAGCCAGCCATCCAAAAAGTGCAGCCACTTAAACATATGAACTATCCACAGATGCCAATATACCAAGAAGACTTGGTAGAGGTCTACTCTGATGATATGAATCAAACCTCTAGAAATGCTCAGGAAGAAGATGTCAGTGAAGCAGAGTACAACTATATGAACAAACTTAATAATAACTTGGGTTTCAAATTCTGAACAAAAAAAAAATTATTGAAAACGAAATTCTAAAATTGAATAAAAATGTATTAATATTGATTTGACACAATGTCCACCTTTATTTTAGCACTTCAGTTCAAATCTAATTTAATTTAAAGTTTAAATTAGTTATAGTCTAATAATAAAGAGTTAGCAGAAAAAGACAAAACACAACAAAATTAAAAAATGAAATTGAATAGTTTAAAAAAAAAAAAAAAAAGAAATTTTGGTTCATGCAAAAAAGTTTTGTTTTTTTTTTTGATTAAACAAAACAGAACATTCCCATACACAGAAACTAATAAGCAACCACCACAAAGAAATTACAATAACAATATATCTATAATTATAATAAATAAACAATCATAATCATCATATTTATGATTAGTAAATAATATATATCAAATATATAAATATTTTAGATTTCAATAGATAGATATTACAAAAAAAAAATATATATAGTTAAAAAAAAGAAATAAATAATTTTTTGTGTGTTGTGTTTTGTGATTTGTTTTTTTTTTTTGATCAATATTTTTATTTTTTAGATAGATATTTATTATTATTATTTTTATTATCATTGTTTATATTTATTTATATTTTTTTTAGAAAAAAGATTGATAGGTTGGTTGAATGATCGATTATTATTTGATCATTAACTGCTATTAGAAAAGATAGTTTGATCAAATGAAAAAAGTATCCTCTATCAATAATTTCTTTAAGAGATCGACCAGTGGCACCAATAGTAATGGTGGCACACCGACCGGAGGAAACTCTGGTGCCAACAGTCCCACTATAGCAAACGGTAGTGCATCACCAGGTTCACAGACACCACCGAATCTCTCCAACATCGAGTATGAAGCAGATGACCATGTATTCTCACCTGCAAAAATAACGAAGCAGAACCAGCAACAACAACATCAACAACAGCAACAGCAGCTAAACAGTTCACATTCAGCACTACCATCACTTGGATCAGAAGCAGTGCAACACCACCCTCTGGAGTCGTCTGGCTCCAGTCTGAGCAGCTCTGGTGTTAGCAGTGGTTCGATATTTAGTCCTCGCACATCACCCACCTCCACACCCATTTTAACTCGTCACATAGTAGAGCAATATCCACCGGTTGCTGATGTTATTACACCACCACCACCAACATCATCATCATCATCAACATCTAATAGTTCTACATCTACATCTAATAACACCAATAGTAATGGTGGTCAAGAGATAATTAAAAGTGCTTTGATTGTCTCAACAGATACCGTATCACCAGACAAAAAACCATATACAGTCTATAAAGTACAAGTGGAGACGAACAAGTCGATGTATATCATTTGGAGACGTTACTCTGAGTTTCTTGATATCGACTTGAAGTTGCGTGCAGCCTATCCTCTGAGTCGACTACCGTTTCCTCCAAAGAAAACGTTTGGTAAGATGAACAATGAGTTTATCGAGCAGCGAAAAGACCATCTACAGCAGTTTGTTAATGCACTCTTCACACATCCAACACTTACCGACCTGCCTTGCGATCCAATCGTCGTTGCATTCTTTCATCAAAACTCAATCGATCAAAATCAACTTGAAATCTCAACAAGATCCAACACACCAAAACAATCAAAACTTGCAAATGATCAAGGTAAATCTTTTATTATTATTAATTTATAGAATATATTCTAACATTCATTCATTTAAATATTATTATTATTATTATTATTACGATCGTCTTATTTAGTTGTTAGATATATTATATCAACTTTACCATTTTGGTCGGATTTACTTGATTATGGTTCATTGCTATCACTTACAGAGACATGTAATTACTTATTGAACACCGTCAGTTACTATAGTGATCTATGGAGGAAACACTATTGGGATTTGCATACGGTGCTACACTTTGGATATACCAAGCTTTGTGTATGTACGATCGAGCTGAACAACTATCTTCAGGAGCGATCGAACGGTCTGAAGCGAGACACCAGTCATTCCAATCTCGCACTGATCTCGTCGAGTCCATCGACAGGTCACCACGGTTCGCCATCGTCCAACCCATTCATCAACATCATCTCCGGAGGTAAGAAACAACACTCTAAACAAATCTCACAAGACTCTACGACAAGCAGTAGCTACAACGGTTCGCCAACACCAAACTTGTTAATCGATGGTATCAACTCTGCTGGTGTTAATGCCAATGGTAATGGTAATAGTGGTGGTGGAAGTAGTCGTGATTTAAGATCATCATCATCGTCTTCATCTCATCAACAACAACAACAACAGCAACAACAACATTTGACAATGGTTGAATCGATGGAGTATTCCAGACAGGTATTCCTTCAACTACTGGCCACTCACTATCACCTTCGTACCTCTTCAGATTCACATAAATCACATAGAGACTGTGATTGCCTAGCACCCAAATTCCGTGGTACTATCATCGGAATTCCCAATATCACTGGCAGCTTTCTTCAATCGTTCAATACAGAGTTTCAAAATACACGCTCGCCAGTCGCGCTCAACCGTACGGCATCGTCGATCGACCTCGAATCGTCGCGCGAATCGATAAACATTCCTCTCAACGAATCGATGCAACAACAAATCCTGCTGTCATCGTCAGCATCGTCTGGCTCACTGGCGACATCCTCCTCTGAACTCGACCAACAACTCTCAATGGTTTCACACATCGTCTCCAACGGCAGAATGCTATGTGTCAGCACATCGGACTCTTCCAATCTCTCGAGGGAGGAATCACGTTTCAATCTATCGTTGTGTCATTTCGTACTGTTGGCATTCTCCCTCATCGACATGGCATCGTTTGAATCGATCGGTGTCTGGGTTGAAGATATCAAGATGATGTGTCCAGAGTCACCGATCATCCTCGTTGGACTGCAGAGAGATCTACGTGAGGCATCGAATCCACTCGGCCAATCGATCACCTACCAGCAGGGTCTAGACAAGAGCAAGCAAATACCGAATTGTCTGGCCTATATCGAGTCACCGAGCGCGTCAGACGGTGTTGGTGGATGGCGTCGTAGTCTTCTCTCCGAGTTGGCATCACAACTGATCAACCACTACCGTGAGGTATTCGTACAGCACACAACCAAGAAGTCAAACTACACAGTCAGAGGATCTTTCCTCTCAAAGATATTCCCACGATATCCGGACGAGATCATCCACAAGGGATTGACCTCCTACGACGGTGACGTAGAGAAAGCATTGGAGCTACTAGCACTCGACTATGCCAACTACTCTGAATCCAACGAACATCAATCGACCAGTCACAAAAGACAACATCTTAGAAGTCAAAGTGTTGATACATCATCATCATCAAAGAATAGTAGTATTAATAGTAGTAGTTCAAATCTCAACACTTGGATACATAATGATAGTAATAATACAACAAGTGGTGATAGTAATAATAATAATAGTAAATCGAATAATCAACCACCACCACATCGTCAATCAGTAAAGATACCAGAGAGTCAAATCAATACTCTAGTCGAGAAACTCAAAAAGAATTCAGTCGATAGCTTCATCAAAGGATTCTTGAGAAAGAAGAATCAAACACAAGATCAACAAGCCGAGATGGTCCTATCGTTCCTCAGAGAGATGCGTACACAACTACAATCTAGTCAGCTGTTCAGTTCGTTGAACGTACAAAACTCTGACCAAGAAGAGGATCTCACCAGTCTGCCACTAGGTGAAATCGAAAACTACCTCTACCAAAATATATATAAAGTGGTGTTCTCTACACAAGAGTCACTCGAGAAAGATGTACTACTCTCTGATCGCATGAGTAAACTCGTCTTTGTCGAACCACAACACTTGGAAATCAATCAAATTCATTGGAACAAAGACCTCTGGCTTGCCGCTGAAAAAGAACTTCATTCCGTCAATGATCTGTTCTCTCCATCTCAGAAATTAGAATGTATATTAAATTGTTGTAAATTATATTATGTAAGTTTATTATAAATATAGCAAACTATTCTATAACTTAACGATCTTATTAAACAAATTGTTCTTTTTCTTCTCAGTTTTATTATCAAACTCAGATAGTCCAGGTGGAGCTGACGACTTTTTACCACATCTTATTTATGTAGTTATTCATGCAAATGTACCAAATTTATATTCAAACTTTGAGTAAGTTTAAGATAAAATTATTAATTTTATATAATATTATTCATAAACTAATATCACTACTATTCAAAAGATTTACATCAAAGTTTTGTAATTCAGAACTGTTGAAAATGGAAAGATATTACTATTTTACGACTTTTGGTATTGCTGTTACTTTTATTGAGGGAATAGATAGTAAGCATTTGAAGATCGATGCTGAGGAATATGAAGCGTATATGTCTGGTAAGAAGAAGTACGTTCCAGAGGAACTAAAGAATAAACAAAAGGAGCTCGAGGAGATCGCTCAAATGAACGAAGCATCGAGAGCAAAGATCATGCAAAAGTTGGGTATCGACGAAACAACGGCGACCGTTGCAATCACTTCGCCCACCAAGAAGAAACCACAGCTACTCGACTCTGAGGAACGTTACGAAGAGGAATCGATTGAGAAGGCAATCTCTGAGGAGAAGAGTTGCAAGCAAGATGCCGCCGCACACACCTCGACCACCTCCAACGAGAAGGAGAATCCATTCGAATCGCCATCTGCCTCGATCGACGGTCCACTTCTACCGATTCAATGGGCAACCTCTGCACCTACAGAAACCAACAAGCGAAACAGTGTCAAAGGAATGTCCTTGTCGAGAACACCGTCACCACCCGACTCAAAGTCACTTCAAGTTGAAGAGCATCCACTTGCATTCAATCATAAATCAAAATCGGAAGATATTTCAAATATAAATATAACATCAACATCAACATCAACAACAACAACATCTACACCACCATTGACATTGCCAACTACAACTGAAACATCAACTGCAACAAATGCAACAACAGATGTATCACCAGTAACAACAACTACTACCACTACTACATCATCATCATCTCCAACGATGGTGGAACAAGTATCACAATTTAGCTCATCGCCAATGGAAAACTCACAACCAAAGCCAAACGAAGTTCCAGAGTTACCACCAATCGAACAACCAGTTACAATCACCAAAAACACAACCAACAACGATGAAGACAATATCGATAATCCACTCGATTTAAATCATAACGTTATTATTGACCAGTAATGTTGTATGACTACTAATATAATTGTTTTTATTATTTTTTTTTTCGAAACATTAACAATAAATAAATGTGTATACACATTTTTTATACATTAACAAAAAATTTATATTTTTAATATAAAGATAGAAATAATATCAACACTAATAACATAAACATTGTTATCTTAAGATAACTCAAGCCACCCGAATTGAATTATATCTATGATTAGCGAAATTTGAACAATCAAAAAAAAAATTGAATTCTTTGTTTGAAAAAAAAAAAACATTCAAATGCAACGACATGACAAACTTTTTCATTTAAAGTTTCATTATATTGTTTAATTGTTATTTTGATATTCATTGATTATAACAAAATGACTAAAGATGACAATGGTGCATTAGTGGAGACCGGTGTCAACAAAGCTGACGAAAGAAAGAAAGCAAAACATCAAAAGAAGAAAGAACAGAAAAAGAGACAGAAACAAAAGAAAATATCACAACTTCAAGATCAATCAAATAACAATACCAGCAATAGTAGTAGTAATAATAATAATAATAACAATAATCGTAAAAAACAAGAAAATGGAAATGGTATACATGTAAGTAATATTAATATTTATTCGTTAGAAACTATAGTAATGTTAAAAGTTAACTAAACTAACTAACTATATTTTGTTTTGCTTTGGTTTATATAATTTAATATAGAAAGATAATATAGAAAATAATGCAAATGGTGATGATCATGTAGATGAAGATATGGGAGAACAAGAAGAAGAATTTTTAATCGATGAAAGTGATCCTACATTCGAGTTGTATAATAAATTGCTAAAACATTTCGATAATCCTACTGGATACTCTGAGGAAGACGAACAGCAAAAGGAACAAGATAAAGCAGAACAAGAAGAAGAACAACAAAAGGAAATAGCAATCAAAGAAGAACCAAAAGACATTGATGATAATGGAGAATCGGATGAAGAGGAAAATGATAACGACAAACCATCAAAGATGTCAAACAGAGAGAGAAAGAGACAACAAAAGTTAAATCTACCAATATTGAAACAATTGGTAGATAGACCAGATATTGTAGAGGTAAATATCTATAAACATAACAAACATAATCAATTTTTACTAATCAACAACAACAACAACAATACTTTATTCCAATTATATTTACAGTTACATGATACTAATTCACCAAATCCATCATTTTTGATATCGATGAAATCAACGAGAAACTCAGTGTCAGTACCAACACATTGGTGTCAAAAGAGAAAGTATTTACAGGGCAAGCGTGGATATGTAAAGCAGCCATTTGAATTGCCAGAGTTTATTGCTGCAACTGGTATCACAAAGATCAGAGAAGCACTACTCGAGAAATCAGCACAACAAAAGACAAAGACAAAACAACGTGAACGTCTACAACCAAAGATGCGAACTATGAATATCGATTATCACGTGCTGAGAGACGCATTCTTTATACATCAGACTAAACCAAAGCTGTGCATCCAGGGTGAGTTGTACTACGAGGGCAAAGAGTTTGAGGTTTCCATCAAAAAGACGAAACCCGGTGTGCTCTCTGAAGATCTGCGTCGTGCACTCGGAATGGCCGACAACTACCCACCACCATGGTTGATTCACATGCAGACACACGGACCACCTCCATCCTATCCCAACCTAAAGGTTCAGGGTGTGAACGCACCTATCCCCGAAGGCGCACAATATGGATTCCACGCCGGTGGCTGGGGTAAGCCACCTGCCGACCTCCAACAGCAATACGCCAACGCCAACTCACATACCAATGCCATTATCGACTCGCTCACTGCACCCGTAGAGAAAGAACACTGGGGTGAGTTGTTGGCTGAAGAGGAATACGAAGAGGAGCAACAAGAAGACGAAGAGGATGTCGATCAACAGGAAGACGAAGAACCAGAGGAATCTGATATCTCTGAGGGTATCTCATCAGTTCCATCTGGATTGGAAACTCCAGATACAATTGATATCAAGAAAGGAAGACAACAACAACAAGATGCAGGTCAACCACGTCAACTCTATCAAGTTCTAGATCAAACTTCGGTAAGTTTTCTTTCAATTTTTAATTGGATTATATATATAATGAAAAAGGAGAAGAGACATATATATATTTATTAAATTTGATGTTGTTAATATTAAACATTTTTTTTATCTTTATTATTACAATTATTATAGAGAACAATTGGATCAGGTATTATGGAATCAAATTATAAATATAATGTACCCTCTACAATTAAAACGTCGACAACTACAACCACTCCGGGCAGAGGTAGCAATAAGGTTGATATTATAAAGAGTCAGAGATCAGCACCAGTCGACATTACATTCAATCCATCGGAACTCGAAGATATGAATGAACTCGATGAAGATTTACTCAAGAAAAAGTATGAACAAGCTGTCGCTGCCGAAAAAGGACCACAAAAACCAAAAGAAGATTTATCAAATGTCGCTGATGATCATAAAAAGAGGAAGATGCAATCATCAAAAGATGACAAACAAAAGAAATTTAAATTTTAATTATTTAATATTAAAAATACAAATAAAATATATTTGTTTGTACATAATATATCTTTTTTTTATCAAAATATAAATAAAGTTAACTTTATATAAATAATATCTAATTTTTATTTAAATTATTTAAATTATTTAAATTATTTATTTTTTATTTTATATTAATTTATATTAATTTAATTTATTAATCATCCATCAATCAACCCAAACACTGTGCTGTGAGTGTGATTATCAGATCAAAAGAAGATCAAACTTACTTGAAAGAACAGCAAAGAACAATTCTGGATTATCAACCATCATTGTTTGTTTATCGATAATGAAAAAAAGGAGGGAAGTTTGAATTTTAAATTTTTAAAGTGGCGCCAAGAAAATATTTGATTTTTTATTTTTCATAGATTCGGTTAATTATTATTTAATTTTTTTTATGCTGATTGATCAACTAACTGCGACAACAACAACAACAATATTCAAATCTAGAACTAAAAAACTACAATTTATTATATTTATATATTTTTTATATATTTAGTTTATTTTTACCTTTACAAAAAAGGGTATGTGTCTGACAATAATTAATAATAATAGTATATTACAAACATGTTTCAACTATTCTTAGAATTTCAAAAAAGAATAAGAACGATATGATTCTTATCAAATCGATATTTCTAAGAAATAATAATGTATATAATGAATGAAGATCATATAAAATACAAAATATTTATATTATTATAGAGATATTGTAAAAACAAATTTAAATTCCAAGAAAACACAAATATTCAAAATTTTTTTTAAAAAAAAAAAAAAAAAAAAAAAAGAGATACAACGAATCATTATTTATCTTAGTTGCGAATGCATTTAAGTCGTGTTTCATCGGAATTAATAATATAAAATCATTCATTCATTCATTCATAATAATTTAAATAATAAAATATAAATTTAGCCGTTTTGAAGTGACGATCAGAACAAATTTAATTAATAATATCTTTTACTTTTTAGATACAAATAAGAATTACATTTATTATTTAAATAGAAATACTCATTTAATTAGTATTTTTATATAAATAATACAATTTTGTATAATACTGTAATAATGATCATGAAAGATTCAGTTTTAAATACATCAAAGGAGCAATCCACTCCAAACAGTAAGATGTATGTAATCAAAAGAGATGGAACCAAAGCTTCTGTAAGTATTCATTTTTTTGCTGTAAAAAATCATTCAAATATTAATTTTTTCATTTTTTGTTTTTTTTTTAGGTACAATATGATAAAATTACACAAAGATTACAATCACTTTGTGATTTAGAACCAAAGTTGAATGGAGAGGTTATCGATCCATCAGAAGTAACACAAAAGGTAGCCAGTGGTGTTTTCCCTGGAGTAAAGACAACAGAGTTGGACAACTTGGCTGCTGAGACTGCTGCCTACATGTCCACCAAGCATCCAGACTACGGTGTATTGGCTGCACGTATCTCTGTGAGCAATCTGCATAAGCAAACCAGCAGCAGCTTCCTCGAGACCGTTGAGAAGCAACACTCTTTCACCAACCCAAAGACCGGACAACCCGCTCCACTTGTCTCGGACGAGTTGTACAACCTCGTCAAGATTCACCACAAGCGACTCGAAGAGGCCATCGACTACAGACGTGATTTCGAATACGACTTTTTTGGATTCAAAACGCTCGAACGTAGCTATCTCCACAGAATCAACGACATCATCATCGAGAGACCACAACAGATGTTGATGAGAGTGTCTATCGGTATTCACGGTGACGACATTGACTCTGCCATTGAAACCTACAATCTCCTCTCACAGCGTCTCTTCACCCACGCCACACCCACCCTTTTCAACTCTGGTACACCATCGCCACAGATGTCATCGTGTTTCCTCGTCCAAATGAAGGAGGATTCCATCGACGGTATCTACGACACTCTCAAGCAGTGCGCTCTCATCTCCAAGTCAGCCGGTGGTATCGGTATTGCCGTACACAAGATTCGTGCCGCTCGTTCCTACATTCGCGGAACCAACGGTACTTCCAACGGTCTGGTTCCAATGTTGCGTGTCTTCAATGATACTGCCAGATACGTCGACCAAGGTGGCGGAAAGCGTAAGGGTGCTTTCGCCGTCTACTTGGAGCCATGGCACGCCGACATCGTTGAGTTCCTCGACCTCCGAAAGAATCACGGTAAGGAGGAGATGCGTGCTCGTGACCTCTTCTACGCACTCTGGGTATCCGACTTGTTCATGGAGCGTGTCGAGAACGACGACGTCTGGAACCTCTTTTGTCCAAACGAAGCACCGGGTCTGGCCGATTGCTGGGGTGACGAATTCCGTGCACTCTACGAAAAGTATGAAAACACACCAGGACTTTCGCGTCGTACCATCAAAGCACAAGACCTCTGGTTCACCATCATCGAATCGCAAATTGAAACTGGTACACCCTATTTCCTCTACAAAGACGCCTGCAACAGTAAATCGAATCAACAGAATCTCGGTACCATCCAATGCAGTAATCTCTGCACAGAGATCATCCAATATACATCGGCCGATGAAGTAGCGGTCTGCAATCTCGCATCGATCGCTCTTCCCAAGTATGTCCGTGAGAATAAGGAAACCGGTAAGCCAGAGTTTGACCACCAGTATCTCTTTGAGGTGACCAAAACGATCACTCGTAATCTCAACAAGATTATCGATCGTAACTACTACCCAGTGTTGGAAGCACGTAACTCTAACTTTAGACATCGTCCAATCGGTATTGGAATCCAAGGTTTGGCCGACGTCTTTATTCGTTTGCGTTTGCCATTCGAATCGAACGGTGCTGCCATCTTGAACAAAGAGATCGCCGAGACTATCTACTTTGCTGCGTTGACTGCCTCTGCAGAGTTGGCCGAGCGTGATGGTCCATACGAGTCGTTCAAGGGTTCGCCCGCCAGCAAAGGTACACTCCAACAAGACTTTTGGAACGTAACACCCTCGCCAAGATGGGATTGGACATCACTCAAGCAGAAGATCATCTCAACCGGTTTGCGTAACAGTTTGCTCATCGCGCCAATGCCAACCGCCTCCACCTCACAGATCCTCGGAAACAACGAAGCTTTCGAGCCATACACCAGTAACATCTACAGTCGTCGTGTACTCGCCGGTGAATTCACCGTCGTCAACAAACAGTTGCTCCAAGATCTCATGGATCTCGATCTCTGGACACCAGAGATGAAGAATCAAATCATTGCCCATCGTGGTTCCATCCAGAACATCGAAGACATTCCAGACGACCTCAAGGAACTCTACAAAACCGTATGGGAGATCCGTCAGAGAACTTTAATTGATATGGCTGCCGATCGTGGTGCCTTTATCGACCAGAGTCAGAGTTTCAATGTTTTCATTGCAGAGCCAACCTTCCAGAAGCTCACATCGATGCATTTCTACGCATGGAAGAAGGGTCTAAAGACTGGAATGTACTACCTACGTACCAGAGCCGCTGCAGATGCCATTCAATTCACTGTCGATCAAACCATGTTGGCAAACAAAGAACAAAAAGATGCCAATGCCACAGCAACCGCCGATGGCGCTCAACCACCATCAACTCCAATCCGTACACCAACCAAAACACCAACACGTAACAACATCACCCCAACCAGTCCAAACAATATCGTTAGTCCACTTCGTTTCCAAACCCCAACAAGTTTATCACAACAAACACAACAAGATGAAAACTATGAAAACATGGTTTGTCGTCGTGAAGAAGGTTGTGTTGTTTGTGGATCATAATCTCATTATTAATCAAATCACATTTTTCAATCAATCAAAGCAAAACAAACAAAACACTAACTTCTTTAAATATCCTCCTCATTTTTCCATACATTTTAACACTTTGTATTAATTTATTTTACTACAAAGAATGATTCATTTATAAATAAATATAAACTAAAAAATTATTTAAAAATTCCATTTTTATTATTAATTATTATTATTATTAAAAAAAAAATCAAAAACTAGTTTGATTTGAAAATTAAAAAAATTTTAAGAATTTGAAGTTGGTGCAATAAATTGATCAAATTCTTGTTAATTATTAAATTTTTTATTATTTTTTTGTTTATTGTATTAATAGTTCATTTATATCTTGTAGATATATTTATATATATTATATATAGTTGTTAATTTTCAGTTTGTTGTTGTTTTTGTTGTAGATTTTAAAAAAGATAAATAATAAATAAAAAAAAACAATGAATATAGATAATGATGAAGATATGATGGTTGAATCAGGATCGACTACCACCACTGGTTCAAGTGTACAAAAGACCAGTGTTTCATCGAATGTTTTCGATCTCGACAATTATATCAGTGGATATACTGGATTTACAAAGATACATCGTTTGATGTTCATCGGTGAGGTCTCTGGTGACTTTGAAGCAGAGGCAATCGATCGTGCGCAACGCGAGATAAAGTCTGGTCAGAACGTTGAGCTCTATGGTCATCTCATCTCAAAGATCACCAGTCTCAAACCGGACTTCCAGTGGGTCGATTCCACCAACAAGCGTAACGCGCAGCAACTGGAGAAACTCGAGCAAGATCTCAACGCAGCCAAGTCCAACATGGTGAAAGATGCGATCCGTATTGCACACAACGAGCTCGGTGACCACTACTATCGTATGGGTGACTTCCCCAACGCACTCAAGTGCTACGTGCGTACACGTGACTACTGTACCACCTCCAAACAGATTCTCACAATGTGTTTCAACATCATTCGTACCGGTGTCGACATGGGTAACTTTATCCACGTAATCAACTACGTAACCAAAGCCGAACAAACCTCCGATCTCGACCAAGTATCTCTTGCCAAACTTCGTTCTGCCATGGGTCTTTCAAATCTTGAAACCGGTAAATACAACATGGCCGCTAAAAAATTCATTGAAGCTCCATTTGATAATTCTGGAAATCTTTCAGATGTATGTTATTGTATATTTATAATAATGATAATAATAATCAACAATCAAATCAATTTTATTTTATTAACTAATTATTATTATTATTATTATTATTATTATTATTATTATTATTATTATTATTTAATTTAGATGATTTCACCACAAGATATTGCAGTTTATGGTGGTTTATGTGCATTGGCAACATTTGATAGAGCTGAATTGAAAAAGAAGGTCATTGATCATCCAGTCTTTAGAAACTATTTAGAATTGGTACCAGAGATTCGTGAACTTATCAATGACTTTTATAACAGTAAATATAGTTCATGTTTGAATTATCTTGAGAAACTTAGAGTAAATATTATTATTATTTTTTAATCAATTAACAATTATATAATATATTAATTATTTTTTTTTTTTTTTCTTTTTTTAATGTTTAGCCAACATTACAATTAGATATTCATCTTCATGATCATATCGATAAACTTTATTCAAAGATTAGATCAAAGTCGTTGATTCAATACTTCTCACCGTTCTCCTCGATCGATCTCAATACGATGGCAGTTGCATTCAATACCAATGTGCAATCGTTGGAGAAGGAGATCAGTAAGCTTATTATGGATGACTCTATCTCTGCCAGAATCGACTCTCACAACAAACGTCTCTACGCCAGAAAGACCGACCAACGTAGTGTCACCTTTGAAAAGTCGTTGCAGGTCGGTCGTGAATTCCAATCGAACGCCAACGACTCATTGCTCCGTTTAAATATGCTCAACAACAATTTGGTAACCAACAGCGCCAACCCAAATCAACGTAAAGAAGACAAATTCTTTGATCCAATGTTAATGATGCAAATGGCTCAATTCAACCAACAACATAGATAAAAACAAACAAAATAAGAAAAAACCAATATATATTTTTTTAATTAAAAAAAAAAACTTATTAATTTAAATTTAAATTTTGTTCATTGGTCATTGTGTGATCATCGTTGGAATGAAAAACAAAAAAAAAAACCAAAATAAAAATAAAAATTTGTGTTTGTAAAAAAAAAAAAAAATTGTGTGTGATATTTTTTTTTTTTTATCATTGATTGACCTACAATTTTCTCTGCCTTGTCATCAAAAATATAATTTTTTTAAAATTTTTTTTCAATTTTTAAAAAAAAAACAAATGACTCACTGACAACTTCTATTTAGTTTGATCCGGATAAATTTTTTCATTTTGTTGTTGTATATTAAAATAAAATATATATAAAAATAAAGATGAAATCTACTACAGCTTTAGTTTTATTATTGGCCTTGTTGGTTGGTTTGTCCGCCGCCAAAGTTCACTTTGAAGAGACTTTTGGAGGTATGTATTATTAAATCAAAATATATATTAATAGATAATGAATATTAATGAAAATTATAAATTTCTTTTTTTTTTTTTTTCCTTTTTATCTTTTTTTTTTTTAATTAACTAGATGATTATACTTCAAGATGGGTTTCCTCAAAGTGGCGTCAAGATGACGGTACTGCCGGTAAGTTTGTTCACACCGCTGGTAAGTGGTATGGTGATGCCAAGGATGACAAGGGTATCCAAACCTCACCAGATGCCCGTTTCTATGCCATCTCCTCCAAGTTCCCAGCCTTCTCCAACGAAGGTAAGGATTTAGTTTTACAATTCACCGTCAAGCACGAACAAAAGTTGGACTGTGGTGGTGCTTACATCAAGTTGTTGCCAGACACTCTCGACCAAGAAAACTTTGGTGGTGACTCTGAATACTTCATTATGTTTGGTCCAGATATCTGTGGTGCCTCCAAGCGTACCCACTTGATCTTCAACTACAACGGAAAGAACCACTTGGTCAAGCGTGACATCAAGGTCGAAACCGACCAATTGTCTCACCAATACACTTTGATCCTCAAGCCAGACAACACCTACGCTGTCTTGATCGACAACGTCGAAGTCCAATCCGGTTCATTGTTGGAGGACTACGATTTCTTGCCACCAAAGCAAATCAAGGATCCAAACCAATCCAAGCCAGCCGACTGGGTTGATGTTAAGACCATCGACGATCCAGAGGATGTCAAGCCAGCCGATTGGGACACCACCCCAGCCACCATTGTCGACCCAGAAGCTGCCAAGCCAGAGGACTGGAACGATGAAGACGACGGAGAATGGGAAGCCCCAACCATCGCCAACCCAGAATACAAGGGTGCCTGGAAGGCCAAGAAGATCCCCAACCCAGCTTACAAGGGAGAATGGGAACACCCAATGATCGACAACCCAGAGTTCAAGGAAGACGCCAACATCTACGCCTACAAGAACATCGGTTCCGTTGGTTTCGAATTGTGGCAAGTCAAGTCTGGTACCATCTTTGATAACATCATCGTTTGCGATTCCGCCGAAGAAGCCAAGAAGTTCTCCGAAGAGCACTTCGAGAAGAACCAAGCCGCCGAAAAGAAGATGTTCGAAGATATCGAAGCCAAGAAGGCTGAAGAGGAAAAGAAGAAGGCTGAGGCTGAGAAGAAGCCAGAGCCAGTCACCGACTCTGATGTCGAAGAGCCAGTCGTCACCTCAACCACCCCAGAGGTCAAGGTCAGCTCAAACTCCAAGAAAGCCAAGGCCGACGTTCACGACGAACTCTAAATAAATAAAATAAGAATAAAATAAAATATAATTATATAATATATAAATTAACAAAGTTGTTTTTATTATTATCATCATTTTTATTTCTACATGTAATGATCTTGACCGGAAGGATCATGGCTAAAAACGAGCTTATGTGTTTTCCAATCATCATCTTCATTCTCTGTTTTCTTTGCTAAGGATTTCTTAAAACTATTTAATTTTTCTAAAACCTAACAGAATAGATTGTTATGTTAATAACAAATGAATGATTAGTTTATACACAATTTGTGTGGTATGAAAAAGTTTAACCTACATGAGAATCTTGTTGTTTCTTTACTCTGGGCGGGGCAATTGGATCATCACCTCTTTTTGTTGTCTTTTTAAAACTAAGGCTACCAACAATCTTTTTCTTTTTTTCTTTTGGTGGTTGAACTGTTATTTCTTTTGTTGATGGTTTTATAATTACTTTTACTGATTCTTCATCTTTATTATCATCTTCTTTTTTATTATCATTGTTATTGTTATCAAGAGTTGTTTGATTTTCATCTTCTCTATCTCTTTTCAATTGATTACTTTTTTGTTTAATTGATTCTCTCATTCTCTCTTCAAATGACTTTGAATCACTGGGTAGTGATGATGTTATTTCTTTTTTTGTAGTAGTGGTGGTGGTTGTTGTTGTTGTAGTTGAATGTTTTTGTTGAGTTTTATTTGATTCATTATTATTGTTGTTGTTGTTGTTTGATTTCTTTGTAACTATTTCATCTTGTGGTTCTTCATCTCCAAATGATAATAATCCTAAATTTCTATATCATTCATTCATAATATTATTAGTTGAAATTCTATTAAGTCAATTTTGTTTTGTAAAACATACTTTGGTATTGCTTTCTTTTTCTTTGTATTGGTTGTGGATTGTGTTGTTTTCTTTTGTCTTGGTTCGATATCATCGAATGGATTATAGACAACATCGGTTGTAATGATTTTCGGTGGGAATAGAGGTCGCTCGTTTTCATCCAATTCGATCTCGTTGACCTTTAGGATATTAAAGATGGTGTCACCGACGATCTTACCAAAGAGAGTATGTTTTTTTGTGAGAGACTCTGCAGCGTCCAGTGTGATGAAGAATTGCGATTGGTTCGAGTCTGGCGATGCCGATGCCATTCCGAGCATACCTCTTCTACTGAATCTAAGTCTCGAGTGATACTCGTCTTTGAAAGGCTCGCCGCCATACACCGACTCACCGCCTTCACCAGTTCCAGTAGGATCACCCGTCTGAACGATAAAGTTCTTCACCACCCTATGGAACAAGCAACCATCGTAGTAATTCTCCAGACACAACTGCACAAAGTTCCTACATGCTTTCGGTGCTTCTTTTGACCATAATTCAACTTCAATATCACCTAGCGTCGTTTTCAAAATAATTTTACCATTGGTTGTTGGTTCTGCCATTATTAATTATTAATTATCAACTATTATTATTAATATTAATATTTTAATCTTAATCTTAACTTTTCAAACAACAACAACAACAAAACACCTTTAAACTGGTTGTTGTTGAAGAAATTAAAAAAAAGAAATAAAATAAAAATTTGATTTTTTTGCAAAACAAAAACAGTGATACTTAGAAAATCAAAATTAATCATTTATTAAGTTTTTGCTGTTATTTTTATATTTTATTATATAATTTAGATATATAATTACATATAATGGCTGATCAGCAGCACCAACAACAATCATCAGATATACCTGAAAAAGGAACTATAGAAGATAAAAATAACAATGAGACTGAGAATGTTGAAAATGTTGTTGTTACATCATCATCATCAACATCGGCATCACCGACAATAACAACAGTGGTTGATACACCAACAACGACAACAACAACAACAACTGTAACATTGGATAACCAACCGTCAAGTGATCTTAATACAGTTGGTATAGATGATAAAGTAAATGTTGCAACTGGAACTTCAACTACAAGCACAACTTCAACAACTACTACTTCTACAACTTCTACATCAACAGCAACATCATCAACCGATGGTAATAATAATAATAATAATAATAATAATAATAATAATAATAATAATCAAACTGATCAAGATTTATATAAAGTAGAACAACAACTAGAGAAAATAACAATATCTACAAATAACAATTCAGTTCAACAGTCTAATGGTCAAGTGAATGTTAAAGAATTATCTTTGGCGATGAGTCATATTAAAAATGAATTAAGTCAGCTTAGAACGTAAATATATATATTATTTAACCATTTATTTAAATTTATAATATTAATATAATATTAAATTCAAATACAATATTTGTAGGTCAAAGAAAAAGTTAAATAAAATATCGAGTTTGATTGAAAATGTTATGAAATCAAATTGGTCTGGTAATTTAGATTTAGATCAGTTCGCTACCGATCCAGATGAAGACGATGACGAAGAAGAAGATGATCAAATAGGTGACTCTGCTCTCGAGGAGGAAGAGGAGGATAATGAAGGAGAGCATGACGACGATGGTGATGATGAAGACGATGTTGAAGATGACGATGATGGAGATGGAGATGGAGAGGAAGAAGAAGAAGACACAGATAGATTCTATGCTAGTCACACTCACTTTAGAGGTGTAAAGAGAAATATGGTCTATGATGACACTGAGGAGTATGACGAAGACGATCAAGTCGACGATGAAGAAGAAGAAGAAGAAGAAGATGTCGATGCTGACTATGAACGTAGATTGAGCGAGTTGATAGCAGGACAACATACTCTCTACTTTGATGAAGAGGGTCAACCTGTATTCTACGATATCGATGATAATCAACTCGATGAAGATGATCAAGCATTGGAAGAAGTTGATGAAGAAGAGGAAGAGGGTGAGGATGACGATGAAGAGGGTGAAACTCAAGATGATAATGGTGAGCTTGTTAATGATTTGGATGAAGAGCTTGACCACGAGGTTGAATCATACAACAAGACAAACGAAGAAGATGATCTCAGAGAAGGAATCTATTGGTTACCAAAAGCAAATTCAAAATGTAACTAATTTATCATATCCAGATTTTAATATTATAATAACTAATTACCTTGTTGTTTTTTTTTGTTAGTAACTTCACCATCTCTTCAGAATGTTAATCAAGAAGATGTAAATATTAACACTTTTATTTCATTTATTTGAGTATAACCGAATTCTAACTATTTTACTATTAATATATAACTAGACAAGTGATAGATTGATATCAAGAAAGAAGTTGTTAGCCAATATTGATAGTAAATTGAAACATTTACAAAAGAATAGATATCCACATTCCGTTGTAGAGTATAGTGACAGTGAAGATGACGACAGTTTTCAAGTTTGGAAGAGAAACTTCCCTGGTGTTAATGACAATGTCACCAGTAATAACAATATCATCATCAACAACAACAACAAAAACAACAATAATAATGGTTTAAAACCAGAGATTCATCATCATCACCCAGTTGGACATTTGAAAAAGAAAAAGAAGAAAGAACCAATCGTCTTGAATACCATTGCCGATATTGTTGATGTTGGTGACCAAGTCGATGATGAACCAACTGTACTCGATGATGATTTCCTTCAACAACTACCAATGTCAAGTTATATCAATAATTTGGTTAACAGTCAACAACTACCAAGAATGGATTCACCAAATAGAAACTTGGTTTCACCCAATAGTTTGTTAATGCAACAACAACAACAGCAGCAACATCTACAACAGAACCAACAACAACAACAACAACAACAACAACAACAAATTATACAACCACCACCACCACTATCACAACAGATTCTTATTCCACAACAAATAATGCAACCACAAAACTATCCCTCTACACCAAAGATAAACTATCAACCACAACTACCACAACAACCACAAACTATCTCTCAACAACAAGTATCACGTGTTCAACCAGTAGTAATGCAACAACAACAACAGCAGCAGCCTGTAGATCATGCAGATCTTTATCAGCAACATTTCCAACAACAGCAGCAACAACAACAATCTGCAGCATCGATCAACTGGCATGTTGACTGCAAGAATCTACTGTTGGAGACATTCAAGTTCATTGAGAACCACTCGTCATTCGATATCTACTATCTAACGATGATCATTGAACAACTCAACGGATTGAGCACTCATTTCCAATGGACCAAGTTGTACGATGCCGTCTGCAACACTGTTCAGATTCTTTCGACCACACATACATCTGCCACCAGTGGTGGTGGAAATGTTAATACCGTTCCAACTGTTGGTGGCACCACCCCTCGCCAACATTCATCTCCCTCCGTTCAAAGCACACCAACTACATTACACCACCACAACCACCAACCTCGACAACACTCTACACAGTATAACGATCATTTGAATTCCGATCAACAAGAGTTCCTCCAGAGACTACAATCACTTCAGTTGCAACAACAACAGCAACAGCAAACAAGACAATATCAACAGCAGCAACAACAACAAGTGACTACAATGTATAATACACCACAACCACAACAACAGCAACCATCACAACAACCACCACCACAACCACAACAACAACAACAACCAAACTATTATAATCATCAATATCACTATCAACCATCGCAACAACAAATTAATTACTATCATAACCAACGCAACAAGCGTACCAATAATAATAGCAGTAGCAATAACAATAATATTAGTATAATTAAGACTCCACTTAAATCGACACCATTAGAAACACCATCAAAAAGAGGTGCACAGTATACACAGGTTAAAAAAGGTAAACCATATATACCACCTGACCAAAGTAGAGAGACTTCTTTTGCATCAGATTCAACCAACTCAAAGTTAAACAGCACATCCAACTCAAACTCTACAAATACCAACATCACTAGTATCATCAACAGTAATAGTAATAGTAATAGCAATAGCAATATTAATGGTGCTACCAATGGTGGTGGAGGAGCTCGTAATGTAGAGGAAATCTACAAAAAACTATATCAACAAAGACAGTTTCTCCTACAGCATCAAAAACGACTGCAACAACAGCAGCTTGTCCTCAAACAGTTGAATTTGTTACAACAAAAACAACATCAAAGAGTACAACTAAAGAGTCAACAACAACAACAACAATTGCAAAATGAAACTCAATCAAAAGATACCGATGATTTACATTCTTTGGTAAGTTTTAAAACCGAAAAATATAATTTATATTAAGTTCATTGTTTAAATTCTCTTATTAACTTTTTTGGTTTATATCTATTATTATATCATTATTATTATTAGTCATCGATTCACTCTGACAGTCATTATGATGATACCTATGATGAAGAAAGTTCTGTTGTTGATTTCAATGAAGATGATGATATTCAAATAGATGATGATGAAATAATTTTTGAAACAACCAAAAAAACTAGTAAACATATTTTTGTGATTAAACAAAAAACAACATTATTTTATTTTTTTACATTTCTTATCTCTATATTGAAAATTCTATTGTGTGTAATAATTATTATTATAAACAAAGCCCCACAAATTACTCTATTACATCATATTTAATGGTCCAAAGTATTTTAAAAAAAAATATCAGCATAAAAAAATAAAATTATAACAATCAAATTTTAATGACCAAAACAGCAAAGATGTCTTTGCAAAACTGATCAACATTATCCAAAAAACCCATTCCCATATCACATCATGGAGGAAATTGATTTTTTGTTTTGGCCACCATCAAAAAAAACAAAAAAAAAAAAGCCAAAACACCAATAAAATGTCATCAAATCGAAACAAGATCTTTTGCAACTTTTTGGGGTTATTATTTTTATATTTATCAATTCTTATTAATTAATTAAAGATATAAAAAAGTACAAACAAACAAAGAAATAGATTAGATAATATTTAGATAGATAGAGTTATTAAATGAAAAAATTTAATAAGGCATATGGTGAAGCAAAGGTCTCGGTGAGAGAAAAGATTGGAAAGAGAGATTCTCTTACAGAGTTGCCTGATTACAAGATCAAAACGAAATCTATCGATGAAATTAGAAATAGTTTAAAGGAACTAACAACGAGATTGGTAAGACAATCGAAAGCACATCAAGTGTTGATCAATGACAATACATCATTGGCCGATTGTTTCACAGAGTCTGGAACACAATTATTACAAGAGGTAATCATTTTCAGTTCTTTTCATCTTCATCTTATCATTCATAAACTAAACTCCTTTACATTTTTAGGAAATACATACATCTTCATCAGCAGCTATTTTAGGTCCAACACTTACAATTCTTGGTGATATGCATAATCAATTTGAAATGACAAGATCTAAATTGGTAAATAAACTTATATTTAAACAATTTAAATATCAATTTATCTAATATTATTTTATTATTTTAGGATATTGGTATTAATGACACATTGAACAGTAAATGGCAAGATTATTTAAAGAATGACTTGAAAGATGCAGCTGTAAATATTTTTTTGATTTTAATTTATCCTTATTAAAATTTTTAATGATAACTAATATTCTTAATTCAGGTTGCAAAAGCAAGATATGATAAATTTAGAGTTTCATTCGATGCCTCCACAGAAGCTTATAAGAATTTGAGAAAAAAGAATAATATTCCTCCAGAGAAATTGACAGAGTCTGAACAAGATCTTCAGGTATCGACTCAACAATTCTCAGATGTCGCTGTGGAGTCTCTATATATTTTTGAAGATATTATCGATAAGATCACTGTTGAAAGTATAGATACTGTGTATGACTATATAAAGGTGTACGAGACCTACTTCTCAAAAGGTTTGGAAATAGTCAGAGAGATTCTTCCAAACATCGAAAGACAACGACAAACCTGCGCAAAGATTCGCCAATCTGCAACTGAAAAGAAAAAGAAGAGACAAGAGATCTCTGCTTATCAATCACCTTCTACCTTTGCCAACTCTGCACAACAGCCATCTGCTTTGGCCAGTCCAGAGCTGAGTGTCAATGGTTCATCAGCAAATCAAACACAACCAAATAACAATATCAATAACAACAATAAGATGTTTGGAATTTCTTTGGAATCATTACAAAGTAGAGATGGCGATATTATACCAGCAATCATAGTAAAGGCGATCCAATTTCTCAATGGACATCTGGGTGTTGAAGGTTTATTTAGAGTTTCACCGAATCAAAAGCATCTTAACGAAGCAAAACTGGCGATCAACAATGGAAATATGACCAACTTTGATAATGTTGACGATCCTCACTTGGTTTGTGCACTTATTAAATCGTTCTTTAGAGAGTTACCAACACCATTGCTCACCTACGAGTTATTTAGACCATTGGTAACTCCAGTTGTCGAGTCAATCAATGAAGATACACCAGACCACGCCAAAATAATCTCTCAACTAGCAGCAACATTATCGAAGCTTCCACAGTGTAACCGTACACTCTTCCAGCTACTCTTAAAGATGCTCAGCAACATTACATCGAATTCCAAAGAAAACAAAATGACATCGAGCAATCTCGCTGTAGTATTAGCACCAAACATCTTGTATCCCCTACAACTGGATATGGAGTCCATTACAGAAGCAAATGCCACCGTTGAATATATGATTAGACACTTTGCAACACTCTATCCAAATTCAGACTCTTTAGAATCATTAGTAGCAACAGCAACAGCAACAGCAACAACAGTCACATCTTCTTCAACACCAGCTTCACCATCATCTTCTTCAACACCATCACCATCATCATCACCCTCACCAACACCGAAAACCTTTAACAGATTAAATAGACAGAGTGTAATATTACCGCAAACACCACAACAGAGTAGTTCTCCACAAGACTGGCGAAGAAGTGTCGGAGGAATAGCTCCACCAGCATTACCTGCCAAGCCTTCACTTGTCAAACTCAATAGTTTATCATCATCCACCTCACAACTACCCTTACCTCAACACACTAACAACAACTCAAGTCCACCAATGTCGCCACCTGCACTACCACCCAAACGTTTATCAAGCTCCACTTCACAATTATTACCATCATCAAATCCAGCACTCAATCATCAACAACAAACAAACAACAACTACAACAGCAATAGCACAACAGCGGAGAGCAACAACAGTGATTCTAAAACAACATTTAACAATAGAAGATCAATGTTTATAGGTGCTACACCAGTTTTACCTGCACTTCCAACTAAACCACCACCAAAACAACCATTAAATGCAACATCATCGGCAACAACTTCTACATCAAACACAATGTTATTCGATGCACCACCTCCATTGGCAACATTGCCATCACAAACACCACCAACGTTGCCTCCAAAAAACAGTTCATCATCATCATTCCGTAAACGACCACAAGCCATTAAAATACCTTCAGGAACCACCGTATTGACATCTCCCGATGGTACTACCGCCAAATACAGTCTACTGGATGACTCTTTTTATTTCGAGAATTCAAACAATAATATGAAACAACCTCTGACCAAAGAAGAAGATATAGATCTAATAGAATGGTAGAACAAAAAAAAACAACAACAAAACAATGTAATCTAATCTTTCATTATAATAATAATAATGCTAATTTTATGCCAAATATACAATAGTTAAATTATTTAATACAAGCAATTTATCAAATTCTTTTTTTTATTTTGTTTTGGTTTTTTTTTTTCAAAAAATTGCAATCTTATGTTTATTTTTTTGGTCAAATATTTAATTAATTTTTAATTTTTAATTTTTTTTTTTGTTTTTTTGATACCAGATATAAAGATAAATATAGTATTAGGAGTGAGTGAAGGGAAGCTAAGCTTATTGTATGTCTTCAAATAGATAAACAGCGACAACAACAATAACAATAACAACAACAACAATCAATACGATATACTACATATAAACACTACCATTTTCATCAATAGTCACAGTCACATTTTAAATAAATACATATATAGACTATTTTGTGTGTGTTATGATATAGAAAAACAAACAGGTGATCTCTCGGCACTTTGCATTTAAAAGCTGCAATCAAGTTTATTACTACGTATAGCTCTCACACACCCACTATACCACAAAAAATAAAAATAAACTATACTATTATATCTTTTTGGAGCAAGTTTACCTTTATACATTAAAATAATAATAACAATAAAAAAAATAAATCCACATAATAATAGAATAATAGTAATAATGTTAGTAACACACTCTTCATTCATCCTTTACAAATATTTAATATAATAATTATTATTTTATTACAACTTTGCTTTGCTCTCTCTATATATGTATGTGTGTGTGAGTGAATGCGAGAAGTGTGGTGTGTGGTTGCAAAATAGTAATGTAATAATAAATTATCCATCATCACTATTATCATCATCATCATCAAAACCATTTAATCAATTCAATTGCATTTTCACTCCCCATTTTTGAATCTTTTCCATCTGTATTACTACACATATATTTTATTAATGTTATAAATATTTATTACTTTTATATATATTTTTTTGTTGTTCCTCATCCTCCAAACATAGTTTTCTATTTGTTCAAAAAACAAAACAAAAAACCATATTCATTTCTGGTCAACATTCATTTACCAAAACATAATCAAATTTTTGGTTGTTGATTTCAAAATCTCTTGACTAAATTTCCGGATACACAATCTAATCTAATTTATCCAACTCTTTAACAGCAAACAAAAAGGGAAACAATCAAACCAACAAACAAACGCATCATACCATTCTTTAACTATTCCTCTCAAAAAAAAAAAAAAAAAAAAAAAGGACCCAACAAGAAACAATAATATAATATAATCAATCAATTAATTAATTTTAGTTATTCAAAAGGACACCAATTTATATTTATTTTTTTATCACAAGTGATTATTAAATTGGAGTTGCATTTATCACATCAATATCAAATACCATTATATATTTTGTATCATTTTACATTTTTTTAATTATAATATTTTTATAAAACAGACATAACTATCTATAGTAAAAACCAACAGAGTTAGTAAATATGGGAAATAATGCTTCAAAGAAAAAAAAAGTTACAAAAGTCGAAATCGGAGCGGATGTCAAAAAAGAACCAATCGGATTTGTTCAAGGAAAACAATATAAACTTGTCATGTTAGGACAAGGTGGTGTTGGAAAAGTAAATAATAATATAATTATAATCTTTTTTTTTTATTTTTTTATTATTTATAGTTTTATTTTTATGAAAATAGTTTTTATTTATTCTCCTTTATGACTGAACTTGACTAACAAACCATTTATTTTTTTCTCAACTTTTAGACAAGTATAAGTATTAGATTTGTTTCAGATAGATTTGTAACGGACTATGATCCAACGGTAGAGGATGCATATAAAAAAGATTATCAGATCGATGGCAAAGAGATTACTCTGGAGATTCTAGATACTGCTGGTCAGGAGGAGTATGCGTCGGGTGTTCAAGATAAATCGATCAGAGTTGGTGAAGGTTTTATTTGTATCTACAGTATCACATCAAAGGAGAGTTTCCAAAGACTAAAAGATTTGCGAGAAAAGATTTTGTGGGCAAAAGATTCAGAGAATATACCAATGATCATCGTTGGCAACAAATGTGACATGGAGAAGGACAGGCAGGTTCCAGCGTCAGAGGGTAAAGCATTGGCCGATGAGTTTCATTGTCCGTTTATAGAAACAAGCGCAAAAACAAATACAAATGTTAAAGATTGTATGGATTTAGTATTAAAAGAAATATCAAAATATAATTATGAATAATATATAACAATAATAATAATAATATATAGAAAATTAAATAATAATAATAATATCTATCGTTTCCATTTAAATTGAATCCATCCAACCTTGATGTAAAATTCAACAAAAAAATATGTATAATAAAATTAATTTTGTAATTTAATTTGTCTATTTTTACAATTTATTAATAAAAGTTTGAACTGTATGTTGAGAGTTTCTTTGAATTTGATGATGAAAAAATGAACTTCTTATTTGTAGTTGAGATAATGAATTTGTTTCAAGTAGTTATTGACGATGTTCCACCAATTTTTAACAACGAGCCAATTCATTGGATGATAAAGTAGTGAAACTTTTGAAATACAAAGGGTAACGGCAATTGTTTTCATCCTCTTCTTGTCATTGATATGTTCTCTGACATTATTCTAGTGGACTATATCATTTCTTTGATAGTATACAAAATAAATAAAGTATTTATTAAATCTTTCCAAAATTGTTTTTTTTAGCAACACGGTTTTTTGACAAATTCCTTGATTCGATTTTCAATGTCGTCACGAATGAGTCTCACTTGGTCTGCTGGTTTATTCTTTGGATCTTCAATATGCCAGTCTACTATTTTAACACCTAGTACATAGGGACACTGTTCTTCACAACCCATTGTGACAATCATACATGACTCAGTTGCCAACTCTTTTGTTAACTTTTTAGGTACATTGCTGGAAAGGTCGATGCCAAGCTCTGACATGGTCTCTTGCACAACAGGATGGACATGGTCCGCTGGATTAGTACCTGCCGATACACCGACAGTGTCAGTGTGACGGTTGTGAAGTTTAAAGAATGTAGCTGCCATCTGTGATCTACCGGCATTATGAACACAGGCAAATATGATTTTCTTTCTATTTCTCAGTATCGATTCCTTTGGTGGAATTGATGGAATATCACAGCACTCATTATTATCAAGGCAACACCTGACATTTTCCTCTTTATCAGGTTGTTGAAACACTTGTTGCTGTACAGTTTCCTCCAACTGATTACCATTTTCGCTAGATTTTTTAATCTTGTGATACCAACGCTTCTGAATAAAGAGAGCGACGTAGACTAGAGCAACTAAAACTGGAACCTCAATGAGAGGACCAATGGTTGCTGCGAGTGCTTCCTTCGATTGAATACCATACGTTCCAACAGCAACTGCAATTGCCAATTCAAAGTTGTTCGAGGCGGCTGTGAATGATTGTGGTACAGCAATTTCATAGGGAACCTGAGTCTTGTAGCAGTAGACAAAGATCGAAGTAAACATTACCATAAAGTAGATGAGCAGCGGCACTGAAGTTCTTATAACCTCACCAATGTTATCGATGATCTGGCGACCCTGAATAGCAAACATAACAATGATAACATAGAGTAATGCAAGTAGTGACATCCTACCGACTTCAGGTAGATAGTATCGCTCATACCATGCGAACCGCTTGAAGCTGAAACGAGTTAGGATACCAGCAACCAATGGAATGCCCATATAGATTAAGACACTACGTATAACAGTCCACATGTTGATGTGAATATTGCTGCCACCTCCAAGAATAACAACAAAGAAGTAACTTAATGGACCATAGAAGAACATTTGGATGACAGAGTTAATGGCAACAACCAGCGCGCAAAACTCATCGTTTCCTTTCGCAAGATGATTCCAAATGAGAACCATTGCAATGCAACGCGCTACACCAACCAAGATGACACCGCTTCTGTAGTGAACGAGGTCTGGTAGTGTCGCCCAGGCAATTGCGACCATCACCAAAGGTGCAACGATCCAATTGACCACCAAAGACACACCGATTTGTCTGATAAAGAAGCTTCTGTCTTTGACAAACTTGCTTGCCAACTTCTCATAGTGTATACGACAAAACACAGGATACATCATCAAGAGTAACCCAACTGCGATTGGAAGTGAAACACTAGCTAGAGTGGATCGAGAGAATGCATCTTCTACCGATGGTACATAGTAACCAATTAGGATACCAGCTGTCATAAACAATAGTATCCATAAAGGAAGCAATTTATCTACAAGTGAAAGTCCTTTCATCATTTTGTAATAACTATTTATGAGTATGTACTGTACAACAGCAATTGCACTGAAAGAAAATGAATAAATATAATCACAACCCCGAGTTTTGTCTAATAAAATAAAAATGTTCCATTTAAAAACATAAGAAAATTTGACCAACCACTATAATTTTTTTAAACAAAAAGAGATTCTAATTAAATTTAGAAGCACAAGATCCATTTAGTTACAGAGAAAAAAAAAATAAAAAATTTGGGAACCATTTTCGTTCAATATAATTTTTTTTATTTACAAGTATTTGCATTAATTTTAAGTTGTAATATGATACAGGGAAATTTGAATAAATACTAGATAACTTTTATTCTTTTAATTTTTGGTTTATTGATTGAAACCATAACCATGATCATGACCACATTGTCCGTACTCGTTAGCAAAGACATCTTCACAGGCTTTGTAACCAACTGGTGGGTATGCATAACCAAAAGCAGTGTAGAAGGCTCTGTCACATTCTTCTTTCAAAACAGACTCTTTCAATAGTGGAACATAGTTGGAACCTTGGACACCTTGAGCACCAGTCTTAAAGAGAGACAAGATACTGTTACTGTAAATCTCTCTGGTTCTAATGGTAATTTGCTTCGAACCAATACGGGCAAGTGTTGGAATATCTGTTCCATATACCATACGGCCAAGACCTCTCCATACAGAAGCAGCTGCGCACATTGGACATGGCTAAATAGGTTAATTAGTATTTATGTACTGGTTTCAAAATCTTATCGATTTACTTACCTCAGCAGAGGTATATAATGTATGATTTGCTAGAATTAAGAAAAATAGAGTAAGTTAATGATATATTGCATATAAACAACATATATCTATCATTTTATAGATAATACATTGAATTTGTTCACTTTAGTTTAATTTTTTTATACATACCCCAGTTAATACCTGGATTTGTACGATCATTTCCGGTTGGACTTGGGTACAATTTAGTACAATTATTAAAAGCAGCTATTTCTCCGTGACTGAGGACGTTATCATTACCAGAATTAACACCATAGCAAGAGATGTTGTTGCTAACATGATTAACAATGATTGCACCATATGGACGTCTATTGTTACAAGTTATAAATAAATCGGTAAATAAGAATATAATAATTAATTTAAAAACTACAATAGATTAATTAAATTTGATATTTACTCTCTGTTCAATGTAACACCAAATGCAAGTGCTATTCTCATATAACACTCATCTCTGGCATCTTGAGTTCTGTAAACACAACGTGGACATGGAGAATATCCAACCTCTGGAGTACATGGTGTATTGGTTTGACCTTGAACCAAAGTGATACAAAGAATAACAACTGCAAGTAATAAATATTTCATTTTATTTTGAAAATAACAATAATAATATTGAAGACGAGTAAATACTTTTTGAAGTGATTCTTTTCTTTACTTGCAAGTCTTATTTATACTAATTCTGATGAGGGATTTGAATAAGAAATCTTGATTATTATAATCATTCATTTGATAACATTTGGAAATTTGACAACCTAACCCATACAAAAGTTACCTTTTTTTTTTATTAAATTAAAATAAATTTGAACTTGAGTTTGGTTTCAGCACACACAATCTGCAAAGAATATGAAAAAAAAACGGTGTCTATTCAATCAATATCATGAACATAAATTTGCACGAGATTTTAATTTTCAAAAATCATGATTCGTTCGTTTAATTAAGATGTTCGAGAGGCATAGAGAGAGATTGAATTTTTTTTTATGTTTTGTTTTTGTTTCAAAATGATAAATCATATTACCCATCTTAGATGCGACGAGCTGATTGGTTTGATGTTTTTTTTTTTTACATTATATTTTATTGAATTTTTAAACAAATAAACTTAATTATTATAATCTATTATACCAATACTCGTTGTTATTCCTAGATCTATTATCAAAGTCTCTTTCTCTATCAATATCTCTGTCACGATCTCCTCTTTCCCCTCGATGATTGCTGCCGCTGCTGCTGTTTCTTTCTCTTACTCTGTCACGGTCTAGATCTCTATCACGTGGGCCGCTGCTACTATTTCTTTCTCTATCGCTATCTCTGTCTCTATCACGATCACGATCTCTATCTCTATCACGCTCTCTATTTCTGTCCCTATCGAAATCTCTGTCTCTATCCTTCTCACGATCTAAACTATTGTTTCTGTAACTACTACCGTTACTGTACCTTGATGATTGTTGTTGTTTCTCTGATACACCACCACTATGATATTCTGATGCTCTGCCATTGTTTTGTTTTCTGTCGTACGGTGTTTTTGTGTGATCTCTATTGGTAGGTGGTCCGCCGCTCGGTCTTCTCGATCGTCTGTAGCCATCTTCGTGTTCGTCTTGATAAAAATGATTGTCTGGGTCTTCCCATCGATGAGGATACGCTGGCGGCAAATCATACTCTGTCGCGCCAAGTTGGTGATGTGGCAATGGATACGGTAGTATTCCCTCTGCTCTGATTCTCGAGCTATATGCTGCTGCCGCTGCTGCTGCTGCCGCCAGTGGATAAGGCGGAAACATTGGATATGGGAAAAAGATGGCATCGTCCATTGCCATCGGGTGTTGATTGTGTAGTTGTTTAAACATATGATGTGAAGGTGGTAGTTGTTGTTGTTGTTGTTGTTGATGATGATTATTATTGCTATTGTGATGATGATTTTGCATTTGTTGTTGATGATGATGTTGATTACTATGATGTTTTCTAGGTACTATCTCTTCGGGATGACAACCTCTACACTTGCAAATCTTACATCCACCGTCTGGCAACACACCCTTTCTCACCGACGATGGCACTTGACATAGACAAGCTTTTCCATTTTCACTGAATGCTTTCATACATGGTTTACAACATCCATTCTTAAGAGTTACACTGCTATCATTATCACTTGGTTGTTGTGTTCTTTGTTTACTATTACTATTACTATTGTTATTGTTGTTGTTATTTAATTTATTATTCTTTTGATCTTCTAAATCTTGTGGATGACAACCATTACAACCACAAGCTACACAACCATTTTCACCTAGTTTACCTCTTCTCTGGTTCGAGGGTACTTGACATAGACAAGCTCTTCCATTGTTACGTCCTTCTTTACAACAGTTTGCACAACAACTTTTTGTCTGTTGTTGTTGTTGTTGTTGAGTTTGTTGTAGTGGAGGTGTAGAAGAGTTACTATTACCAGTTGTATTTTTATTTCTACCGTTACTGCTACTGCTACTACTACTATCTCTACTGCTTCTCTGATCCTCATTTTCATTGTCATTGTCATTTTCATTGTCATGATTATGGTCATCTTCATTATCATTACTATTATATTGATATCTATTACTGTCCCTCTCCGATTCTAATTTTGGTGATGATGTCTTTAGTTTCTGTAGCTGTTGTTGTTGCTGTTGTAACTGTTGTTGCTGTAATAACTGAAATTGTTGTTTAGCCAAACAATTACATTCTGGACCACAACAACTACTCTGTGTTACGATGGTGGCTATCGGTGCATTATTTAGGTCTCTAACAACACTACCTCCTCCACAACAACTAACAACAATCACTTTTTCATTTTGGCCACCATTACTACTACTATTACTATTATTATTACTATTATCCATTATTATTATTATTATTAAAAAAAAAAAAAAGAATAAATTATTTTACTTTTTAACTATTTTTAATAATAAAAAATAACAAATAATAATAATTAAAAAAGGGAAATATAAATAAAATTAATTTAAAAATATATATATATAATTTAAAATATCAATTTATAACTTTTTTATTTTAAAAAAAAACTTTTAAAAAAAAATATCAAAAAAAAAAAAAAAAAGACACTTGTTTGTTTGCTCATCAATTTTTGGGAGGATTTTTTTAATTTTATTGCAATTCGTTGTCGATCTGAAAATCTATTGATTTTGGTACAACCAACTGACTTGGAAAAAAAAAAAAAACAATTATTATTATTTATAAAATTATTATTTGTTTTGTTTTTTGTTTTTTTTTAATTAATTTTGTGTTGTTTCTTCTTCTTCTTCTTCTTCTTCTTGATCTTCATCATCTTCTTTTGGTAAAATAGCGATAAATGGATTAATAAAAGTGGATTCCCATTGATTTGGACCTAGTGATAGTTCTTGTTCTGTCAATAGACACTTTGAGAGTTGCTCAATGAATTTGGCTTGTGTCATTGATTTAGACTCCACACCGACAATTGAGATCTCGCTCTTTCTATCTTGATACTTGAACAACTTAATATCTCTATCGATACTCTCTTTTACTGCTGGATCAATTGGCCATTCATTTTCACTCATCGTAGAGTAAAATTGATTTCCATATGTAAATAATTCATATCCTGCATTCTATTTAATAAAAAAAAAAATAGTTAATAATATATTCATTTATAATTAACTAACTAACAAACTATTTTACTTACAACTTCAAATGAATAATTCATTTTCATATCAGTTGCCAACCAAATGAAACCATTGAGATAGAGAATTGAACTGAGTGTTTTGCTATTGATTTTCTTGGCTTGGGCGTCGGCAAATATGAATTTAAAGAGTCGCTCTGGGTGGAATGGTACACGTTGATAGAAATGAGTGATAAATACACCGCTCATCTTCTTCTCTACTGGTTGATAGTTGCTAACACTCATCGATGGTTCACCAAAGAGTTCACTGATAACATTGACTTTTGCCAACTCTGTCTTTAATACTTTTACATTTGGATTGATCAATTTGACTAAACTCGATAGGAATTCAACCTCATCTTCTTCAACCAAATCAATCTTATTTAGAATGATAATAGATGCACATGTTAACTGAAAAAAAAAAAAAAAAAAAAAAAAAGATAATATTAGTAAACTAATCTAATCTAAACTAAAACAATCCATTATAATACATACTTGATCAAAAACTAAAGATGAAACTGGTTTATCACCTTTTTTAACTAATTTATCTGATGATGATTCTTTGTTGCTGTTGTCATTGGCAGCAGCAGCAGCAGCAGCTTGTTGTTGTTGTCTTTGTAGGTTTTGACAACAGTTCACTTCACCTTGATCGGGACAACAAACGGTTTTCTTTCTCGATCCCGAGAGTGATGTGTTTGAACCTGCAAGTGAGGAGTTGGATGCTGCCAATGCTGCGGGTGTTAATGGTACACTTAGAAATTGTGATGCTGTTTGATTCGGTTGATGACCAACAACTGTATTATTATTGGTAGAGGTAGAAGTAGTAGAAGGATGGCAACATGCACCATCATGTGTATGAGAATCTGGACTAACAATACAAACATCTTCAAACTCACTCTTGAATCTTTCATTCAGAAGTTGTGTAGATTTCAAATTGACCAACGCCGAAGCACAATCCAACAAACAAACAATATTCAATAAGTTGATTTTCTATATAGTATATATATATATTTAGTTGTAATTAGTTTACTTTAAACAAACTAATTCACTCACTACTACTACTACTTACAGTTGCTAGGGTTGCTAATGGTCCTTCATCAATGCAGGAGAGTAGCTCTGCGAGGAAACTAGATTCAAAAGAGTTACTGACGAATATGATATAGTCGAATGGCGATGGTTCATTCTCTTTGAATCTTGTGAGTACATCACTCTCTATGTTTTGCACGTCGAGTGTACAGCAAACGCAGCTACCGCCCATCATTTCGATGGCGACGTCCTCACGCAACACCTTTGCATCTTCAAAGCCATAGAGAATCGTTTGTGGTAGAACATCGCTATCGAATATCAGAGCGTATCGTTTCTTCTCTTGTAGCAACTGATGAACAAATGTTGATTTACCTGAACTGATGAATCCTTCAACCACAATAGCTGGTATTAATGTTGTCATTTTTCATATATATATATAGCCAATATAAATATACAAAAAATAAATATATATATAAGTTTCTAAATACTATTTTTATTGTTACTGTTTTTAATATTACAAAATTAATTATTATTATTATTTTTATAAATAAATAGTTTTTTTTTTACAATATTTTTAATTAATTATTTTTAAAATAGCCTGACCCTTTCTTTCCAGAACACCCACATTTTTTTTTTAAAAGTTTATTTTTAATTTTTTGTTTTTTTTTTTTTTTTAAAAATCAAGATACTGGAATTCAGTAATGTGTCTAATGAATTATCCACTTAAATAATAGAAAAGAAAAAGTTGATTCAAATTATATATAAACGTAAGTAATATTAATTCTTATTCCATCTGAAAGTCAAATAATTGCTTATTTTTAATTTAAAAAAAAACATTTAATAATAATTGAATTCAAACTAGTTTCCAAAAAAAAAAAAAAAAAATAGTATTCTTTATTACATAAATATAAATTTGAATATTCCTTTTTTATTTAAATTAAATATATATATAGTATCGCGTGTGATTACTTGTTGATTGTTTTTTTTTTTTGATTTTTGTTGATTTTTTTTTTTTTTAAATTTAATAAAAAACTACTTTAAAGTGCAATTGCGACACTATCTGTAACGGTTGTTCTTCTCTTAACATTGATATGTGAATCCTCTTTTTCTTGTGTTTCTTCTTCTATTGCTCTTTTACTGGTGTGGCATTCATCAATGGCTTGTTCACTTGGTTCTGGATTAACAGTTGTTGTTGGTTCTCCATGTTTCTTGAACAAAGGATCCTCTAGTTTTGATGATGGTTCTGATGTTAGAGATGGTTGTTCTTCTTGTTTTGTTTGTGGTTGATTATCTTTCTTTTGATTCTCTCCTTCTTCCTCCTCCTCCTCTTCTTGGTCTACAGGTGAATCATTGTTTTCTGCAAGTACTGCTGGTGCATCGGTATTATTGACAGATTCTTCGGTTTGGTTGGCTACTTCATTGGTTGTAGTTTCCTCTTTTTGTTGTTGTTCTGGATTTGTTGTTTCCGATGGTTCCTCTTGTTTTTCTGGATTGGTATCCAATTCATTTTGAGGTAAACTATCAGCACCGTTCACTTCCAAATTTTCTTCACTAGTGACTGGAACAGCAACAACAACTTCATCTTGATTTACAGTTTCCATTTTGTTATTTTTTTTTTTTAAATAAAATTTGTTGTTTTTAAATAATAATAATTAGAATAATAATAATTTCTAGAAATAAATTTATTTGGAATGAAAAAAAATAATATTTGATTGCTATTAATAAATAAAATATACAACAAATAGTTTGATGTTACTACAAATGGAATATAATATTAAAAAATAAATACAACAACAACAAGTATAGATTTAAAATATAATTTTTTTTTGTTGATTGATCTGAATGAGTGAAGGTTAAATGTTTGATTGATGTTGTAAAAAAAACCAGTAGCGTACTAGTGCAAATTTGAAACTGAAAATTAATTAATAGAATGAAAAAAAATTAATTTAAAATAAATATAAAATAGGTGTTTACAAATAAATTCAAAATATGCATGAACTGTGTGTGGGTTGGGAGTATAATTGATTGATAGTGTGAGTGTGTGTTATTTTTTTTTAATGTTTTGAATGTAATGCCAATACTCATTAAAAATGAACTATATTTGTGAGCATTGATCATCTACTTTTTAAGTATCTATATTAGATAAATTTAAATTAAAATTAAAAATGATTTGGTGAGTGTGTGTGAGAGAAACAATCAAAAAATATATATATTCAAAAATATAAAGATATTGGCCAAAGTACACATATAAACTCATATAATCTCCTTCTTTGTGTTACCATATAACACACACACTCACACACTCACACCACTCACAATCTTAGTGTGTCACCAATTATCTTTCAAATTTGGATAAACAATTTTATACAGCGCAGTGATTTTATTTGAAAAAATTAAAAATAAAATTAACAGTTAAAAAAGTGGGTTTGTTATTGTTTTTGAATTTATTAAGAAAAAAAAACAATTAACAATAATAAATTAAAATTAAATATTATTTTATTATGACCTCATTATTATTAATATTAAAATTTAATTTTTTCGACAGTTAAAGATTTGATGGGAAGTTGTTGAACGATCATATTGACATTTGAAACAAATGTTGGATCACGGTCAAAGATCGGTTTCAACAGGTCGTAGTTGGCTTCTTTCAGCATCGACTCCATCAGGAAATAACTATTACCAAACTCCAAATATAATCTGGTATCATAACATCGTAGCAATACATCGTCAACCCTCAAAAAGAATCTTTGTAATACAAATATACCTGTTGGCATCGCTCTCTTTAATATTATTAATATTTTTTTTATGATATTTTAAACAAAAAAAAAAAAGCAATTGATTAACCATCGTATAATGAAATAATATATATATTAAACATTTCAAAACTTACAACTTTAACACTTAACATTGAAATACCATTGTCTGCCAATTCATCTTCAAAAAGTATAACATCGTCATAGAATAAGATTGGATCTGGTCGTTTTAATTTCTCTATATCAATTTGTTCTGTTGTCGTTGTTTCAAATATACTCTTTAAATATGAATGAATGAATGATTAGATATCTTATTTTTCTTTTTAATGATATAATGATGCTTACTTGTGGTCTGTTTGTCATAGTATAAATATGACCGTCTTTGAGTACTGATCCATTGTAAGGTGTGGTGAATGTCCATTCGAAAGATTTCTCGAGTGGACCTGTGAATGTACCTTGATTGATAGCTTGCCAACGCGCAGAGGCAGCCACTTTGATTGTCTGATCGGCTGTCTTCTTACAGAGCGACAGTGCATCATGTGTGTTGAATACAATAGAGAATGAATTGTCCTCTCTCGCTACACTGACATAGTTATTACCGAATACCATCTCTGGTAACTCATTCAGCTGTAACTCTCTCTCCCATTCTTCTTTCTCCGTTGAATTCAATATTGGTTTCTTCGAGGTTGTTACCACCCAACCATTTACAGCCACGCCATTCTTTAATAACTTTGTTCCTGGAGGTAACTCTTGCTGTTGTTGTTGTTGTTGTGATACTGACATAGATTAATCAATCTTTAATAACTACTGCTAATACTACTATTTATAATAAAACTTGAAACTAAACAAACAAAACTATTAACTATAGTTTAACAATTTCAATGAAATGATTGATATTTAAAAAAATAAAAAAGTTAAAAATTTTTTTTTTTGATCAAATTTAGCAGGTGGTAGGTGATCGATTGATTGGTTGTTCAAAGTGATTTTGTGGTAATTAATTTGTCATTTTATTTTATTTTATTTTTCAGAAAAGATAAAAAGAGTTAATTTTATTTATATCATATTATATTATACCATATTATATTATATACATTAAAAGGTAATTCAATTATTTTTCCAAAATAATATATCGTTTTGTAGTTTCTTTTGAAAGTTTTCGTACCACCTGTCGACTGTTGTCGTAGGTACCATGTTGGGTGGAGCTCCGTTCGTACCGGCGAATGAAAGTACGTAGTTTACAAAGTTGTGACACATTTTGAATGCGTATTGTTTGAAATCGATAGCTTTGAATGTTGTATTGTCGGATGCTGCATTCGTCTTTTGTTTAGCGTTGATCTCTGCCTCTGTCTCTATAGATATTCCGACTTGTGCAACCGATTTCGATTGATCGATCATCGTCATATCGCCCTCTTGCAGAATCGAAAAGAATGCCGATGGTTTCAAACTGTTTATAAATCCTAAATATTTCCAATCTTGAAACGGTGTATATGATAAGTAAATAGCTGCTCCATATCCTGCTGGGAAGTTTCTAATATTCAATAGTACAAGCATTAGTTAATAACTATTCTTTCTTCATAACATAATATAATATTATTACTTACTGCTCAGTTAAAAAAACAGCGAAATTATGTACATTGGTAGCATCATCAATTTGAAAAAAGAATTTACCTATACATATATATATCATTAGGAAACAGGGTCAGTAGAACAACTCAGATAAATTAAAAATCATTTTTAAATGATTATAATAGTAGTAGTAATAATAATAATAATAGTCACTATCAATAATTACCAGGTTGAAGTTGAGTTACACTTGGTTGAACAGGTCTACCAGAAATTACATAACCAAACATTTTTTAAAATATCTTAATCTATCTATTTTTAATTTTTAATAATATAATATCTATTCTATTTACAGCTATATTACACGTATTTATTATTATATTTAAATTGAACAGGTGACTAGTTTATTGTAAGTTCACTGTTTATTAATTCGGTGACACCACTCAATTGATGTTTGAAATGAAAAAAAAAAAATAAATTAGAATTTAAAAAAAATCACCAAAATGGTGAAAAAAAAAAACGAAATCTTTAAAATTTTTTTACAATTGATTAATGTTGGTTGCACTCAAACACACACACAGATAGATATCGAATCGACAACAACTAAACAACAATTATGTATAATATATTAGTTGGATTCCTTTTAGGAATCATCTTCTCAAGTGTTTCTATATTATATTTATTCTTTAGATTGTTGGCAAAGAAAGTAGATCCACTAAAAGAAAATAGTAAACGACAACAACACCATCATCATAATCAAAATAATAAACATAATAATCATAATAATAGTAATTCAACAAAAAAGAAATCAATATTATTTTCATCTGGATCAGCATCATCTGAACCATTCGATTTTGCAATCAGCAAAGATACACCACCAACATCGATCGAAACCTGTAAATGGATCAACTTTATAACTAAACGACTGCTACAAGAGATCAACCATTCACAGCAATTCTCACAATCACTCTATCATGTTTTAAATAGTTTGGCATCGGACGACGATTCCAAACCAGATTTCATTGTATGTCTATCTACTGTCTTATTATTATTATATTTATTATTATTATTATTATTATTATTATTATTATTATGACTACAATTCATAATGAATCATTAACTCATTACTTGTATTTACTTATAAATCTTATTATTATTATTCTTATTATTAGGGTAATCTATCATTTTCAGATATAAATATAGGATCGACAACACCAGAGATCGGTACCATTAAATTGATATCGCCAGTGAATGCCTCGGTCAATGTCTTTGAATTCGATATTATCTATTCAGGTGACGCATCAGTCACTGCATCCACTGAACTATGGTTGAATTGGCCACAGAAACACATGGCATGCTTACCCGTAAAGACAAAGATATCTTTGAAACAATTAACTGGTAACGTAAGTATCATCAACTTAAGTTGTTCAGAAGCAAACAATATAATATATAAATACAATTGTATTGGTCAAGTCAAGTGATGATTAACAGATTGTTATATTTCCTATATATATATGTAGTTTGTTTTATATATACCGAATCATACGAATCCAATGTGTACTCTTTACTTGAAGGAATCGCCTTCTCTGACAATGAGAATGATAACCAAGATGGGTTATGAAACAGTATTGAAGGAACCAGGTAAACTAGGTCAATTCTTGCAAAACTTTATCGTAAAACAATTGAATCAACGATTGGTATCACCGAATAAGATACAATTCCCATTGTTCTCAATGTTACATCCACCAGTAGTAAATGCATCGCTCTATCCAACATCGTCTTCAAACAATAACCATAATAATAATAATAATAGCAATAGCAACAACAACTCGACATCAGCTTCATCAATTTCAACCGGTGGTAGCATGGTTAAATCTACATCTTCACCGACTTTATCATCTATTTCATCGAAATCCTCTAAGCATAGTAGCAGCGGCAACAACAGCAATGGTTCAACATCACAAAATAAACAAATTAAACAAAGAAGACAACAGCAACAACAACAATCGTCTCAACAATTATCACCACTTGTTGGAACAACACCCCCCAATACATCACCAACTTTAACCTCACAACAACAATAGTATTAATAAAATAATACAAAACGAACAGAGGTGTATTAGAATAAAAGAAATATTGAATAATATGTTATTAGTAAAAAACAATACCATTTTTGGTCTCATTTCCGAAAGTTAATTTAATGTTTTTTCTGTTTTTTTAAGGAATAATTTTTGGTGACCAGTCAGTTTTTGATGAGTCATACACGTCAGTGTTTCAAAAATCAACTGTGCTGTATCATCTTCTTTTTTTATAATTAGAATGATAGTTGAATATATATATAGATAGATATTATAAATATGAATATTTTATTAAATAGAACATTTTATTGTTTTTTTGTATTTTTATTATTATTACTTTGTTACTGTAGAGCAGATGATAATATATTACAACAAGATCTTGCAAATAAAGATATAAAAGAACAACAACAAGAACAAAAACTTGATTCATATCAAAAGATAGTTGAACAATATCTACAACATCAACAACATCAACAACAGCAACAACAACAACAACAAGAATCAACAACTACACAACTGCAAGAGTTAAATGTAGATAATGGTGATGGTGTAACTTCAGAGAAAGAAAAAGAAATACCTGCTGTTCAGCAGACACATATCGATGTTGCTATTACCGAAGAAGAAGAAGAAGTAGATATATCGGTGGTGGTAGATCAAGATAAACCTGTTGTAGAGGATATCAAAGAAGATACTTCTCGGGAAGATATTACTATTAAATTTTCAGCTACATCAGATAATAATAATGACGTCAATTCAAATTATAATAATAATAATAATAATAATAATAAGAATGAAAATAATAATGATAGTCCGACAACAGATAGTAATCAGAATAATCAAAAGGAACAAAGTATTATACCAGAGTATATTGGTAATCAAATACTTCAAGATATAGAAAATAAAATAAATAATAATAATAATAATAATAATAATAATAAAGAAGAGAAAATTAATGAACAATCTACTGTTTCAGAAGAAAAGAATGAAGAATCAAATGAAAACACCAAAAATCAACAACCTAATCAAACAGAGAAAGATACTGAGAAAAAGATAGAGAATGAGAATGAAAATAAAGAGAAAGATAAAGATAATGAAAAAGAAAAAGAAAATAATAATGAAACTAAAGTAGGTTCAGAAGATAAAGATACACAGCAGCAACAAACAGAAATAGAGAAAGTTAAGGAAAAGGAAATTGTTGATGAAGAGAATAATGAAAAGAATAATGAGATCCCAAGAATCTCAACAGTATTGGAGACAGTACATAGAGACGTAATCACTTCAATAGAGCAAAAAGAAAAAGAAATAGAGCAACAGAAGATTGCTGATACTCAAAGAGAGACTAAATTACAAGAGGAACAAGATACAAATAATATAAATAATGAAATTAAATGTATGTTTTATTTAGATAATAATAATAATGTTAATATTTATTATAAATATAAACAAAGACTAACTTTAAACTTATTATTAAATAAAAGTGGAACCATTCAATAAATTTACACAGAAAGTAATATTCTCATTGGCGGATACCGAGTCGAATTCGGCGTTGGCTCTGACGCATAACAATACGGTGAGCAATCAGACAAGTTATCCGACTGTGCGTACACCAAAGGATCTACCGGACAAGTTTAATTATGCCGGTGCAGAGTGTGGTGCTACTGTGCTCGCTGCCAATTCCGAGGCGAGAGAGATCAGTAGTATCTTGCATTCATCGAAAGATCGCTACATGCTCAACCAGTGTAATACCAACCCTTGGTTCGTCATTGAGTTGTGCGAAGAGATCGGTATTCAAATCATAGAGTTGGCAAACTACGAGTTCTTCTCATCGATGTTTAAGGATTTCGTTGTCATGGGCATCAACAAGTATCCTAGTAGCACTTGGCATTTCCTTGGTAATTTCACCGCTGAAAACATTAGAAAACCACAATATTTCGTTTTGAAAGAGAAATCTTGGTATAAGTAAGATTGACTAAAACAAATATATTTTATATAAGTTGTATCTAATTAGACTTTTTTATTTTTAATCTTTTAGATATTTGAAAATTAAGATGTTGACAAATTATGGTAATCAAATGTATTGTACTCTTTCAGACATTAAAGTTTATGGATCGACTATGATTGATGATTTAAAAAATCGTATGTTTATTTATTTTTTTAATTAATTATATGATTAAAGTTTATAATTATTATTAACCTTTTTTTTTGTTTTTTTTTATTAATAAAGAGGTTGGAATTAATATTCAAGAAGTAGAGTCAATTTTAAATAGAATGAATAATAATATTACATTTGGAACTTCATCATCATCTAAATTGAAAACGAGAAAGGAAAATGAAACTATATCGTGGACACAGTTGCAACAGGTTTCGATGAATTTGACACAGACAAGAGAGTCGTATTCACCTCCCGATAAAAATGGTGGTGGTAGTGGAAATGGAAATGGACAGAGTAGTGCAACTAGTTCTGCCACAGAAGAGAACGATGAGCATGGAGCAACACACGTAGAGTCTGCCAGTCCTCAGAGTATTCTACAGCTACTGGCGAATCGTGTGAAATCGGCAGAGATCAACCAGTCGATATCGAACAAGTATCTCGAAAAGCTAGAGACTCACTACAGTGAGAGATTCAGGAGTTTAGACGAAGACTTTACCAAGATCATGTCGGTCATCAATGGAATTGCCGAGCTTGGTTCGGACCTCGAACGACGAGTTGCGATAGAGCAGCAATCTATCGAGAAGAAGATCTCTCAGGACATTGCCAAAGAGTTGAATCTACTGCGTGAGCGAATCAATCGGCTCGAACAGAAACACGAAGAGGATAAAAACTATTATATCACATTGTTGGCATCATCATTTATTTTGGCTATCATCATCTCCTATCTGATTATCAAGGCAAACATTGAAGAAACAAGCTTTAAGCATTCTAGCTTGAGAATTCCATGGAACAACAGCAACAGCAACAGCAACAATAATGCCAGAAGAAATTCATTACCAGTATTCAGTGACCAACCAACAACACCTTTGACCTCACTTTCCAGCAGCACATCGATGATTAGACCAAATACACCAAACACACAATTCAACATCAATACATCACCTACCTCAACTGGAAATGGATTCGACTATGTTCGAAACAGTCCATTCAGTAATCAACAAAGTCTATTGAAAGCATCCGAAGTTTTACTTTCTCCACCAATCGTTTCAAATTCTAATACCAACGATATTTTCAAATCGAAAAAGAAGAAAAAAAAAGCAAACATAGTTCAGTTTAATAACAACAAATATTAATATGAATAAAATCAATTGTACATTGTGAATATTTTTTTATTGTATTTCCTTAAAAGAAATTGATAATTTAAAGATTTAAATCGTTTATTTATAAATGGAATGAGATAAAATTCTTGATACAATTGCAGCATTGAATTTGTCTTGTGATTGACCAAAAATAAGGTAATGATTATCATATATCTTTCGAACATTAAGATCCACTATGTAATTGTAATTGATAAAACAAAAGTTGGTTACTGACTTGGGTTGGTCGAAAACATTCTCAATCATATTAGAAGGAATAGTCATTGATTTTACAGAGTTTGGAATCAATTTACTTGAGAATTTATCTGAACCAAAACAATCTTCTATCACGATTTCTTCAACAGTGTTCGGAAATTCGGAATCAATGAAATTGATTGTTCTATAGAATTCAAACATGATCTTCTTCACTGATGATAGAATCCCGTTTGGAATTGTTTTTTTATCTAATTGTAAATCGATGTGGCCAAAATATAAAGTTTCCACACCTTATGGAATATCTCTGATAATCGATTCATTTTTACTAAAATGCAGTTGCAACTTCTTGATCTTCAGGTTGTCAAGTGATTCTTGTTTGGTTCCATCTACACATAGTCTTTCGAAATGATATTGTGACCGATTTTTGAATATCTCATCGATATCATATTCTGTTAGGAATATATTGAATATTTTATTGAAGGTGATAGAGATGACGTAAGACGACATACAATATTAATATCTAAATTCGTGAGGGGGCCTGGTAGATCTGCCAAATCTAGTGTGCTCTCCAAATCATCAGTTTTGATGAGTATCAGCGTTGTGAGATTGTTCAGTGATTTGATGAATGGGATCCATGATAAAGGTGATACTCTTAATGTACAAAGTGAAGATGGTAATACTCCATCCGATATCATACTTTTACCATAATGAACAAGAGCTCTAAGATTTGAGGAAGTGATCCAACTTGAAGTGTTTGAGTGTAATCGATTCCAAACTCTAAATATGTTAATGATGATGGTAATACATGAGAGTAGTTGATTGAAACGTTCACCAAATTTCAGTTTCTTCAATGTAATTGGAAGAACACCTGCCAAGATTGGTTCATTAAAAAATGATTTCCATTCGAATTTTAGTTTCTCAAGTTTCGGTGGAAGATAACCTACCAGCAATGGCTCATCAAAGTCCAAACAAAATGTTATCGATGTCAAATTCACAGGTAATACAAATTATAAACTCATAACTCTGTCTAACATGTAAACATTTGAATTCGATATTATTCCATAGAGATTCTCTGTATTCTGCTCACCAAGTTCTCGAGCAATATAAACTCTAGTGATGTTTGGTATAATTCTATCAGTTGTGTCACTAATATGCGTAACTGTGTTGTGAAAAAGATTTGAAAGAATTAGAATTTGTAATAATTTAAATATATTTTTAAATATTATTTTTTACAAGGATCTATAGAATAGTCTTTTGAAAATAGAACCACCAAAAGAAATACTACATCCATATCCATATGACAAAGTACAATTAGTCTTTTGATTGAATGATCTGAATATTAATGATTGGTACGATTTCAATGTAATTACTCCATCTTCTTTATAATGAATAAATCAAAGATAATTAGTTATCTTGAAGATAACATAGATAGAATATGTGTCAGTTTAGTTTGTAAAAGATGGTTCAATGAAAGAGATAAATATCTATATTTTAATACCGATAGTATTAGAATGAATAATTTTATAAAAGAAGAAGATGGAAATTTTGATGAAAATGAAGAGGATGAAGAAATTATTAATAATCGTAAGAGTTTATTTACCTAAAAATCATATCGATCATCAATATTCAGATCACTCGAACAAAAGAGTAATTGTTCTCTAGCATTTGATGTGTCTCCTTCCCGAACAGACTATTCGATAGACATAAGTAAGTTATTGGTTAATTACTTTTTTTAAAAAATAACAAATTCTAATCTTTTGTTTTTTATAATACAGATAGTCCTAATATAGATGATAGAATTTCACAAAATATAACTAAATTTTATTTAGATTCATATGATGATCTTTTAAATAATATAAAATCTATCTATGGAATGATATCTAATTCAAATGTGTCCATACTAAAAGGAATATCAAGTTTATCGAATGTATTACCCGTGAATTTGACATCGATAACATTTCATTATGAGTTCAATAATTTATTGTTGGCAGGCTATCTTCCACGGAATCTAAAGAAATTGAAATTCGAATTGGAATCATATTTAATCAACCAATCTTGGCAGGTGTTCTTCCAAATACATTGAAGAAACTGAGATTTGGTGACAGTTTCAACCAACCAATCGAACCTCATGTATTACCATCATCTTTAACATATTTAAAGTTGGTAATTGATTATTCTCAAACACTTCAAGTTGGATCTCTTCCTCCAAATCTCAAAGTTCTTGTTCATCTTGGAAAAAGTAAGATATCATCAGATGGAGTATTACCACAATCACTTTGCACTTTGAAGTCACCTATATCATGGATTCCATTCATCAAATCACTGAACAATCTTACAACTCTAACACTTTATCAAAGTGATAATTCTATTATCACAATTGACTTGTCAGAGCTTCCAGATTCTCTCACAAGTTTAAAGATTCTTTATTTCTGTCGTCTTATCTCAACTCTATCACCTTCAATCAGATATCTCGATATACACCAAACACAATATGATATCGATGAGATATTCAAAAATCGATCACAATATCATTTCGAAAGACTAACTATAAATGGGTATAAACAAGAATCACTTGACAATATGAAGACCAGAGAGTTGAAAATCGATTGGTGAATATTCAATTATCAGAGATATTCCGTTTGGTATCGAAACCTTATATTTTGGATTCCATGGATACAAAAACATTAAAATTAATCGAAATTCGATTCCATCATCAGGTGATGAAAATCATTTTTCAATATCATACAACATTCGATGCCTTAGAATCCTATATTCCAAACACTGTTAAAGAAGTCGTGATTTTAAAAGTTATAGACGATGAACGAATATCAACACTATGGATTCAAACTCTGTGAAATCACTTACAGTTCCTCCAGAAATGATCCGAAAAGTTTTGTCTGAAAAATGTCGATCATTAACCAACTTTTGTTTTAAATATAACAAAAATAGATGGCTCTCAATGTTCGAAAGATTTATGATAATCATTATCTCATTTTTGGTCATTCCAGACAATTTTAATGGTTCAATAGTTACCTACGATTGTTTAATTTCATTTTATGCCACTACAAAAAAAGCTTTTAGATTTATTTTTGTATATCTTGATTTTTTTTAATAAATTTGGACTCTTCTAGTTATTATCTATTCATTTATCTCACATTTATTGAAATATCTTAACAAGATAGAATACAATTGAAGAAAGCGTGTGCAGCGAAATACAGGCAAGCCATGTAATAAGCAAACCCAAAGGTAAGTTAGGAGCAGAGCATACACAAGTAGATAGATTGAAGAAAATTACACAGATAACTAACAAACACTTTTTCAAACAGCAATCAACAATCAACAAGAACAGTAGCCAACAGTCGAATCGCGTCAAAGTAAACATAGGAGAGTAAATACAGATAAATGAGCAATTGGTCGATTACAGATCTGCAATGTCATCGCAAACCTCGCCAGGCACAATACTGTCACATAACAAAGCAATAGGAAAGTAATCGACTTTCGTGGACAACTGAAAGTAAATTCATAGTCTATCAAACTTTCAGAAATATAATAGATATGTCATATTGTATTGACACTCTCGTTGTCGAATTCAGTCTATCAAGAAGGCATACAAACAATTTGCATCTTGTTTGTTATCATTAATACATATAACAGGATTGATAGTCACCATACAGAATATGTTACTGTTAAATTTAGTCCGAGAATCAGATTGAAGGTATGTGTGTTCGCTAGTTTATAAAGCAGCAGAGTTGTAAATAAAGTGTATGTATGTACTATATTGGTGGTGTATTCATTTTCTAATATCTTATTAACTGTGATTTATCAGCATACAGATGTAAATAAGCCTGGTCTAATGATAGCAATAGCAGCCAACAATTGTATCAGGTGGTTGATCGTTATTAGATATGTTCATATAATCTAATGATAATATCTCTACAACATCCAGTGTATAGTGGTTGCTTGATGGTGATGGATCAAACTACCAGGTATTTGGTAATGCATTTATGATATCATTCGTAGAACAACTGTAAGTCTAGCATTAATAATACATTGATCAATAGTTTGGAATCTACATTAAGCAATCTAATCGATCTACACGGTGTTATTTTACAAAAAATTTAAATATCAAATATAAAATTTAATAATTAAATTTATTTTTAATAAAATTTCTATTACATATGACTAATATTTTTATCCATACAAAAATAAATAGTAGTTATTTAAATGAGTGTTTATTTATCGTAAATGAATTGAGATACAAATTTTCATACAATTGCAGCATTATCATCAAAGATATTTGGTGTAATCTTATCATTTGTTTCATCTGCTGTTTTATGACAACGGCGATCTATATTTTATGTTTCAAAATAAAAGATTTGAATTTGTTATTCTTAAAAAGATATTACCAATAACTTACGTATTGCTATCGAATAGTCTGTTTGGTAAGAAGACACACCGTATGTCAGAGTACAATTTAGCTTTTTTTTAAGTGATTTGAGTATTCACTACGATTGTTTCGTAGTTGTCATGGGCACCACACAAATCAGTGTGTGAAAAAAGTTTTTCACTTTTGAAACGTGCATTTTGATCATAGTAAAAATTTAAGGTGTGCTAGTGTGGTTATCATTTTTTTACAATTTGTCGAGATTTTTACCACATTAATTTTAAAAATTTATTTTGATGACTCGAATCAAAAAAAAAAAAAAATGATCATTTCAAACAATAGTTATTTAATTTGAGATAGTCAATTAATAATAATATTTAAGATTTAATTTAAGATAGTCAATTAATAGTTATTTATTATCGATTTGCAGATTTGATAGCAATATCAAACAATAGTTATTTAATTTGAGATAGTCAACAGTAACAATAACAATAACAGTAACATTAACAATAAGAATAACTTCACTTACAGCAATAACAATAACAATATTAATTATAATAATAACAATAATAACAATAATTACTATAACAATAGTTTTTTTAATTTAAATAATCCATTTATTAGTTATTTGGAGAGTCAAGATATGGAGATCGAATATCTTTCTCAGCAGATATTGCTACTAAACCAACAAACACTACAAATGCGACCAACGAACCAACAACAACAATATCAACATCAACAGCAGCAACAACTCAAATTACAGCAACTACAACCACAGAACAACAACGATCGTTCGAACTTCTGAAATACAACAAAGACAAACAACACAAAGAGAGAGAAGAATAATCGATCATCTGATGTTCGCTCATCGTTATTCCAAAATGGACAAAAAAGTCTTTGCTAAATCAAATAATATGTCATTCCAGTGTATATTTAATTGATGTTTAGAATGTGAACTAACAAAAAAAAAAAAAATAGATGGTGTCGATATAGCACTTGGTGGGAAGCTACAATAACAAACATTGTATAGTATAATCAATAATTCATTTGAAAACAGTATCAAATTCAAACAAGGTGGTGAAAAGATACAAAAGACAAATGAAACTGACATTGTAGAGATCGATGATGCATTGACGATCTTTTGCAATAGTAGATTCAACTATGAGACATGTCTATGAATGCAATATTGGTATGTTTACATTTAAAAGCTTCTTCTGAATAAATACTAATATAGTAATTATGATTAACAAAAAAATAAATATTCTCATTTATAATATAGATTATCTATAAAATCGTTGCAAGTGTTCTTTTTAAAGTTATTTAACATTTTTTTTTCTCATTAAAAAATAAATTGTCGTAACAACTACGAATTTAATGTGTAAAAAAGGGCATAACGAATCCCATTCGTAGTATGCTTTTTCATACAAATTTTTTTTTTTTTGCATTTATTGAGTTGAATACTATGTAAAAACTTCGTAACAACTACGAAAAAATTGGTAGTGGATGATCGATATGATTTCAATGAAAATACACTCTTACAATTATCATTCTCTTCATATTCTTGAAAATTATACATTTTAATACGATCGGTATTAAAATATAGATATTTATCTCTTTCATTGAACCATCTTTTACAAACTAAACTGACACATATTCTATCTATGTTGTCTTCAAGATATTATCTTTGATAATAATAAATGTGATAAAATAACAATCATTGAATAATTATATTTATAAATGATCAATAATGATCTACAAATTTGATAAAAAATTAGCATTAATAATAAATTTTAAACTTTTTTTTTTTTTGTTTCACCAAGAATGATTATTTGACTTGTGTATATTCTTTTGCAATAAAAGTATCTGATTTTGTTGTTTATTGATAATTAGTGGTAATGTAGTCTTAGATTGAGTATTTAGTTCATGGATGAATGAATTCCCTTAATATACGTGATACAATCCCAGCATTGAATTTGTATCTTGGTTGACCAAAAATGAGATACTGATCATCATATATCTTTCGAACATGGAGATCTACTTGTTGATTGTAATCGACAAAACACAAGTTGGTGACTGATTTAGGTGTGTCAAAAACTTTGTCGTCCAACAAATTAGAAGGAACAGTCAGTGATTTTACAGAGTGTGGAATCGGTATACCTGTGAATCGTTCTTCCGAACGAGAAAAATATTTTATCACGACTTCTTCGACACTGTTTGGAATTTCAGATTCAATTAGATTGATTGTATTATAGTATTGACATATGATCTTCCTCACTGACAATGGAATTGAGTATCGATCTTTTTCAGCAAATTTAAACTGACCGTTTCCAAAATATAAAGTTTCTACACCATATGGAATATACCTTAAAATCGATTCACTATTGCCAAATTCCAGATCAAATTCCAGATGCAATTCCTTGATCTTCAGATTGTCAAGTGATTCTTGTTTGTTTCCATCGACACAGAGCCTTTCGAAATGATATTGTGATCGATCTTTGAATATCTCATCGATATCATAATCTGTTGTACTGTGTATATCGAGATATTTGATTGAAGGTGATAGAGATGACGCGAGACGACATGAAGTTTGAATATCTAAACTCGTAAGAGAATCTGGTAGATCTGACAAGTATATTGTGTCAATGGAATCATGACCACTTGTAAGGAGTGTTAGAGTTGTAAGATTGTTCAGCGATTTGATGAATGGAATCCATTTGAAATGTGACGCCAAAGTACAAAGTGATTCTGGTAATACTCCATCTGATATCTTACTTTTACCCTTATGAATAAGGACTCTAAGATTTGGAGGAAGTGATCCAACTTGAAGTGTTTGAGTGTATTCACCTCCCAATTTTAAATATGTTAAAGATGATGGTAATACATGAGGTTCGAGTGTTTTGTTGAAGTATTGAGCAAATTTCAGTTTCTTCAATGTATTTGGAAGAACACCTGCCAAGATTGGTTCATTAAAATCTGATTCCCATTCAAATTTCAGTTTCTCTAGTTTCGGTGGAAGATAACCTGCCAACAATGACTCATTGAATTCATGAAATGTTATCGATGTCAAATTCGCAGGTAATACACTAGATAAACATACACTGTTGAAACTAGCTATTTCTTTTAGATTGAATACATTTGAATTCGATATCATTCCATAGAGTATCTCTGTTTCCTTTTTGCCAAGTTCTTCATTTGTTTCCAAAAAAACTTTGGTGATATTTGGTGTAATCTTATCATTTGTTTTGCGTCTATCTGTATTGTATATTTAAAATAAACGATTAGCATTTGTATATTTTATAAAACAACACTGTCAATACCAATATCTTACCTAAATCTATCGAATAGTCTGTGTCATAAGAAATACTACATCCATATCCATATGACAGAGTGCAATTACTCTTTTGATTGAATGATCTGAATAATAATGATCGATATGATTCTAATGTAAATACACTCTTACGAAAATCACTTTCACGATCTTCTTCTTGAAAACAAGACATTTTAATATTATCGGTATTAAAATATAGATATTTATCTCTTTCGTCGAACCATCTTTTACAAACTAAACTGACACATATTCTATCTATGTTATCTTCAAGATAACTAATTATCTTTGATAACAATAAATGTGATAAATCAACAATCATTGAATATTATAATAGAGAGAAGAAATATATAGAACCTATTCAATATTTTTAAAATTTTAGATTAAAGTTGTCAAATGAATTTTGGGTAAAAATTAAAAAAATAAAAAATAAAAATTACACTATTTTTATATGGGGTTCGTAGAAAAAAAAATTACAAATAATTTTTTTATGAGAAAAAAAAGTTTATTTGAGGGTTAGTAATGGTAAAACGAATGTGCAAAGCATGGAAGACATCGAGTTTGGTGGTGGGTGGCCAGAGTCCGATACAGACTCTACAGATCTTCCAAGGATAAGATTCAAAAACATATTTTCGGAATTATTAATTATACCACAATCACCAACAATGAATCACCACCACTGCGACATGAATAATCCTATTATCGAAGCTATTGGATCTGGTGTATCTATTATTGAGGAGCATCCTCTTTGCCAAGGAGTATGTTTAATTTTTTTTTTGAGTCCACTGGTATCAATGCACTTAATTCATGTTAGTATTACACAAACTTACATTTGTATATTTTTTTCTTTTTTTTAGGAAGAAATAACATTTTGAAAATTTTCGTGGGTAGCCAGCTGTGGGTGTGTGAAGTGTTTCGCAACAGAAGCAAATTAATTTGCCACATACAAATTTCAATTTCTATCTTCCGCCATCTTTTTTGACTAATACGACGGTTAACTCCTTATGAAATGATACCTATATTTTGATTTTAATTACATACTTAGTTAGAGAGATACAGATTTGAACTTTAGCTAACCCAATTTTGTTATAGGTGATCGCATATCACAAAAGTGCTCTCAGGTTGTGTTTTATTGAATGATTCATCGGTATTGGATATATAGATCTATATAGACACTCTAGTTGAAGCAACAATGAATGGCAATGGGTTCCGATGTTACTACAGACCTGTGGTGTGTTATTAATTATATTCAATGTATGTAGGTAATAAATGATCACTCTTTAAAGTCTCTTTAACTAATCTAACTAATAGCATTTTCCACTATAAGATAGATCTATCTTAGTAGAGCTGCAGAGAGCGTGAACATCTACACATAAAGTTATCGCTTTCGATGATGAACTGTACAGAATCTAATTAAATAATTGACAGACTGTCTCATATCACTACACAACGACTATCATAATCATTGGTCAATATTATGTTATGTTAGTTGTTAAAAAGATATTGATCAACCACTTGATCAGTCAGGATCAATTATATGTAAATATATTCAATCTTTAAACTATTAACGATCTTATAGCGAAAATAGTGTTCTGCAGTTTAACTACAGAAAAACACCAATCATCAGATCAGTCAGTAGCAGGTATAATGCAGTGAAAATGAAATAGTTGATTTCACCAAATAATAGGCGATAAAGTTATCCTTATTAGAGTAGCAATATAATGTTGACAGACGAGTGCCGTATCAGTCGGCAGGTCATATAAGAGACAAAACCACAGCAATTCAATAGAGCATGCAATGATCATATCAAGATTGGCAGCACAGTGTATCGAATCAAAACAAAACCATTCAAAGTAAGATAAGAGCAAAACATACAAGTAGATAGACAGAGAGAAACAAACTAACACAACACTTTTAAACAGCAACCACCAATAACAGTAGCCATAAGTTCAATTATATCAAAGTAAACGAAAGAGAGTGAATAATATAGTTAAGTGGGCAATTGGTCGATAAAGATATCGAGTTAACCAACATTTAGTTAGTCAAGTCTTTATCATACAACACACTCTACTCTCAACTAACAAATACTATCAATAATAAAATCATTAAAAGTAGTTAAAGTGTAACATGTTTTAATAGTTAATTGTTAATTGTATATGTTTATTTATCGAATGAATTGAGGTAAAATTCTAGGTACTATTGCAACACTGAATTTGTTAAATGATTGACCAAAAATGAGATAACGATCATCATATATCATTCGAACATGGAGATCTACTTTTTGATAGCTATCAATAAAACACAGGCTGGTTACTGATTTAGGTATATCGAAAATATCGACATTTGGAATCATTTCGGAAGGAACAGTCATTGATCTAACAGAGTTTGGAATCAATTTGCTCGGGAATTGATATTTCAAATAATAATATTTTATCACGACTTCTTCGACACTGTTTGGAATTTCGAAATCAAGTTGATTGATTGTTGTATTGAATTGAAATATGATCTTCTTCACTGATAATGGGACGCCATTAGGAATTCTTTTTATTATTTGAAAATGATATATATCGTATCCAAAATCTAAAGTTTCCACACCAAATGGAATATCTCTGATAATAGATTCATTGGTTAAAAATTGTAGTTTCAACTCTTTGATCTTCAGATTGTCAAGTGATTCTTGTTTCAGTCCATCGACACATAGTCTTTCGAAATGATATTGTGATCGATCTTTGAATATCTCATCGATATCATAATCAGTAAGATGTATATCGAGAAATCTGATTGAGGGTGATAGAGATGAGATGAGACGACACGAAGTATCGATACTTAAACTTGTGAGAGAAGTAGGTAGATCTGCCAAATTTAATGTGGAATTCGAATCATCATTTTTTTTATTATAGAGTGAAAGTGTTGTGAGATTGTTCAGTGATTTGATGAATGGAATCCATGATAAAGGTGATTCAGTTAATGTGCAAAGTGATTGTGGTAATACTCCATCTGATATCATACAAATACAATAGCAATTAAGAGCTCTAAGATTTGGAGGAAGTGATCCAACTTGAAGTGTTTGAGTGTATTCACCTCCCAATTTTAAATATGTTAATGATGATGGTAATACATGAGGTTCGAGTTGTTGATTGAAGTCGTCACCAAATCTTAGTTTCTTCAATGTATTTGGAAGAACACCTGCTGCGATCACTTGATTAAACTCTGAATTCCATTCGAATTTCAGTTTCTCTAGTTTCGGTGGAAGATAACCTGCCAACAATACTTCATCGAATTCCTCATGAAATGTTATCGATGTCAAATTCACAGGTAATACACTAGATAAACTTGTAATTCCTTTCAGTGTGGACACATTTGAAATCGATATCATTCCATAGATTTCCTTTAAATATTTATTATCAAGTTGTTCATCTAAAATTACTTTAGTGATATTCGATATAATTCTATCATCTTCAGGATAACTATCTATTTAAAAAAATAAATATATAAAGTGTTAGATTATGTGTTTTTATTGTAGTATTATGAATTAGCAATTATTTACATGGATTTACTGAATAGTCTGATAGGTAAAAATCTCTGCTATATGCCAAAGTACAATTATTCTTTTGATTGAGTGATCTGAGTATTGATGATCGATATGATTCTAATGAAAATAAACACTTAATATTATATTGTTTCTCTTCTATCTCTGATTCATTATTAGAGTGATCGTGATGATCATCAATATCTTTACAAAGATTGATATTTATACGATCAGTATTAAAATATAGATATTTATCTCTTTCATCAAACCATCTTTTACAAACTAAACTGACACATAATCTATCTATGTTATCTTCAAGATAACTAATTATCTTTGATAATAATATATGTGAAAGATTAATAATCATTGAATAATAAATGATCAAACAAATAGAAAGATTTGTTTTTTTATCAAATCTCGATCACTGAAAATAATCCAATTGTTATGATTGATTGCGTAAAAGATGGGTAGAACCTAAGACAAACTATTTGACCATGTTTATGATGGATTACAGTACAGAGACATGACCACCACCACTTTTGAATATTCAAGGTACCTTGCACTCTGCAGAGGTAAGTAGAAACAGAATATCGACTGAACAGTGGCATCAAACCACTCAGGAATGATATTATGACATAGATTTTATTATTAATCCGTACATGTATTAGCTGTTACATGGTTTTTAAAATAAAAATATAAAACAAATTAATTGACAATTTTTGAATCAAAAAAGGGACTTTAGTTTAGATGGTAGAACGCTGGCTTCGCATGCTTGAAATCTGGGATCGATACCCGGGAGTTCCACTAAATTTTTAAAAAAATGTCCGCATGCGGATTTTTAATTAACCAATTCAATCATCAGCTGTAGAAAAGTCATGGATATTTCAGTGAACACTCATAGAAATTCCATAGAAATTCCAGAAGACGTTTATTAACGATCCATCGATGAGTCACCAACCGGAGAAGTTCTAGAATTGTTTACCAGGATGAAGTCATCAACGAATCTCGTCCAACCGATGGTAAACCAAGAGTATAAATACCCGAGAGAACTCCTTGTTTCGATATCTCATTATTAATATCGAATCAAGGTATGTTTATTTAAAAGATAATAAATAAAGTTGGATCTCATTATAAATATCGAATCTGCAGAATTATGAAAAAGTAAAAACTGTAAAAAAAAAAAAAAAAAAAAGAAAAATTTGATGGTTCACACCATCCCAATATAAAGCTTAAATTTAAATCAATTTTTACTTCTTAAAAAAAAAAAAAAAAAAAAAATTTGAAGATGTAACAGCATATTCCGGCTGTACTCTCACACCTTCCCTATCAACCACAAGCGCACTGGTAATGTCTGTGAGTTCTGTGGTGACACCTTCACTGAACTCTGCAACCCACATGAGCATTTCTTCTTCAAATGCAGGAATGTAGTTTCACAGCAGTTCCTTTCCTTTATCAAACATATATACCACAAGTACTGTAACTATAGACTTCGCAATTGGAAGCACTCGTGCATCAAGTTCGACGGTCCTATTCGTACTACTGTCCACTTCACCCACCTTACTGCTGCTATCGTATATTCGTTATGGCAGGCGCTGTCCTGTGAAATGTTTGGTGATGGTAGCCATTACAAGCTGGAAAATACATTCAAAAGAGCAGTCACCCATTACACCAAATTAATCGATGCCAATTACCACAAGTACTGTTTCAGATTGAAGTAACAGTAGATCGCTGCTGGCTTTGGCTCTGATGTTAGATTATAGTTCGGTGGAGCTAATGGTATTGATCAAACTCTTAATCATCTTCCTCTTGGCCATGCTACCAGCCGCTGGTATTTTTTATAGACGTTGACTATAGTAGACTTAACTGACAACCAGTCATTTAGCGAAGAGATAACATTGATATCCTTTTTTTTCTATGATTTAACTTATTTTTTAAAAAAAATTTAAAAATTTTATTTTAAATATATACTCTTTTTATACAAATAGTATTTGTGTTCTGTGCTGAGTTAGTTTTGTTTAGTTTCTTTAATCTTGAAACTGTTGAAAATTAGAATTGTATTTTAAATCAATAACTTCTTGTGCCATTCAGTAATCCAAATCAAGTATTCTTTCTATTTTACTTAGTATCATACTTATATATAATATTATTAAATATTTCACAATAAATTTAAAAATTCTATAATAAAAAATATTTTATTACTTCAGAAATATTGCACAAATTAATTTTATCATTTATTTTTTTTAAAATGATAAATGATTTAATATTAATCATTTACAAAGATCTACCTTAGAATATTTTCTTACTTTATATAACATATAAAAGTATATCTTTCTGATACTATTGATACCTCTGTCCTGTTTCTCAGATTTTTGCCGTACATACTCCCAGTTGTGGAATGTTCATCTGTGTGATTCTTGTGGAGCACATCATAATTAGTTAACTTCCCTTTTGGCATAGCGGGAAAACCCAATCCACTGGTTTAACCTGTTCAAACTATCCACAGCTGCGGACGTTAACTCTAGTAAATAGGTTATCATTCCGCTCGGTAACACTTCCACTGTTAACCTTCCGTTCCCTGTCTCCACATTCCCTTAAAGATACTTAGGTGTCAACTTCAACCCGGATGGTCACTGCTCCAAACTGGCAAGTATGATCAATCTCATTAAAGCTAACCTAGCACTGTATAAGTATAAAGCTTCTACTCTGAGAGCGAAATCAACCATCAATAAATCCTATGTACTTCTCATGCTCTTCTATCACTTCTATCTTGATTCACCCACACCTGATCAAGCTTGTCAACAGACTTATTCCTTGGTTCTTCACCAGTGCACCTCATGCCAAAGCAAAGTTCACTGCTTTGATGTCTTTGGACAAGTCTTGCTTTCACTGGAATGAAGGTGGTCTGAATTTGTGGGGTCTATCTCTTAGTTCTGCTGTTTATAAGATTACTAACAAGAATGTTAGATATCCATCTCCATTAATGTCACAATTTATGTAACCGTACATTATTACATCTGATTTTATATTGTATATAAACCCATTGGTTTCATTTACTTGATATCTTTCTGGAAAGAATGCCGAAACTTTGATTCCATTTAAACAAATAAAAAAAATAAATCTACACATTTTTTTTTTCCAAAATAATAATTAATGTTGATGATTGAACCATCAACAGATTTGTTTTTTGTTTAAAAAAATGTGTTGGACAACATAAAAAAGATTATTTTATTCAAAGAATCAGTTTTTTTTTTTTAACAGATATTTATTCTAGTTTCTTTTTTTTTAATCATCCCATTTCCTTTTTTTTAATTAATTATAACAATTTTTATTTTTGATAAATAAATTTTAAATTAGTAAAATAAAAATTTTGTGAAAAAAACAATCATTCTCAATTTGATGATTATTTATTTTTAAAAGTTTATAAATGGATCTAAATTCAAATATTTATCAATCTAATCACTATAGTTTCTTTCGTTTTTTAGAGGAAGAGTATGATGAACGAGTCTATAGAAACAAAGTTGGTTTAAAATCAAAATATTTATACAAAAACATACCCAACCTAATTTCAATGTCTATAGATTCTCTCGTTACAGATACATGTACATCAACAACCATAAATCAACATTATAGATTTGAAAATGAATCATCAGAAACATCATCATCAGAAACATCATCATCAACAACATCAGAACCAACATCATCAGAATCAACAGTAGAAGCAAGTTATTCAATATTATTACCACCGTATGCAACTATCAATTCAATGCAAGTTGAATACAATGATTCTGTTAAACTAGTTGGTGTTGTGAGAGAGCGAAATATCGCTAATCAGGAATATAACGATGCTATGGCATCAGGTATAGTTGCATTCATGGCATCGCGTGATTCCGAAGGTCAATTTCAAGTATTACTTGGTAACGTCAGAGTGGATACCGATATCAAGATTAGCTTTACAATTATATCAGAGATTGGAGTCTATAAGAATGATCTTCAATTCCTACTACATAGATATTGGTTTCCGCTTGGCCATTATCCAGTAAAGATTAACATTCAACTAGAACTCTCAAATCAATTGGAATCATTGGAATTACCAAACTATCAATATAGTATCAATGATAATTTGATAACAATTGAATCAGAATCAGGAATAGCAAATAATATATTACTATTATTATGTTTAAAACAAGAAGTAGAAGTACCAAATGTATTTATAGAATATAATAATCAAGATCAATCATATGTTGTTGCATTAGATTTTAAACCAAATCACGGGCTTATGAATCAATATAAACCGATTGATATTAATCAAAAGGCAGAATTTATATTTATAATTGATTGTTCATTCTCAATGAAGAAAGATCGTATCATATTGGCAAAAAGAGTACTTCAATTCCTAATCAGATCGTTACCAATTGCTTCTATTAGATTTAATATTATTAGATTCGGATCAACTTTTCAATCTTTATTTGAAGATGGTTCGAAAGAGTACAACGATCAAACTCTACAATTGGCAACAAAATATATTGATGATCAAGTAGAAGCAGATCTTGGTGGTACAGATCTCTATCCTGTTTTAGAGTACCTCTTTTCAAATGAAAATCAATCATATGATCATCAGTATCCAAGACAAATATTTGTATTGACAGATGGTCGTATTAATGATACAGATAAACTTGTTAGTTTCGTTAGAAGTGAACGCTCTACTTCTAGAATGTTTACAGTCGGCATTGGAAAGTCTGCTGATAAAGAGTTGGTTTATGGTTTGGCATCGGCTGGTGGTGGTGAACACAAGATTGTCTTTGAAGATTGGGATAGTTTCGAATCGATCATTATGGAACTACTCGATAGCTCTTTGAAACAGAGAATATCGAATCTCACATTGAATTGGGGAGAGTTACTATCGACAATAGTGAAACAAGCACCAACTATAATTAGACCAATCTATTTAAATGAAAGAATGATACTCTATGGTATATTCAATAGCGATTCGATAAACAATGAAATTATCAATACAATTCATCAGTTGGAATTGAGAGGAACCGACCCGATTGGAAACGAACTATTATTTAAATTCAATTTAGATTTTAAATCATTAAATAATAATCATAACAATAGTTTTAATAGATTATTATTACATTCAATTGGATCATTAATTTATATATCAAGTTTAGAAAAAGATATTAATAACAAAGAAGAAATAATTAATATTGCAAAGAAATATAATTTAATAACAAATTATACATCATTAATAGTTACATCTGATGTCAATTGTGATTCTCCTATTACAGAGATGAAATCAATTCAATTAGTAGATCGTATACATTCATTCGCAAGTTATTGGAGAGATAATAATAGTAATCAAATATCTTTTCAATCAAAAACAATGGAAACAAGATCATGTTGTAATATAGGATTTGGTGGAAGTATAAAATCTGAAAATTCAATTAAACCATTAAATAATAATAATAATCAGAGTAATAATAATGTAATAGTAAATTCATCATCATCATCATTGTCTTCTTCAACTACTACTTCACCTACTTCATTACCATCCTCATCTTCAAAGTCTATGTTATTTGCAGAGCAATCAAAAGAAAAAGAAAGACTATTAGAGATTATTAAATTACAAAATGCAAATGGTTCGTGGTCTGTCGATAATAAACAAACCAAAGTTTATAATAGATTGGAATGTCCGTTCGATGAATTGAAATGTAATCCTGACCTATGGTTGACAATTCAGATCATTGCAAAGCTTGAAATGGAATTCAAATCGATGCAATCACTTTACACAAACATACAATTGAAATCTATGAAATGGATCAATCAACAACTTGCTACCCACTCTAACACCCAACTAACCTATGAATTATTATTAGAAAGAGTGAAAATCGATTTAGAAAAATCACCTCTATCAAACACTTTGTGAAATTTCCTTGTTTATAAATATATATCGATATAAAAAAAAAAAACAAAAATTTAAAAAATAAATACAAATGTAAAATAAAGATAGTTTTGTACACCAGAAGCAGATTCAATTTTACTAATAATTACTAATATGATGATACTGTTGTTAATAGGTAAAATGACTTATTAATTTAAAGGAATTGTGACTTTAGATTGTAGCTCTGGTATGTTTTCAAAAATCCAAAAAAAAAAAACACCCCACCCATTAAAATCATTTTTTTCATTAAAAATCAAAAACAATTAGTTTTTTTACCACCACGCAATGAACATCATATTTAATTTATTATTTTAATTTAGAACCAAATTCCAAAACATTATTTATTAAAATTATTATTCCACTGATCAAAGTGTATGCCAATCATCTCGATTCAAGTTTGATTTGAAATTCCAGAGGTTGTTGTTGTATTTTAGTAAAATATAAATAGTCTGATAATAATAGACTATTAACAAATCATTAGTAGTAGCAGAAGTAGTAGCAGAAGTAGTAGCTTCAGATAGATAGAGAGATAGAGATAACACTTGTTTGTTTGTTTTTATTTTTTTAATCGATCAATTTGAAAAAGATGGAAGACATTCAACCAAATGAATCATCAGAGAAATATTATAAACTACTATCACCCAATGCAGAGACACAACGTTTAATTGATTCTCTAAAAAGACAATCAGATTGGAAATCTTGGTATGTTTATTTATTTTTAATTTCTATTTATTTTTGTTTATTTATTTTTGTTTATTTTACAAACTTACAAAGGGGAACTTATGTTTCAGATAGAGAATGGTCAACCGTTAGAGAAGATTACAGTTACGATGGAAATGTTTGGAGTTATTTCACACATGATCAAGCTAGAAGCAGAGCATATCGTTGGGGTGAAGATGCAATCGGTGGATTCTGCAATCGTTTTCAAAATCTTTGTTTGGGAACTGCTTTTTGGAATCATCAAGATCCAATCATTAAAGAACGTCTATTTGGTTTAACAGGTCCAGAAGGAAATCATGGTGAAGATGGTATATATACAAAAAAAAAAAAAAAAAAAAAAATATTTATTAATTTTTAATTTATTTTTAGTTAAGGAACATTATTTCTATATTGATAATACACCAACACATTCCTATGCAAAGATGTTATATAAATATCCACAGAGTGAATTTCCTTATGAACGTTTAGTAAAGGAGAATAAGAATCGATCTAAATCCGAACCAGAGTTTGAGTTGGAGGATACCGGTATCTTTGAGAACGATGAGTATTTCGATTGTTTCATCGAGTATGCCAAAGCCAGTGAAGAAGATATTCTCTGTCGTATCACTGTTCACAATCGTGGACCTAAAGCAGCACCGATCACTGTGCTACCACATCTCTGGTACAGAAATACTTGGTCATGGGGATATAACGATCGTCGTCCTTACATGCGTGCACTTCGTCCAGGTGTTTTAATCGGTGAAGAAGTACACATAGGTAAGAGATACTATGCATCTACAGATCAACAACAAAGCAACAATAGCAGTGGTAACAAATCAACTACTACTAATAATAGTGGTAGCGGTGGTCAAGCATGGGAATCGCCAGTTCGCTATATGTTTACTGAGAACGATACAAACTCGGAACGTCTTTTCAATTGGCCAAATGCAAGTCCATATGTAAAGGATGGTATTAACAATGCTGTTATCAAAGGTTGGGATGATGTCGTTAATGAATCCAGTGGTACAAAGGTGGCTGCCAAATTCCACCGTGTTTTGGAACCCGGACAAAGCTACACTGTCAAAGTTCGTTTTGCAAACTATGAATTTGAAAATCCATGGCTTGATTTCGATCAGATTTTCGCAGCTCGTATTCACGAAGCCGATGAATTCTACAATGCGCTGCATCCCGAGAATCTTTCGGCCGATCTCAAGCTGATTCAACGTCAAGCGCTAGCCGGTCTGCTTTGGAGCAAACAATTCTATCATTTCGGTGTGCAACTCTGGAAACACGGTGATCCTTCTCATCCACGTGCCAATATGAATGTCGTTAGAAATCAACATTGGGATCATTTCTATGCGAACGACGTTATATCGATGCCAGATAAATGGGAATATCCATGGTTTGCTCAATGGGATCTGGCTGCTCATGTCATACCGTTGGTAACCGTCGATATGGAATGGGCGAAAAGACAATTGATTCTGCTGACTCGTGAATGGTATATGGCACCGAATGGACAGTTGCCAGCATATGAATTCCAATTCAGTGATGTCAATCCACCGATTCATGCTTGGGCAACACTCGAGGTGTATCGTTATATCCACCAGAAAACTGGAATGAAAGATACTGCTTTCCTCGAGGAGATATTCCACAAGTTGCTATTGAATTTCACTTGGTGGGTCAATCGAAAGGATGAACATGGAAACAATATTTTCGAAGGTGGTTTCCTCGGTCTCGATAATATTTCGGTATTCGACCGGTCCGCCTCTATTCCGGGCGGTGGAAAGTTGGAGCAGGCCGACGGTACCGCGTGGATGGGACTGTACAGCTTGAACATGTTGGCCATCTCGTTGGAGTTGGCACAGACCAATCAGGCATACGAATCGATTGCCACTAAATTCCTGGAGCATTTCATCAATATCGCCAATAGCATCACGCATAGCGGTGAGGAGATCGGTGGTCGTAAAGGTCTGTGGGACGACGAAGAAGGATTCTTTTTCGACTCGATTATCACTCCCAATGGAATATCACAACAGATCAAAGTTTACTCGCTGGTCGGTCTGATTCCACTGTTTGCCGTCGACATTATGGAGCAAGAGGTTCTCGATAAACTACCGCGTTTCAAAGCCAGACTCGATTGGTTCGTTCGATATCGTCCGAATCTCTTGACATCGATGGCCAGTTTCATGGTTCCAGGTCAAGAGAAACGTCGTCTCCTCTCGATCGTCAACAAAGAGCGACTGACCAAGATTCTCACGAAAATGTTGGACGAAGAGAAATTCCTTTCGGAAGTCGGTATCCGTTCGCTCTCGAAACAACATCAACATCCCTACGAATTCAACTTGATGGGTCAGAGCAACTCGATTAAATACGAACCCGGCGAATCGTCGTCGGGCATGTTTGGTGGAAACAGTAGTTGGCGTGGACCTATCTGGTGGCCCGTTCAATACCTCCTCATCCAATCACTCAAAAAGTATCACATGTACTACGGCGATGACTTTGAAATCGAATTCCCAACGGGCTCAAAGAACATGATGAATTTGGATCAGGTCCAAAAGGAACTTTCCCAACGTCTCATCGACCTGTTCACCACCAACGAACAAGGTCAACGTAGATTCTCAAAGAACAAACCACTCTTTGAGCGTGAACACTGGAAAGACTACATCTTATTCTACGAGTACTTCAATGGTGACAACGGTCTTGGACTCGGTGCATCTCATCAAACTGGTTGGACTGCTTTAGTTGCCAAATTAATTGAAGAACATGTTACTTCAAATAAAGATTAAAATAAATAATCAAAATAAATAACTCTTAAAGCTATCAAAATTAAATCTTTTTTAAAAAAACCCCAAATTTAATTAATTGTAATTCCTTATTCTGATGGAATATGTAAAAAATCTGATGAAATATACATCAGAACACAAAAATCACAAAAAATAAAAAAAAAAATGAAAAATCACCACCAAATCAATGCCATGTCTTTTAAATTAAGGTAATCAGGTCCTGATTGTTTGCGAATTTTGATGTTTTTGATGACATTTTATCATTTCGGTCCTTTTTGTTTTGGGTTTTTTTTTTTTTTTTTATTTTATTCTTTTTGCAAACCCACCTTAAAAAGCAAAAGATTTTTATTCATTAATAAACAATTCAATATCTTTTATTTTTGATATAGATAGATAAATAATAATTATGAGAGGAAAAGTAAAGATTTATTAATAATTATTTTTATAAAAATAAAAAGATATAAAAATAAAAATATTAACAATCATTTTTTATTTTTTTTTGTAAAAAAACAGGTTTCTGTACCACCTGAAGCATTGGCTGCACCAGATATGTGTGGTTATATGACAAAAGAAGGAAACAGTTATAAATCATGGCAGAAACGTTGGTTCATTCTAAAGGGTATCAGAGTATATTACCTGGTTGAGAAGAATGATAAATATTCGAAAGGATTCTTTGATTTGGATAATAGTAGTTTAGCTAAGAAATTGAATACTCAAGAGATTCATTTGAATACTGCGAAGCGTCTCTACAAGTTCTTTGCACCAACAATACCAGAGACTGATCGTTGGATTGCCGCTCTCAATGGTGCTGTCCAAGCATTCCTCAAAGGAAATCTATTGGCTGGAACAACAACAACAACTGTCACCGTTGCAACAACCTCACCACCTGCAACTACATCACCACCAATTGTTTCACCATATCCAACTCAACCACAACCACTACAACAACCAGGACAACCACAACCAGGACAACAACAACCACAACAACAACAACCACAATTATATCCACATTTACAGCAACAACAGCAACCATATCCATATCCACAACAACAACCAATTGTTCCAATTTCACAAACATCGACTACACCTCAACCAATTGCTACTATTACTACAACCAACTCTTCTTTGACCTCTGAAACAGATAGTGAGAAATCATTGACTTCTTCATCAACAAGCGAAAATGGTGATTCAAAGAGAAATTCATTAACTCCAACATCGAGTACCTCTACTACTACTACAACAACAACTACCTCGACAACAGCTACAACACCTAATCCAACAGCACCTCAAAGTTCGATTCCAGTGTATGGAGCACCACCATCAACTTACACACAACCAACACAACCAACAACACAACCACAACAAGCTCAACCAGCTCAGACAAATCAACAACAAAGACCTGTATCACAACAATTTGGACAACCACAAGCGCAACCACAACAACCATACCAATATCAATATCCACCACAAGCTTACGGTCAATACCCACCACAACAGCAACAACAATATCCAGTTGCCTACGCTGCAGGAACACAACCAGTTGCACCTCAACAAGGTGCTGGTGCTAAACCTGCTGCTGGTCAACCACAGGGACAACCACAAGGACAACAACCTTACCCATATCAATATCCACAACAACCACAACAATATCAATATCCAGTTGCTTATTCAACCGGTACACAACCAGTTGCTCCTCAACAAGGTGCTAAACCAGCTGCTGGTCAACCACAAGGTCAGCCACAAAGTCAGCCACAGCCACAAGGTCAACCACAACCACAAGGAACACAACAGCAACAACAACAACAACAACCATATCCCTATCAATATCCACCACAAGCATACGGTCAATACCCATATGGATATCCACAACAACAACAACAATATCCAGTTGCTTACGCCGCAGGAACGCAACCAGTTCCTCAACAAGGTGCTAAACCAGCAGCAGGTCAACCACAAGCGCAACCACAACCACAACAACCATATCCATATCAATATCCACCACAAGCATACGGTCAATACCCACAGCAACAATACCCACCACAACAACAACAATATCCAGTTGCTTATGGTCAACAACCATATCCACAACAACAACAACAACAATATCCAGTAGCTTATGCACAACCAGTTGCTCCTCAACAAGGTGCTGGTGCTAAACCAGCTGCTGGTCAGCCACAACAACAGTATCCAGTTGCAACAGCAAGTGCTCCACCTGCTTCAAAATAAAACAATTATGTATTATTATTATTATTAATCTAACATAAAATATATTTATATAATTATAAGTTTTTAAATAAAATGATTGTATTATAAAAAAGATAACAGATTACTAATTTGTTTAATATTGTTTTTTTTATTATTTATTTATATATTTTAATGTTTAGTATGACAGTATAGTATTATTATGTTTGTTTGTTTGTTTTTTATAGGTTTTTAAGAATAGTTTCAGCATCTGTATGTGAGTAACTATTAAATGATGATCAGATTAGATAGAGTTTGATAATTAATAAATAACTGTATGCTTGAATATGATTGATTAACTTTTATACATACTCATCGTCATGCTTTTCGATACTTTCAAATACAATGTTACCATTATCGACAATGAGTGCGAATCTTCTTAATTTAACGTATGGAGCTTTTACACCCAAACCATGAACCTCGAGATCTTGACAGAGATGAAGTTCCTCTGCGAATGCACCGTTCTCATCGCACAAGTGAGTCAATCTTTGATTTGGATCCAAACTAATTCTATTTGCCTTTAACATTGGTGGATCTAATGTTGATCTATATATTTAAAAATAATAATAATGATAATGATAGATTAATGTTTAATTTTTATTATTACTAGTGATGTTATTGTTATTGTTATTGGTTATTGGTTGTTGGTTATTATAACTTACAAACAAACGATGTAGTTTACACCTTTAGAGTAGATCTTATCACAGTTGTTAACGAATGATGGTACATGTTGGAAGGTATCGACTGGGCTGTTACCTGGAATACCGACAACGACAACCTTCTTGTTGGCGAAAATATCGTTTACGTTGTGCTTATTATATCTCTGATCCAAAAAGTAGTTGGTCTTGTTGAGTACATTCTGACCGACTGCATAGTTTCTCAAGGTGAATGACGATGATGTCGATGTACCAACCAATTTTGTTAAACTCTTTACTGATGATTGCATTGCTCTTTCGTTGTTATTTAATCGAATAAATAAACCTTGATAAACACTACCGCTACACAAACACTAATTACTAACTTCTATTAACTCTATACTAAAAATGATTCAATCACTGTGATTGTTAAATTCTGTATGTCTATTATCGTATCGTTAAAAACTGATCATTGATCAAAAAAACACTAAATTTGATTTGGATTTTTTTTTTTTCTTTTTTTTTTTTTTTTTTAATTTTATTAAAAGAAATAAATTAAATGATGTTCATAAAAAACATATCAGTAACTAATCAAAATTGATATTGTTTAAAATAGATTCATATTTTATTATTTTTTTGTGAACAATTTAAATAGTTATTAATTTTATAATAAATTAACCCTGGTAAACTGTTGAACGAAAAATGTTTTTTTTTTTTTTTTTTTTTTTTCATTTTTGACAATCGGTTGCTTATAAAAGATGTGATTTTTTTTCGTGTTGCATCGGAGTTTGTTTATTTTTTTTGAAATTAATAATAATAATACTGTAATAATAATGATAATGCAAATAAATGAATATATATTAATATTTGTATCTAAATATGAATCGAAACAAGATCATCTATTACATTTCTCAAAGATTATAGATGGTTTAAATATAGATACTGTTCAAGTAGGTTTGTTTAATCATTCAAATGATTAACTAATAAATCGAAACTAACATTTATTATATCTATATATATATATAATAGAATGAATCTATATCAAATGAAAAAGATCAACTACAAGTTAGTAAATGGCAATTCTCATTATCAGGTGAACAATTAACATATCAGGAGTTATCATCAATGTTTCACGAATATATAGATTCAAAAGTATGTTTATATTATAAATATTTAAGATCTTATTATTTATTTATTAAAAAATAACATTATCTATTATTTTTTTTAGACGAAAATAGATTTCTATTTAGCACCTTTAGAACATTATAATTGTCAACCAAAGTTGGCAACTTTCGATATGGATTCATGTTTGATAAAGAATGAATGTATCGATGAAATGGCTTATACTATGGGTGTAGTCGATAAGGTATCGGATATAACACGTCGTGCCATGGAAGGACACTATAACTTTGATCAAGCATTGATGGAGCGTCTTGCTCTGCTACGTGGAATGACAGTTGAACAACTCGAAGACGTTTGGACAAGAATCGAGTTGAATGCCGGTGCTTTCACACTCGTTCAAACACTGAAATCACTTGGGTTCACTGTTGCACTGGTATCGGGTGGATTCACTTTTTTCTCACAGAGAATTGGATCGCGTCTCGGAATCGATCATGTCTATTCCAACGAGTTGGAGATTGTCAACGGCAAACTAACGGGCGAGGTAATCGGACCGATTGTCAATGGCGATATGAAGTTGACGGTATTGAAAGAGTTGTCGCGACATCTCGCTCTCGGACAACAGGAAACAATTGCTATGGGAGATGGATCGAACGATCGATTCATGGTGGGACATGCACATCTCGGTATTGCTTATCACGCCAAGCAAATATTGAAATCTTCAACGCCTTTCCATATCAATCATACTCCACTTCACACACTATGTCTTTTCCTCTCGGCGACCATTCCACATCTAAAGCAACAAGACTCTGAAGTACGACGTCAACTTCTCAACCTAACAACCAAAGAGAATACTCAATCCATTCATCAAATCACAGAAAACTCTGCATTACTTAATCAATATGCTCATCAATTGAGAATAAGTCCTTCTCAATAAAATACATTAAAAATACAAAAGTAAATCATTAAAAAAGAAAAGTGTAGTATTTTATTATTTAAACATGATTAAAATTACATTATTAAAAAAAAAGGTTTAGAAATTATTACAATGGTGGTTTCAATTTAAAGAGTACTATATCCTTGAGACCATAAGTATAATCCATATGAATTGAATATAACTAATTCTGGCATTGCTGGAATAAGTACAATGGTTCTGTCCGTTGCAGATGAATAATCATTGAGAGTACCACTGGAATCAATCATTGTCTTCGCATTGGACGAACAAGTAGTTGTTGTATCATAGATCAATTGATAGGCTCCGGTGGAACTTGACCAACCATGTTTGCAAATTTGAAGATTTGGTGGTGATTCTTGAATGATTTGGTTCGTGAACATATTTTTAAGAGTATATATGTTTGAATTGATTTGGAAACTTAGGAATCTATTTTGGTAAATATTGTTTGTATTTGGTTGAAGTGCAGAGTTTCCATAAACTTTGGAGTTTCCAAAATATCCATATGTCAATGATCCTTTTGTTGAACGCAATACAATTGCCCAATCCGATGGTTGATCGCTTCCTGGAGCTGGAAGTTGGAGATATTGAGATGATTCTAGGCTGGTTGTGCTCCATTTACCAAAGATATGACAAGAACTTGATTGTGTTATTGAGTTTACAAAGCAGAATGAATTCGTTTGCATACTGTAATGAACATATATTCTGAGATCATCTTTAAATTGTGTAGGATATTCATATTTCCATAAAGGAGAAGATCCATGATTTGGATTTTGTCCATATAAATAAGCACCATATGCATTTCCATTTTTCTTGATTATTAAATAATCTCTTCCATTGGTTATGAATTGATCTACTCCAATATAATTATTTGTTGGATCATTATTGTCAATGAATGAACCTGGAATCAATCCAATCTTCATTGAAGTTGGATATCCTAATTTCGACCAAATCATTTTGCTTTTAGAGTTTTGAACGATCAATCCGTATGGTATGCCGTAAAGATTATTATCAAGAAGATTGAGATATTGACCTCCAAGATTCCAACATCCAATTGCTGTATAGGTTCCAGATTTACCATTCAAAACAACATTTCCATCTGATTGAATTGTAATTGAATATGGTCCTGATGTTGAAGTTGACACACCAAATGAATATACTTCAGAACTTCCATATTTTAGTGTTAAGTATCCATTTCCTTGAGAGTTGATTGAGAGCGATGAACTTGATGTCTTGAGTGTTCTACCTTCTGGAAGTGTTGTTGGACATTTCAATCCAAGTGAATCTAAACATGCACCTGGGAACAATGGAATATAAGTTATAGTTTCAACTAAAACTGAACTTGGCTATATTATTATAGTGAAATAATTAATAAAAAATGACACAATTAAGTGTAAATTATATGTTATTTTAAACCACTTACATAATTCCAAATTTGATTTTGATTTGATGAATCACATGTTTTGAATTCAACAATATTTGAGACAGTATTGAGTTGAAGACAAAGTGAAGAAATATATTCTTGAATTGTGTATCGTCCATTTGTTAATTGATTGAGAATATTAAAATTGTTTTGTGGTATTGATGTTGTTCCAATCAATGTTGTTGTTTGACTGTTCAAATACATCTTTGTTTGTGGATTGTAAAGATGTGGTCCAAATGAATCATATTTCAAATACCAGAATTGTTGAAGATTCGATTGATCACATGTTGAAAGTGTTACTGATGATCCAGATGTTGTTGGTGCCATCAAACAACTTTGAGATCCCATATTTTGGATCATCTTATATTCTAAATCTTGATATGAAAGGAATGATGTTGATGAATCACTTGATGTATACCAAGCAATACCTTCTTTTGTCCAACCCGGTAAGTTTGGAACAATTGAATATCCATACACTAATCCTGATCCAAATGTTGGAATTTGAGTTCTTGAATATCTATAAACTGGTTTTGGTGAAACTGTATCATCGAAAGAATTATAAGCAAGAAAAGCTATACCATCATATACCCAACCACTTGAAGTGAATGAACTTTCCGTTGTATAATAGAATCTATCACCATTTGATTGAGTAAATTTGAATCGATAAACAATTGATTTCTTTGAATCAGGATTAGCTTCGGGTACCATAATTACAGACCATGGAACTTGGAATGCTTTGAATGAGTTTCCGCCGTATAGCCATCCAATTTTCTTTAAATTTATTGGAATAAAATTTACACTTCCAAGTGAGGCACCATTATTTGAAGTAGAACTCTTATCATTGAAATTATTATCAAATGACCAATATCCAACCAAATTTGGTTCATTTCCAAAAATATTTCTATTCATGGTATTTAGTATTTGTGTTTGAGTGATTGCAACATTCCATAATGTGACATCATCGATAGATCCATCAAAGTGTGGTTCAGTTGCTATATTTATATAATAATGTGCACCAATTAATAGTGAATTTGTTGATCTTGCACTCAAATTTGAACCTGTAGTAGTTATTGTGAGTTTAACAGCATCTAACCAAATTTCCAATGAACCAGATCTTCGAATAGCAGCAACATGATGCCAATTTCCATCAAATATTTGTGTTGATGTTGATGTAGCTCGGAAAAACCCGAAACCATTATCAATTGTGAAAATAATGACACCATTTGTATTGATGACAATTCTCCATCCACCATTGTCAGCACTGCTTCCAGCTTCAGGTTTATTTGACATGATTGTTCCTGGTGCAGTTGTTTGGACAAGAGATGTTGCTGAGAAATCAAAGGTTCCAAAATCATAAGCACTTTTATTTGGAATATTGATTTGACTTGTAGATCCAATCTTAGCCGCAAAATCTGTAGCTGGAGAATTTGGAAGACTAAAGAGGAAAAAAAATTATTAATTTAAATTTTACATTTAAAAATTATTTAAAATACAAACTTGTATAAATATCTATATTCACCATTTGATTCACCAATAGAATATTGAGATACTGCAACTGGTGCAAATAATGAAACTGGGTAACGGAAGTCAACATCATCAAAGGCAAATGATATTCCACTCAAATAAGAATTTCCTAGTGAATCAATGGAGTAATCATATCCAGGATCTACGATATCTACAAGACAATTACCAGGATATGAAGAATCCATTGTTACAGCCTTGGAATCTGTAAAAACCTGACCTATTATATCTGTAGCACCAGTGTCGGCATAAGAGAAAGTTATTGAAAAAATATGATTTGGGTCAGAGGTAGTGGAGACTGAAACTATTGGAATTTGTCTTAAAAATAATGTTGGTTTTTGTGTAACATAATTTCCTAAAGTACGACCAATAAGTTTTGTTGATCCATCATTGTATTCAATAAAGAGTCCAACTATACCAACAAATTTATGAATATAAGGTGTGATTTTGGACATCATTGTTGTCTTTGATAGTTTAGAAGCTACAATTTCAGGTCTATACAATTTCTTACACATTATATTCATACACATGGCAGCATTACCATTGAAAACACCCGTGAGTTCTGATAAAAGAATATGAGAAACTGGGCCAATTGATCCACCAGTTGGATATAGCTTGACATCAAAATATTTCCAATTGTATGAGAATAATGTTACTGACAAATAGAAATGATTGAGATCTGTAGTAATCTGATTCCATTGTGAAGGTGGAGTATATCCATCTTGGAATGGTATTGATTGAATTCTTCTGTTTATAACTGAATTTGAATAATCGGTATAACTGATAATCTTTGATTTCATCAAAGTATCATATCGAGCTTTAACAGATTGACTCCATCCCAATTGATTTCCATAAGTTACACCATCTCGAATGAATGATAAATATACATTTGCAAATTGAGCAAACAATGGTAAGAGAGTTGTTTGGAATTGTTGAGTTTTAAAGAGTTGTTCTTGACGAATCACTTGGGTAACACAAGAAATATAAACTGAACTTAGGTATTCGGCAGTTGAATCTGGATCAGACATTGCAGCAAAATAATATTCATCCATCAATTGAGAGAATCCAAGTAATTCCGATTGAACCAGAGCATAAGTTGCATTATCAATGCTCCTATCGATTGCAACCTGAGCATAGACTAGGATACTATCCCAAACGGCTTGTGGGTTGGCAGCTTCATTTGGGAACAAAGAATTGACAATAGCAGCTGTCAAAGGTGGTGGAATTCCAGTTAGCATTGAGACTCCTACTGATATTGAGGCAGTTATTAGATTCCTAGTAATCACGAATGTACTAGGCATCTTAACCTTCGTATCACCATGGACTTGATGATTAAAAACTATTATTGTCAAAACAAACAAAATTAATAATATATATAAACATTTCATTTTAAAAAATATTTTGTAATACAATTTGATTAATCCACGGTGGTGATGTTACATTTATACTAACTCTATGATCTTGAGGGAATAGTATTTCAAATGAGGGATGAAATATATAAAGTGATTGGTGTTTATGATTTAAATAAAAGGAATCAGTTTTACCTTTTTAAGAGTTTGTTTAGAAAATAATTATCCAAAAATTGTGATTTAGCAGCAGTAACTGTTAACCAAAATATTATCTAAAATTAGTTTTCACTTCAAAATTTAATATATTAGTTTATTTTTCCATTCTTTTAAAAATCTTTAGTACCAATATTATTGAATATTTTTTATGACAATTATCTTTAAAGAATTAAATTTAAAATACTATCTATCTTTATTGTAATCTCATACCACATTTATTTTGAGATATTGAAAAACTTAAAATAGAAATTTTATAAAAATTAAATTGTTTAATCCAAAATCTTGTTGTAACCCTACTTGAAATACAACATACATACGTGGTCAACTGATTTAAATTTTTGGGCTCTCTCTGAAAAAAATTGACCCAAAAACTATTGTAAATTTTTGTTTTTTTTTTTTAGTTCCATTATAATGAAACAATCAATCAATCAATCAATCACTTGTATTTTTAGAGAATAAATTCTTTGTTACCTGTCAACTACACAACTTCTTTTTGATTTCAATGATTCAGTGTTTTGAAGATCTCCAATCAAATGTTTTCTAAATTTATAATCATGGGTGATTTAATTTGAATTAAAAAAAAAAGTTTGATCACTTTACAAAAAACTATGATAGGTCCCATTAGGTTAGCATTCAAATGAATTTGTTCTCAATTGACAGGGTATCGCTAACTATAATTCGCACACAAAACTAAAAAAAAGTTATTAATTCCTTAATGTTTTTTTATATTAAAAATTAATATTATCAAAGGCATGACAAATTCTGTATGATATAGGTACAATTAATATTAATTTTTATTTTCTATACTTTCAATTGTTTAATATACTGATTTTGAAAATAAAAACAAGTTCAATAATAATAGACAAACTCTAAAGAAAAATAGTTTTTTTTTTATTACTAAAACCCTTTCAATTTTTACATCAATATATCATATAAACTCAATTTAATTCTTTTGTTATTTTTGTTGATTATTGTCATCTTTATCATCATGTACTCAGAAATATTAAATTTTAGAATGATTTACATATTTTAAATATAATAGCCTTAGAGATTTAAAATTTTTCTTTAGACTTGTTTTAAATTTAAAAACATATTTCAAAAAAAGAATTTTCACAAGTGTACTGTGAAAAATTGAATATTCCTTGTTAAAAAAATAAAAAAAAACAAACTAGAACTCAAGATAAAAAGAAGAAATAATGGAGTTATTGTTGTAATTATCCTTCTAGAAATTTAATAAATTAAAAAAATGATGAACAACGATTATTTGTTTCTATCATGAAAAAAAAGCAAAATTCGCAAATCAATTAAAAAAAAAAAAAAAAAATTCCTTTTTTGATCATAACACATAATGTTGTTGATATTTTTTTAATTATTTATTTTTTAATTTTTTAATTTTATTTTTTATCATAAGTGACATGTTTGATTGGTTAAACGGTTTTTATTTAGTTTGAACTAAAAAACTATTACAATTAACAATTAAAATATCTTTATAAAAAAAAAAAAAAAAAAACAAAAAAAAAAAAGATATATCTTAATATATATTTATTTAATTTTATTTATTTAAAATAGATAAAAAACAAAAAACAAAAATATAGTTAACTATATATATATATATATTGTAACAATAATAATAATAAGAAGTAAAAGATGAGTAAGTCACTCTCAAAGAGTGGAGGTAGTAGTGCTGCTGGTACACCTGTTATTAATGGATCTTCACAGAGTACTGGTGGTGGCAGTGGCAAGGATTCGATGACGAGAGAGGAATTCGAGAGGCTAAAGATGATACAGGAGCTGAAGGATGAATACGAGAGGAAGATTAGTACGATCGTTTCGTGTCTACAAGAGAAATCAGAGGAGAACATCGATTTGAATGCCAAGGTGGAACGACTGGAAAAGATGATGGCCATTCGTGATACCAATCACGAGAAGGTGGTGGAAGGCATCCACGAGATCATCTCGCACAAAGACGAGGAGATCATAAGAGAACGCAAAAAGTCGGCGGAACTCGAGCGTCGTACTCATTCGATGAGTGAGCTGTTCAATGAGATGGCCGAAGACAATATAAAGCTGAAGGACATCCTCGAGGAGACGAGAAACCGAATGATTCAAGCACAGAAGGAGGTGAATAAGGAGGTTGCCAACGCGGTGAAACGCTCACAGACACAGCTACAGCAACAAGTACAAACACTACAGGTACAACTTCAGCAAACACAACAGCAGCTACAACAACATCAAAACAGTCCGGCCAACGGCAACGGTATAAAGCTGTTCTCGGGTCTATCGAAACTCGTCAATTCCACTGTGACGCAATCACAACAACAACCTTCTACCTCACCAAAGAAGTCGCCATCCAACAACAGCTTATCGGTTGTTACTAGCAATGCTAGCAATGGTGGTAGTTTAGAGTCGGTTTCACCTGGTTTGACTAGCCAGAAGAGTGACGGCAATTTGAAGGAACATATGCAGACGATGTTGACTACACAGGAGCAGATGATGGATATCAGCTTGGAGGAGATCGCTAGAAACGAACAGTATATGGGATTGGATCATCTGTTGTTGACTGACGACAAGTGGATGGCCAAGTTCCGTGAGGCACCGATGAAAGCAATCACCAAGTTGCTTCTGGAGAAGTTGATTGACCGTGTGGAATCGGACCAACAGAAATCGAGTGAAACCATCGAGCGACTGAGATCGTCGCTGCAATCGCTCGAGAGTAGAAACGATGAGTTGATGCGTGAGTTGGAGACCAACGAGAAGCTGCTGAAGGAAGCACAGAACTCGGCATTCAAGGAGAAGCAAAGAGGTGATGCATTCCGTGATAGCGCTGTAGAGTACGAAAAGAAGATAAAGGATCTCGAGACTAGAATGTGGGATAACTTGAACAAGGAAGGACAGCGACGTACCGATGCAGAGTATAACGCCAAACGTCTGAAAAAGAAAGTGGAAGAGTTGGAATTCTTACTGGAGGAAATGAAAGAGGATGATTCCGATGACGACGATTCCGACGATTCCAGTTTACTATCCGATGATTCAGATGATTCAGATAATGAAAAGAAAGATAAACATAAAGAAGAGGAAGAGGAGGATGAAGATGATGATAAAGATGAAGAAAAAGTTGAAAAGAAAGAAGAGGAAGAGGAAGAAGTAGAAGAGATAAAGAATAGAGATATAAGGACAAATCATATAAAAGAAGAAGAAAAAGAAGAAGAAGAAGAAGAAGAAGTTATAGAAAAAGAGGAGATAGTTGAAGTAAAAGAAGAGATAGTAAAAGAAGAAATAGTAGAAAAAATAATAGTAAAAGAAGAAAAAGAAGAAGATATATTGGAAAAGGAAGAAGTTGTAAATCATATCATTGTAAAAGAAGAGATAGCAGAAGTAAAAGAAGATAGTGATTCTGAAGAAGAGGAAGAGGAAGTAGTAGAACAAGATAAAGTATTAATTGAAAAAGAAATAGAAAAGAAAGATAAAGAGCCAATAGATGTTAAAGATATAGAGATAATAGATCCAATAAAACTTACACAGTTGGCATCGGAATCGTCGAAATTCAAAAGAGTGGTCAGAGAAGATGTAAAACCACAAAGTGTACCAACAGAAGATAAATTAGAATCACCAAGACAAAATAAAACAGATAACAATAACAATAATAGCAGTAATATTACAATAACTACATCTACATCTACATCAACTTCAATAACACCTACACCACCTGTACTAAATACTACTACTCCCACTCAATCATCATCATCACCACCATCATCATCAACATCAACATTAAAACAAACAATAACAAAAGAAGAATCAAATGATAGTCCTAATTCATCATCACCAATATCAACACCTGAAGTATCATCACCATCATCATCATCATCACAGAGTACAAGCTCCAATCAAGAATCAACCTCACCAAACAAACAACAACCAACTAGAAGTACCAGTTCAAGCCGTCTGAGTATAGGTGGAATCGGATCACTATTGAAGAAAGCAGTTCCAGGACACAGTAAAGATCACGACACCACCGATAGCGACTCCTCACTCTCACACAAAGAGAAGAAACAACGCGAGAAAGAACAAAAGGAACGCGAGAAGAAAGAGAAAGAGGAAAAGAAGAAACTTGAAAAAGATAATAAGAAACGTGAACTTGAAGAGAAGAAAAAAGAAAGATCAAAAAAAGATTAAATAGATAGATAGATAAGACAGAGATATATAATATATATATATTTTTATTATTTATTTTTTATATCTTTCTTTTTTTTTAATTTCACATTATATTTATAATTTTATTTGTAAACCAATAAAAATTAATTGAATAATTTTTACAAGAATCACTTTACTAGATCAGTAATCTATCAATAATATTTAAAAATCTTATCTTCTTTTAATTAAATTTAGATTTTCTTTTATTTTAATTATTAGAAAAAGATTGTTGATGTCAACAAGAATCGACGAATTCGGAAACAAACTTGATCAAAAAATAAAAAAATCAAAAAAATCAAAAAAAAAAATAAATCTAAATAATTATTCAATAATTTTTAAAGGTCAAAAACAAAAAAACACTTTTTTTATAAGATATTATTTTTATAAAAATAATTAAAAAAAAGGTAAACGGCGACCCCTTTTTTTTTTTAGATTCAAATAATAAACAAACAATGAAAATATATATATTACAAAAATTTATATTTATCTTAATATTTATAGGTGTAGTTTTTTCAGTACCATCGACTTGTAAGTTAGTCAGTTAGTTAAAGTTTACTTTTTAAATTTCAATTCCGATATTCATTAAAATATTTTTATTATTTTAGTAATCTATACAATTTCACAGGATGAATATAATATTGGAAATCCATTTTCACCAAGAGATTTGATTATAGTTGTTACAGATATTAGTCCACAACGAATAGCTTTGAATGGGTTGAATTTAACTGATTTCCAAGGCACTTCATATCTTACATCACAGACATCTTGTACACCGATATCTATTTCTGCACCGTGCACCTACAACATTCCACTGGATAGCTACAAATCTATGGTACCTCCTTTCACGTTGAGAGGAATGAACGGTGTCGATATTGTTCCGATCGAGATAAACTTCTTCAACGGCTACAACCTTATAAACAATCAGGTTGTGGATTTCGCTCAGTATCCCCAGAGGATAAGACCGTACGGTATCAACATTTGTCAAGACAAAGAGATATTAACCAAGTATAGTCCCGATCCATACGGATATTTACTCGGTACAAGCAATTCGAGAGCAACTCTATTTCAAGGTACAAGTGGTTCCGGAAGATATTTGAATACCTATATCAACATGGTCGGCAGTTCCTACCAATTGAACAGCTCATCTTCCTTGCTTTTTGGTAATGCGGTAATGAAAGGACAAGTAATTTCATGTATAGATCCTGCACCTTTTGATTTTAATAATCAAACTATGGTCTCTGTAAATTATATGGCGCTACCAAATCAACCATATACTTTATTGGATGTCAATGCACCTAGTAGTAATATTATAGGATTCACTTCAATCTCGGGATTCAACACTTATATCAATTTCTATAGAGGTATCGCAGGTTCTTCTTATCGATCGTTATTGATTCAGACAGCTAGTCAGCTTCCAATCTATATACATATCGATAGTTCAAGTCATGCCTACACCATGCCAACTACTCCAGATGTCAGTATCACTTTCACGACTCCAGTCTTTACAACCACTTCCGATCCAACCACTACTATCTACCCACATTCTGTGTTTGCCGAACTATCAGAGACTGTCGCAGTGAAATGTAGTTTTTCGTTTTTAAATGGTTCTGAACGGTTGGTATCTGAAATTAGATTCTACGATGAATCGATCCTCAATTTACTGTATATTGGCAAAGATGATTTCAAAAAGAGTCCAAACTTTGAAGGTATTCTCAATATTCCAATTGGTTATTCTCTAGGTCCATACTATTTCACCATAGATATTGTTACATACAGTGGATCTACGAGACAATTAAGTGGTTCAGTTAATCTTTACCCAAAGTTCTCAGTTGTCCAAGGTGAAGTTAATCATGGCTATGATTTGCTCCACAAGAATCTGTTATCAAACTACACATCGATACCATTTGTATGGAGTCCAGCCAAGTTGGATATCTATCAATTGTTGCTCAACCAGACCATACAATCAAGATACTCTTTTTCATTCCCATACGGTTTCTATGGAAATAAAATCCAAGGTTCATCAGTCATTCCACTTCCAATGCCATTCGATACTCCAAGAGCAGATCTTCAATACAAAGTTACAACTTATAGTTCTTCCACTCTTTCCGTTTTTACCAATAACCTTAATTCTACAGCAATTCGTAAGATCTAGATTATATTAAACTAACTACAAAAATATATATACTAACCAACTTACTTACTAATTACTTCTAATTATTAGTTACCGATTGTTTGAATCCAATTGTTAATGTTGAAATATTAGAACCATCTAAAAATATTGATAGATATAGATTTTTAGTAAATGTTACCGATAACAAGTTGGGAATAAGGGAGAGTTTTTGTAATATATTATTTGGTCCTTATAGCTACACTCTTAATTCATCGAATAGAATTTCAGGAAATGCTGTAGTAGGTCAATATATAGTTAGCTCTGATTATTCAGCAGCATACAGATGTTCTACTCCAATTGTAATGGGATGTTATGATATTAGAAATAATTATTTCGTTGCTCAGACCGACCAGATGTGTGGAGACGTACCTTGCACTGACTTTGGAATTGTAAAGCCGTCGCTCGCTTGTGATTCCAGTATGGATCCCATTTACTTTACTAGACTCTCTTATTTCAGCTACGACTATTTCGATGCTGGAACTATCACTTTCACCATTGCCATCTCAGGTGTCGTACAATCCAAGTTCTCTGGTAATGCAACACTATATTTCTATGAAGATGAAGCCAATACCATTCCATTCTCCTATATTCCAAATGGTGTTGCATTGACAGCAAGTCAAAATACTCAACCAACCTCTAGTTCCAACATCTTGGTATCCAACCCCGTAGCTTTACCACTTCTTCCCAGAACCAAAACCATTTACTTTGGATTGAAATATGCAATTTCTTCAACAGGTCCATCTTTTACTTTGAAAACCAAAGATATCGATTACTTTGCCAAACAAGTTTCACAACTTTATCCAATTTCAAAGATTGTGATTAGAAATTCAAGTAAGTAACAAATTATAATAATATAAATAATATTAACTTAAAATAACTTTTTTTTTACTTTTTCTAAATTATTAGATTATCAACCACTTCCCAGTATAAAGATGGTTGCTACACAACAAAATCCATCAATTACAGCTCTTTATACAACTGGTAATTTCAGTTTAATTAGAAATGCTACATTTGTTTATGTTGATGACTACATCATTTATCCAAAATACTTGTATTATTTCAAAAACGACATTGCAAACATATTCACAATACAGCTTGGATCGGTTAGTGCTGGCAATAATTTTATTTTATATTGTCAGTCGATGTGTGATCTCTATGACAACTGTCAAACATTCCCAAAGTATACTTATTTCACAAGTATCACCAATGCCACAGCACAATCGAAAGCATCAACCTATCCAACCATTCAGCAATTCACTATAAATACACCCAACCAAATATTGGATGTCAGTCAACTTACCAATCAATTCTCATACACTTTTACATTCACCACAACAACCGACTTGAATCCAACCTATCAAGGTCAATCAGCCAAGCTCTATATCACAGAGAACGACTCTTACGATTCAATAGAAGCACTCTTACCTCTTCCTACTAAATCTGGTGATACCTATGTATATAATGGATTTTTCACATTGCCTTATAGTTGGGGTCTTCGAGGTGTGAAAATATCGGCATGGGGTTTCATTGACACCAACCTGAATGCCTTTGGATTTGACAGTCTGAAACCCTCTGTTATAGTTACAATCAGCAACAACACTGCTATTACATCTGCAGTGATAGATTTACAATCAAACTCAATCAAAGTAACAGGATCCAATTTATATTATTCAATCTATAAATTCCAAGGTGTTCCAATCACTCCAATCTTTGAGAATAGTTATACTATTCATTTACCATTGACCGGTATCACCTATAGTACAGATAAATTCCATTATCTTGAATTTAATAATGAATTCTATAGATTAACTACACTATGTAAGTAAAATAATTAAAAATTTAATTTGTAATTTCTGACTAACAAAGTTCCATTTTAAAAAGCTTGTCCAATGAATTGCAGTGGAAATGGTGATTGTTTAGTAAATCAATGTGTTTGTAAAGATGGATTCCAAGGATTGGATTGTTCGATTAGCTCTACATTTACATGTAAAGATAATTGTACGAATAGAGGTGATTGTATTGACCAGTTGTGTCAGTGTAATAGCGGATACTCTGGTGCTTCCTGTGAGATTGATAACACCCAAACAAAGATAGATATGAAGTTGACAGAGGTAGCTGCTCAGACTACTCTGACCAACTTTAACATTACTACTTTGAATTCGAGTCAAGTCCTTACAGAACAATCACGTTCAACCACTTACAACATCTCGATCTATGCAATCAACGAAAAGAATTCAGACGATGATGTGGTTGCTTCTTTGGATTTGAAATGGCAATTGGTGTCATCGCCTTCAGAGAATTCAACACTCTATAATCTAATGAATGCTCCGAATTCATCGATCATTTCGGTTAGAATCGATAAGTATATGGAGGGAGGCTCAACGGTTTGGGCCAATCAAACAATGAAATTCCCAGCTGCAGCCATTAAGTATACTGTGAATATCACTGGTTATCAAATGCAAGGACCACTCAATTTCTTGGAGGTGGTATTCTCAACCGTTTCCTACGGAGAGTGTTCAGTGGTACAGGACAATAAGATTTCATGGGGTGCAGCATCACTCGATGATATGCATTACTTTGTAATTCCACAACACCAGATGCAATGTTACGGTCGTTTCCCTAATAGCTTGATAGTCGACGGTAGAATTACATCGACATCCAACAAGATCATACAGAAATCAGAACCAGTTTTAATTGCATCACGTATTCCATATTTCCAGAACAGTGCAATAATAGATCCAGATTTTTCAGTCCTGGTAAATTACGACCAAGAGAATGAAGGTGATGGTGGATGTGGTGGTGGCGGATCCAGTAGAAAGCCTTATGTAATTCCATTGATAGTAGTTGGATGCGTCATATTTGTAACAATAGCAGTTGTTTTTGCTGTAGTATTACTTAAGAAAAACATGTACATTAGAGAAAGAATAGCAGCAATCAAATCGAAATCAATTAAAATGAGTAAAAGAACCAATTAAATAAAATTTTGTAATAATAGAAATTATTAATTAAAATTTTATTTGTTTGTTAACTATTACATATTATTTGAGATGATCCATTTGTTGTAATTTTACATTGTGTATCTATAAGGATATGCTGTTGGTTTGAAGGTTGACCTGTACAATCTTGATTTTCAAATTTCGAGATTGTTAATTCGGTAGAGTTGCATTGTACAACGGCACTATTTGTACATATGCCAATGGTTTTAAGTTCAACATAATAAGGATCATTCTGACATGTTGAATTGAAATAGTTGCTACTTCCAACGGTCGATGGTATGTCTGTAGGTAATTGTTCGATACATGAAAAGCCAGTCAAACTATTACAACCAAGTTGAAATTTCATAGTGGAAGGTGAACCTTCACATTCTGTATTGTTATAATTCGAAAGTGAAGCTATATTTGTCTGAGAGTTACACGTTGCCAAGATGCCTTGAAAACATTGATTCGTTTGATAGAATACTGAAGTAAGAACAATGCCACTACACGAAGGTTGATCGAATTGCTGAACAAGTAAATAGTTATCAACTGAACAACCAGATTCTAATATTAATAAAGTTAAACTAAATAATATTATTAAATATTTGTTCATTTTGTAGAAAAAACAAGCAAAATGATCACAAAAAAAAAAAAAAAGGTGTGCGATTCCTTGTTTCTAGAAAAACAAAAATATTTTTATTTTTATAGATGGAAACTAGTATTATTAATAAATCAAATAGATTAGTAAATTTATCATTTCTTTTATTATCAAAGATTATCAATTATTTAAAAGATAATGTAGATAGAATAGTGTTTACATTAGTCTGTAAAAGATGGTTCGATGAAAGACATAGATATCTAACTTTCAACTTTTAATACTGATCATTTTCAAAGACCGCTCAAAGTAGAAGAAAAAGATAATATGTTTTTGAATTCATTTAAATCAATATACATAGATTCGATCAATAGAAAGAACAATTATTGTCTTTTCGTTGAAAAATTAGTTGTTCGCAATAAAGTTTTTGCTATTTCAACATGTAAGATATTTTAATAGATATAACCATTGGTCTACAATACTAACCTATCAACAAATATTACATTAGTGCAGCTAAGAGAAATGAATGAGATTCCTCCGATTGTCAGTTCAATTTTTCTCAATGTTGATGATTCAGATTTAGAGCCAATCTACCAATTAATATCACGATCTAACATCACCAAGCTAGACAATTGTCAATCGCTAAGATATATCTTACCAGAGAGTTTGACTTCTCTATCATTCAGATATGATTTTAATGAACCATTATCAATTCGCTATCCACCGCCACATTTGAAATCTCTAAACTTGGAGCTGACATATTTCGATAAGCCAATCAAAGAAGGTGATCTTCCAAAAACACTGGAGAGATTGAAACTCGGATATTCTTTTAATCAACCATTTGAGCCAGGTGTATTACCACCATCGTTGAAAATTCTAAAATACCAAGGTAATCATGCTCTTAGAGTTGGATCATTACCTCCAAATCTAAAGAAATTCAAGTATTATGGTAATGACATACACTAATCGAGGATGGAGCATTGCCATTGACATTACATACATTGAGAGCATCAGTATTATGGCTACCATCAATCAAATCATTGTCAAATCTTAAATCACTATCAATTTTCAATGGTTTTCAAACAATTGATACAAGTTACCTTCCATCCTCACTCACAAGACTCAAAATTGCGACAGGAAGATTAAAATCAAAGATTCCATCTATGAAAAATATCTGTTCAATTATAGCAACATATGATATAGACGAGATATTCAAAGATCGATCACAATATCAATTTGAATATCTAAAGGTTATTTCATCCAATCAAGAATCACTTGGTTTGAAAATGAAGCATTTGGAGATATCCATTTACGGAGATAAAACAGAAAACGTTAGAGGTCTTCCTGATGGAATAGAAACACTTACCATTGGAACTGATTATAGAGATTCATTGGTTATCGATGATATTCCTCCATCAGTTCGAAAATTAGTTATTCATTCTTTGGATTTCTTTAAAAAAAAAGAGAAAATTGAAGAAATTCTACCAAATTCATTACAAGAATTAGTTATTCTCCATTCTGGTATTATTAGTACAAAAGGCAACTTTGACAGTGATATTCTACCAGAATCACTCCAGTCGTTGACTCTACCATCAATTCAACTTCCCCAACCTCGAATCCCAAAAAATCTTGTTATGATACCATCTGGAGAAAACAATCTTTGGTTAAGAACTCTTGACGATCATCATTATCTCTTTTTCACTGAACATCCAAACTTTATATCAGCTATTGTTGATGAATTACAAATTCCAAAAATATTTGCTTTATATAAATCATTTAAAATGATATCAAAATAAATACATGCTTAAGAAACAACTAATTAGTTTTTTTTAAAATAATTCGAACAATTATTTAAAGATCAAATCGATTTGAACTTTTCCATGCATATTTTAAAGATGATATCATTCAACAACCAGAACTTTCAGCAGAGATCAAGAATCATTAGTTTCATAGTTGCTTTTTTAGTCGATGTTGTTGAGAAGATAAAGTTGCAGATACTTGTTTAATTGAGTGTGTGTGGTGTGTGTGTGTGGGTGTGTGTTAGTGTGTGAGTCCAGTTTAAACAAAAAATAGCTTTTTTGGTACACAAGTGTATATCAGGATAAGTGCTACAAAATTATTAAACAATATGCGCGCATTGAGGTTTTTATTTCAAAAAAGAAGACGCCCAATGTGGGGCTCGAACCCACGACCACACGGTTAAGAGCCGTGCGCTCTACCGACTGAGCTAACCGGGCGCTGATGATAAAAATTTTAATTTTTAATTTTATAAAACTTTGAAATTTTATATCTTTTTTTTATTTTAGTTCTTTGTTGAAAATTTATATTGATAAATAAATCCAATTTTTTTAACATTGTAATAATTTTTTATTAAAATTAAAATTAAGTTAACTTTAAATATTTCATTTTTTTTTCTGTTTACTTTCTTTATTATAATAATGAAAGATAAAGATAAACAAAATTTATTTATTAAAATATTTAGAATACATTTTTTGAGAGATAAGATATTTGAATGTATCGAATCGATTGGGCAAACAGATTCAACCTCAATCAAAGGTAGACATCTCATTGAGCAACAATCAATAAATCTTGCCATTAGATATGGAATTACAGCACTCTTCAAATCATTAATCAACGATAACCTAAAGTTGTTCATGGAAGTTTCAGGGATCGTACAGATGGCACCTCCAATTATACCTCAAGACATAAGCAATACCGTGAACGTTGATACCAATTGGTTCATGACAGGTTTCGATCAATTCATAGTTTCCCAACTTTCTTTCACCATTGAAAAGAAACAATTTGCAATGACCGAGTTCCTATTGGATAGGTTTCCTACTTTGAAGATCGATTGTATGCCACATTCCAACCTGGTGGAGAGTGGTAACATCTCGATGCTATTTAAATACCTCGATAAATACTCTGCCTTTTACAATGGAAGTAGGAGTTTGAAATTCAGTATGAATGTAAGCATCGAGGATCAACTGGATATGGGAGAGCCGCTTCACACTCTCTTACCAATGGTTATGAGACACGGTGATTATGAACTAGCGAAAACTCTTGTCGATAGATATTTCAGCCAGAGCAACAGCGAGAGAGTCATTAAGCGATTGTATAGCGAAATGAGTGGAACTGTTCGATTCGAGATATTCAAATTGTATCATCAGAGAAACCTGTTGGATCCAGCACATTTCCAGCTGCATTTGAAAGGTGCTCTAGAAAGTCGAAACTTTGAAATAGTTGAATACATGAATCAATGTCATATGTTTGGAAATCTTAGGAATAATAATATAGAATGTATATTATTGTTTTGTGATTTACAATTAATTAAAAAGATATTCCCAATGAATACAACCGAGAGATATCATATAAGATCTGTATATATACTGGCCAGAGAACAATTGGATTTGGAGTTTTTCTTGTATTTTCATCGGTATGACAACACCATCTTCCAAGACAACAATAAACTCTTGATTCATCTACTATCGAATCCAAACAGTAAGGAGATTGTCGAATACATCTTTAGCAACACTGACCAATTCGTGAATAAAGGTTTTCAATGGTATATTCTATCAATTCATCCAACACTTCTTACACTGGGCTTATTAAAAACCTTGATGGAGCCAACCAACAAAGTTTCAAAACTAGTGGTTTTCGATTATAAATCAATACTTGGAGATGCTATTGCATGTGGTCGAAACGATCTAATAGATTATCTATTCTCTATACAAGGTGACTTGGTGTATCAACAGATAGAGATGAACTATCAATATGCTCTGAGCTGTGCAATTCATTATGGACGTGAAGAAGCAGTAGACTGGCTTCTTACTAATCACCTATCATCGATTGATTCAATACCAATACCAAGAGAGTCTGTCGATATAGATGATCATCTCTACCTATCTCTCTATGAAAAAGTTGGATACTCTGGATTGAGAATGCCCTACACAGTTTTGATTTCCAACAAACATCATCAGAATTTCAGAACGGTATTCAAACAACTTCACAGCCAGAAAGCTATTATCCTATCAAACGAGCAAAACAATAATACCTTCACGAATGACAAAATTGTCAAAAATGCCATGGAAACAGGATCGTTGGAATGGCTATACTTTATTCTATCGCTGACCGCCGGTTATTCTGTATACGGCAACTTCCTAAGCTATGGTTGTACATCGATTGAGATGCTCGATATTCTCATGGAACACCGTGCAGTAACCGCGGAATCTGCCCTGCATGCCTTCATCTACGCAAAGCGATACCCGATGATTCGTCACATCATTGAAAACTACCCGTCACCCGGCCCCCCACCGCTCTACCCGATCGAGGGGATCATGGGTTGTGGCAACCTCGAAATTTTCAAACTGGTACTAAGCAAACACCGAGCCAGACTATTGGAGTTCTTCAATAAGACCTACTGGAATTTTGCACATCCCAAGCTAGTTCCATACCTAATCGAAAACAATCTCTGGAAACACTTGAAGTATGTCGACGTATTGACTCGCGCCATCACCGATAACGAGCCAACCGTTGTCCGATGGCTGTACAACTATTTCTCCACAAACAACATCGAATTGGCATCGGTATCTAAAAACTCTGTACAATACACACTGGAGAACAATATTTTCGAAGGCATCGAATACCTCTTTGATCCACGCTACAAACTGTTCACCTATAACCATCAATACACCATCCAACTACTAAATGAATCATATCGTATTGGCCACATCATACCAATGACTAAACTACTAAATTATCTAAAACAACAACAAGAACAACAACAATCACAATCACAACCACATCTTCAAGCAATAAGACAACTATCTATTTAATGATCGTTTTTGTATAAAAAAAAAAAAAAAGTGATCATTTTTCATTTTTTTTTTTTTTTTTTTCATTTTTTTTTAATCTGATCGTGTGTGTGATCATTAAGTAACATAACTGTCAGTTTTGTTAATATATTAGTCATATCTAAATATCATTGTATTATACATAATCACCTAAAATAAAAATAAAAATATGACATCAACAATAGCACCTGTAACTAAAAGTAAACAATCTTTTTTTATTTAAACTAGTTATTTTAAGAGACTAAAATAATAATTAAATTTATATAGAAGTAACACAGTATTTTCACCCGGTGATTGCGTTGATCGGATTGAAACTACCAGCAGATCTATCAAAGAATCCAAGAAAAGTACAATGGAGCGATCAGAGACCACAGATTCATAACTTGATGTTTGCGCTACACTATCCACAGTCAGATGTTTGCAAGCAGTTTGAGAAGCATTTCAATCTGTCGGCTACCGATTTAAGCGAGTTGAAAGAGAAACTGAAACCACTACAGATCATTAGAAGAACTTTTGAATATGGATCGACACATCGTCGTGACTACTGGGCATTCTACCAGACCAAAATCATACCAGGCACCCCAAAAACAGCGGCACTCTTTACATTACGTGAAGAAAAAGTAGATCAAATGGTACAGATAATGCAAGATTGGGTAAAAGATAAGAAACTAGACATACACATTCCATTCTCGAAACCATATCTCTGGACATTCGAAGTGGAGCACGATTCTCGTGTCATAGATATTCCAGTAAGAGATACACCTTTCTTTAGATCAAGACCAAAACCAAGCGAAACATCATCATCATCATTATCATCATCAGGTGAATCAAATAATATTGAATTATAGATAGATAGATAGATAGATAGAGAGATAAATAAAAAGATAGACAGATATAGGTTATAATATAGTATAGTATAATAAATTATAAGATATATATATGAAAAAAAATAAATAAAAAAAAATAAAAAAGTTTATAATAATTATCATTGGTTGTTGTTAATACTACTTTCTTTCTTTCTTTTGTGTATCTTTAAACTTTATCAATATGAGAAACCGATTTACAGAGTGAACCCATGTAGAATGTCAGTTGTGGTTAGTGCATAGGGTGCCAATTACATCGCTTCGAGCCTAGACGACTACTTCCACTTGAGAGAGCCACCGATAGAATGCGCCTTCTTTAAAGCAGCAGTGATGTTGCCACCTGCCGAACACATATCGTTATCCTTCAACATGATCATCGATGAGATTCATGCGATACATGGCATATTTCTCAACCAAACGGAATCCAGGTGTAGTAATACATATAGGTGTGAACCATAAGCATAATCTTTTAAACTAAATTTGGTTTATCTAATATTCTTTCATCCGAAAAGATCTTTGAGCAATCAATATACTGATGTTTAATTATTATTTAATTTTTGATTTTTTTTTTTTTTTTAAATTGAAAATACAAAGCTTATATCATGATCTATAAATAGGAATACGACTCTTGAATATGTATTCATGATATTAAATCAATAAAAATAGTTTTAATTAAAAACTCAAATAATAAATAAATTTTTTTTAAAATTAATGCACAGGCGAAAGTTGTTGGGAGCCAGTTTTGTTTTGAGTTGTTCTTAAAATTAAATCAATAAAAATAGTTTTAATTAAAAACTCAAATAATAAATAAATTAGATTCTAATGAGTAGTAGATTCCTTTAATTTTTTTTATTTAAATGTTGTTATCTTTATTTAATTTTTAAATTAAAGAGTGCTATATCCTTGAGACCAAATAAATACTCCAAATTGGTCATATACTACCATTTCAGGCATTGAGGTAAGAAGTAAAAAGGTTTTACCATTGGGGAATGCTGGATTAGTTTGAATACTATATGTTTCTATCATTATCTTGGCATTGTTTGAACAATACATTGTTGAATCATAGTATACTTGATATATTGAATAAGTGCTAGTTGTCCAAAAATTTTTACAAAGTTGAAGATTTGCTGGTGATTCTTGAATGATTTGGTTTGAAAATACATTTTTAAGAGAATATTTGTATTGAGAGATTTGTAAACTTAGGAATCTACTTTGATATAGATCATATACATCTGGTTGAAGTGCATAGTTTCCAGGAGTTTTTGAATTTCCAAAATATCCAAATGTCAATGATCCTGTTGCTGAACGCAATACAATTGCCCAATCTGTTGATTTATCACTTCCTGGTGCTGGAAGTTGAAGATATCGAGATGATTCAAAACTTGGTGTGTTTTTAGTAAAAAAGGTTCCGCATATCATACTTTTTTGAAAAGTGTTGACCAAACATAATGAGGTTGTTTTGTCACCCATGTAATGAACATAAATTCTGAGATCTTCTTTGAATACTTCTGGATATTCATATTTCCAGAGAGCAGTTTGTCCTAAATAATTTGGATTTTGCGGATATAAATATGCACCAAAGGAATCACCAGAAGCTGTTTTCCTAACCGTTAAATATTCTCTTCCATTGGTTATGAATTGATTGACTCCAACATAATTATTTGTGGTGTCAATATCGTCAATGAATGAACCTGGAATCAATGCAATCCTGAATGATGTTGAATATCCTAATTTCGACCAAATCATCTTGTTTTGATTGTTTTGAACGATCATTCCATATTGTAAACCATAAAGATTATTATCAAGAAGATTGAGATATTGACCTCCAAGATTCCAACATCCAATTGCTGCATAAGTTCCAGTATTACCTTTCAAAACAACATTTCCATCTGATTGAATTGTAATTGAATATGGTCCTGTTGAAGATGTTACACCCAATGAATATACTTCAGAACCTCCCGGATTTAAGTGATAAATATCCATTTCCTTGAGAGTTGATTGTGAGTGATGAACTTGATGTCTTGAGTGATCTACCTTCTGGAAGTGTTGTTGGACATTTCAATCCAAGTGAATCTAAACATGCACCTGGGAACAATGGAATTGATTTCGAACTTTCAACTAAAACTGAACTTGGCTATATGAATTATTATTTGAGATATTAATAAATAATGATAAAATGAAAGTAGTATGAAAGAAACAACTTACATATTTCCAAATTTGATTTTGATTCAAAGGATTACATGTTTTGAATTCAACAATATTTGAGACAGTATTGAGTTGAAGACAAAGTGAAGAAATATATTCTTGAATTGTGTATCGTCCATTTGTCATTTGATTAATAAAAATATTAAAATTGTTTTGTGGTATTGATGTTGTTCCAATCAATGTTGTTGTTTGACTGTTCAAATACATCATTGTTTGTGGATTGTAAAGATGTGGTCCAAATGAATCATATTTCAAATACCAAAATTGTTGAAGATTCGATTGATCACATGTTGAAAGTGTTACTGATGATCCAGATGTTGTTGGTGCTGTTAAGCATTTCTGTGATCCAACATTTTGAATCATCTTATATTCCAAATCTGGATATGAAAGGAATGATGGTGTTGAATCACTTGATGTATACCAATCAATACCTTCATTTATCCAACCTGGTAAATTTGGAATAATTGAATATCCATAAACTAATCCTGATCCAAGCGATGGAATTTGAGTTCTTGAATATCTGTAAACCGGTTTGACAGATGGAGAAGGAATATCAATATTTGATCCATATATTTGGAAAGCAACACTATCATACACCCAACCACTTGAAGTGAATGAACTATCGGTTGTATAATAGAATCTATCACCATTTGATTGAGTGAATTTGAATCGATAAACAAGTGTTTTCTGAGGATCAGTGGCTGTTGTTGGATTTATAAATAATGACCATGGAACTTGGAATGCTTTGAATGAATATCCTCCAAATGACCATCCAATATTTGAAGATGAAGTAATACTTTGAGTAAAATCAATTACTCCAGATGAAGCACCATTATTGGAAGTTGAACTTTTATCAATGAAATTATTGTCAAATGGCCAATAACCAATCAATCCAAATTCATTTCCACCAATCATTTTCTTCATTGAATAAATAATTTGTATTTGAGAGAGTGAAACATTCCATAATGTGACATCATCGATTGATCCATCAAAGTGTGGCTCAGTTATATTATAATTTGCACCAATTAATAAAGGATTGTTTGAAGTAGCACTCATAAAATAATTTTGTATTTGGAATGATACAAGTTTTACAGCATCCAACCATACTTCTATTTCATTAGAAGTTTGAGATAATCTTCTAACAACGGCAACATGGTGCCAATTTCCATCTAGTATTTGTGTTGGTTGTGTTGTTGCTCTGGAAGATGAAGAACCATCTTCAATTGTAAAAATTATTACACCTTTTGTATTGATAACTATTCTCCATCCACCACCTCCAGCTTCAGGTTTCTTGGACATAATTGTTCCCGGTACAGTTGTTCTTACTAAAGATGTTGCTGAAAACTCCAAGTGTTTAAAATCATAAACACTTTTATTAGGAATATTGATTTGACTTGTTGGTCCAATATTAGCTGCTAAATCAGTTATTGGTGCACTCGGAAAACTTTAATTTTATCGATAAAAACAAATAATTTAATAAGTCGACATGAATATATTATTTAATTTTAAAAATACTTACTCGTAAAGATATCTAGATTCTCCATTCAATTCTTGATAATAATATTGTGAGACTGAGGATAATGAAGATTGAACTGGGTAACGGACATCAACATCATCATATGAAAATACAAGACCATTATTATATAATGCTCCATCAATATCAATAAGACATTGACCTGGATTCGATGACTGATATGTGATAGCATTGGAATTTATTGTTCCAAATAAAGTTTGAATTGTTGAATCAACATATTTAAATGATATTCCAATAGGAAAAACACCAAAATCAGGAATGGAAGTTGTTGAAACTGAGACTGACACAATTGGGACTTGTCTTAAATCATAAGTTTCCTGCGATGAAATTACAGCTATACCTCCAATATTCTTTGTTGATCCATCACTGTATTCTATTTTGAGTGCCATTATTATTTTTGATTGGAAGTATGAAGTGACTTTTGTTATAGTTTTTGTAGTTGTAGGGGTGTCAGTTGTTATTTGATCAACAACTGCATTCTTGATTGTCTCCAAGTTACCAGGTATCGTATCTTTAGCATCTACCTTAGTATGTCTATTTAGTGATAACAATGTTAAAACAAATAAATAAAAAATAAGATTTTTATATTTCATTGTTTGTGTTTTTTGATCTGATCTCAAACTGAAAGCTCATATTTATAGTTGACTCATTGGTTTTGAGGGAAATGACGAGTCAACTTTATCCCTTTGTTACCTTTCACACTTTCAACGAAATACTACGTGGCTGAATAAGTAAAATATTTTAGAGTATTTATAGTTGATAACTCCTTCTTGAAGGAAGTACCATTTATATTGAGGGACCTTACCCACTTTCAACTAAATGCTACGTAGCTGAATAATCATTTTTCACCCTTGAGAATACAACATTCTACCCTCCTTATCTATTGTTTTTTTTAATTTTCCTAATCTTGTATTAGGAGGTAAAAAATCAATCAATTTTAATTTCAACCAAAGAAAACATTCTTAAATCCAGATTACTTAAAATTAAAATTCATTTGACCCCCTTTTTTAGAAAGTACTGAATTTACTGTAGATAAGAAAATTTATTTTAAAATTATAATCTCATCGATCAAGATCTATTATTCAAATATTTTATTTTTATTTTTTTTTAAGGATTTTTCCATGAAACTGTTGTATTAACAATTTTTGTCACTGACCAAATCCATAAATATCTTGCCAGGTGGTTTATTCAAAAACAAAAAAAATTTGTTGGATTGGGATGATTTATTTTTTAATATTAAAATAAAAATATTAATAAATTATTAATAAGTAAATAATAAAAAAAATAAAAGAAATTTTATTTAACAATAATTATGATATGAATATAATTATGGTGTTGAATCATATGTTGTATACCAAGCAATACCTTTAGCTTCTATGTTTGTGTGTAGATTTGGTAATAATAATGTTACAACAAATAAAATAAATAAAAGATTTGTGTATTTCATTGTCTGTCTGTATGTCTATTTGAACGGAATGCGCTCCATACGCAAAGGATTCTATAAATATGAAATTAAATGTTAATCATTGAGGAAGTGACTTTACAAGGAGAGAGACCTTACCTACTTTCAACGAAGTACTACGCGGTTGACTAAGTAAAATCCAATACTACTGATCGATAGTCCTTTACCTTAATTCCCTTTTTTCAATAGGTTAATGAAAATGAACGTGAGAATACCACCTCTGTTTAAAAATAAAATTCAAAAATATTAAAATTTTCAAATGATGTTTCATTTTTGGAACAAAATTTCCAAAACCTGTGGTGATCTTTTGTGGAAAAACCAAACACAAAAAAGGTCTACAAAAATCAACAACACAACTTTTGTGAAAAAAAAAAACAAATTTTAAATGAAAAAATTGGGTCAACAAAAAAATAATTTTTTGTGGCTCCTCGAATAAAAAAAAAAAAAAGAAATGCCACGTTTTTCGTTCGTAATATTTACTGATACGCAGTTCACTGTCAATCTTCGAATTAATACAAGAATATAATGCACAGCAATATTTTTAAAGGATAATAGAATCAGTGATTTAGTAATAAATATCTAGAGGTAAGAGGCACAACATAATAATCGATCAAATAAACCTATATTAACAAAAGAATCTATTTTATCAAACAGAGAAACCACTTCTTGTTAAAGAGTGAGAAAGAAAGAGCTATTACCAGAATATTGGAGAAGTTAGATCTACGGTGGTCTATAGTTTAAACTACGTATTCGTAGCGCCGATCCTGCTACTCATTTCCCATAGCTCAGTGCATGTCTCACCACAGATCCGTTACTATGCATGTCCTTCCTACATAAACAATGATAAAGCCGGACGCAACATATACCAGGTTAGCGATTTGTGCTCATGTATTGGAAGGCGCTTCGTTCTTACGTGTAGCATCATCCGATGACAGTACGATTGGTACAACATCCTGTGTTCACAATAGCAACATCACAAACGACAGACTCTTTAATAACTTCCACTAGTAACAATACAGCACGGCATCGACAGGTAGATTTAGCGACAGCAAGCATTGGTGGCAACATGTTGTCGAGTATGACGACATCGGCAGCGACTTCCATCGCTTCGACATCCTCGTCTTCAGTACGACACTCCACTTCCACCTTGAGAGAGAGAATCCACCAATAGAACACGCACCATCTTACTGCAGCAGTGATGTTACCACCTGCCGACCAAACATGGTTATCCTTCAACATCATCGATGAGAGATCCATACGATGACCGTCGCAACCACCGACCAACATGGCATACTTCTCAACCAAATGGAACCCAGGTGTTGTCTTTCTCCGGCTACTTTTCCGTGCCACTTGAAGGCATCTACAATACCACACATATCCGAAACACATGTAGTAATACCACTCGATCTCAGCAGTATATTTAAAGACAAAAGTTCACCTGGCACCTCTAACCTCTGCTAATACAACAGGTCCATTTACAGGATTGAATTCTTCACCATCTTTAATATTCCATTTTACACTGAAATAAAAATAAATTGAAATTAACATTGAATAAAGTAATTATAGCAAAAGTGTGATTAATATTTTTATTCTTAGGTGCACCTTTGAAATTCAAACAACTTTTAATAGATTGATACCAAATTTATTTTATTCTTCTTTTATATATTCGTTTAAAGTAGTAAAGTTTATTTATGATGTACTTAAATAGTACTGTATCCTTGAGACCAAATGTATTTTCCGTCTTTGCTATACACAACTATTTCAGGCATTGAGGTAAGAAGTAAGAAAGTTTTGTCATATGGTTCTGCATTATTTAGTAGATTACCTGAATCAATCATATATACTAAGTTGTTATTGGTAGTACAAAATTGAACACCATCGATTAATCTATCATAGATAATTTGAAAAACTCCGAATCTCCAAAGTGATTCACTTTGACAAAAAATAACATTTGGTGGTGATTGTTGAATGATTTGATTTGAAAATAAATTCTTAACTGAATATTCTTCATTTTCTATTTGCATGCTTAAGAATCTACTTTCATATTGATACTCATAGTTCGGTTGGGTTGCATAGTTATTAAATGCCTTGGAGTTTCCAAAATATCCATATGTCATTGATCCTGTTGCTGTACGATATACAATTGCCCAATCTGTTGGTTGATCACTTCCTGGTGCTGGAAGTTGGAGATATCGAGACGATTGAATGTTTGGTGAGTTCAAGATTCTAGTGGGATAGCAAACAGATGTTCCTGTTGATGAGTCGACGAAGCAAATACAGCCTGTACCGTAACGAACATACATTCTGAGATCTTCTTTGAATTCGGTAATTGATATTTCATCATATTTCCAGAGAACAGTTGATCCAGAATTTGGATTTCCACCATATAAATATACCCCATATCTATCACCAGATGGTGTCTTCTTGACAATCAAATAATCTCTTCCATTGGTGATGAATTGATTGACTCCAAGATAATTTGTTGGGGTATCGAGATGGTCAATGAATGAACCTGGAATCAATGCAATCCTGAATGATGTTGAATATCCTAATTTCGACCAAATCATCTTGTTTTGATTGTTTTGAACGATCATTCCATATTGTAAACCATAAAGATTATTATCAAGAAGATTGAGATATTGACCTCCAAGATTCCAACATCCAATTGCTGCATAAGTTCCAGTATTACCTTTCAAAACAACATTTCCATCTGATTGAATTGTAATTGAATATGGTCCTGTTGAAGATGTTACACCCAATGAATATACTTCAGAACCTCCGGATTTAAGTGATAAATATCCATTTCCTTGAGAGTTGATTGTGAGTGATGAACTTGATGTCTTGAGTGATCTACCTTCTGGAAGTGTTGTTGGACATTTCAATCCAAGTGAATCTAAACATGCACCTGGGAACAATGGAATTGATTTCGAACTTTCAACTAAAACTGAACTTGGCTATATGAATTATTATTTGAGAAAATAATTAATACATTATTAATAATACAATAATAATTTTTAAAACCACTTACATATTTCCATATTTGATTTTGATTTGATGAATCACAAGTTTTGAATTCAACTATATTTGAAACAGTATTGAGTTGAAGACATAATGAAGTAATATATTCTTGAATTGTGTATTGTCCATTTGTTAATTGATTGAGAATATAAAAATTGTTTTGAGGAAAATATGTTATTCCTATTAATGTTGTTGCTTGTCTGTCCATATACATCATTGTTTGTGGATTGTAAAGATGTGGTCCAAATGAATCATATTTCAAATACCAGAATTGTTGAAGATTCGATTGATCACATGTTGAAAGTGTTACTGATGATGCAAATGTTGTTGGTGATGTCAAGCATTTCTGTGATCCAACATTTTGAATCATCTTATATTCAAGATCTTGATATGAAAGGAATGATGGTGTTGAATCACTTGTTGTTTTCCAAACAATACCTTCATTTATCCAACCTGGTAAATTTGGAATAATTGAATATCCATACACTAATCCTGATCCAAGCGATGGAATTTGAGTTCTTGAATATCTGTAAACTGGTTTGGTAGAAGGTATTACAGAATTTGGTGGATATACTTTGAAAGCAATACCATCGTTCACCCAACCACTTGAAGTGAATGAACTATCGGTTGTATAATAGAATCTATCACCATTTGATTGAGTGAATTTGAATCGATAAACAAGTACTTTCTCAGTATCAGTTGATGTTGTTGGATTCATAATTACAGACCATGGAACTTGGAATGCTATGAATGAATATCCTCCAAATGACCATCCAAAGTTTAATGATAATGTAAATGGAGTAAAATAAATAGCTCTAGATGCTCTAGCATCATTTACATTTGAACTCATATCTTTGAAATTATTGTCAAATGGCCAATATCCAACCAAACCTGGTTCATTTCCAACAATCTTTTTGTTCATTATTTTTGATATTTGTGTTTGGGTGAGTGCAATATTCCAAAATGATATATCATCGATAGATCCATCAAAGTGTGGTTCGGTCGGTTATATTATTATAATAATTTGCACCAATATATAGCATATTTAATGAATTAGCACTCAAATTGGAACCTGTTGTTGTTGTTGTGAGTTTAACAGCATCCAACCAAATTTCCAATTGACCATCGGATCTTCGAATAGCAGCAACAAGATGCCAATTTCCATCAAGTATTTGTGATGTTGATGAAGTTGATCTGTAAATACCAAATCCGTTGTCAATTGTGAAAACAATTACTCCATTTGTATTGATTACAATTCTCCATCCACCTTTGTTTGTACCTCCGGATGCAGGTTTATTTGTTATGATTGTTCCTGGTAATGTTGTTTGAACAAGAGATGTCACTGAGAATTCATTTGTTCCAAAATTATAAGCAACTGAGTTGTCAATCAGAATTTGACTAATTGGTCCGATAAATACTCCATAATCATTTGATTTAGGAATACTTTATTGATAAATTATAAAATATAAATAAAAATTTAATTAGTTAACATTAATGAATAATGTCATTATTAAAATAAATATACCTACTCGTATCGATATCTAAATTCACCATTTGATTCTTGATAATAATACTGTGGGACAGTAACTGGTGACGATGATGGAACTGGGTAACGGATATCAACATCGTCAAATGAAAATACAACAGGGTTTAAACCATTAATATCGACAAGACATTGACCTGGATTTGATGATTGATATGAGATCTCATCGACGGTTCCAATGGTCGCTGGAATTGTTGAATCAGCATATTTGAATGAGATTCCAAGACTCGAATTTCCAAAAACCGATACTAAAACAATTGGAACAGCTCTTAAAACTAAAGTTGTTTGTTGTGTTCCTGCTGCACTACCTACAAGCTTTGTTGATCCATCACTGTATTCAATGTTCAGTCCACTCAGGTGGTTAACACTATCAAAGTATGGTGTGATTTTTGACATGGTTTTGGGAGTTGTAGAATTGGTCACTCCTTCAACAATGGCATTCTTAAAGGTCTCCAAGCTATCAGGTATCGTTACTTGAGCATCTACCTTGGTATAAAGATTTAGAGATAACAATGTTACAACAAATAAAGTAAATAAAAGATTTGTGTATTTCATTGTATGGTGTATTTTGATATGATCTCCAAGATTTAAAATCTAAAGATTTAAAATCTAAAGATTTAAATTCATATTTATAGTTGACTCTTTGGTTTTGAGAGAAGCTATAATATCTCTTATTTTGATAGACTTGTCTATTTTCAACGAAATTCTACGTGGCTTACTAAATTTTTTTTTTCTCCTTTTTTTTGCACAACCACTTCTATTATTGGAAAGTAAAAATTTAAAACTCTAAAATTAATTATTTTTAGTTCTTTTGGTTTGTAGTGCCTCGAAAATGGCTGATGTGGTTCTCAAGAGCTGTTATTCTTTTTTTTTTTTTTATCATCGTGTTTATTGACTTTACTTTTAATATATTGTATTTGGTAATAGCACTTAAATTTAACAACTACAATAAACAATGATACAAAATAAAAGAAAGTATTTTTATAGTAAGAACCACACGATCATATAATATAGTTAGTAAATCTTTGCATTTTTAAGAGTGTACGAATAAGTAAATAAATAATATTAATATAAAACTACTTTGCAGTTAAATAACAATTAATTGTGTTATAACTTTGTCAATGATTGTTGAGGGTTTGCAAAAAAAAAAAAAAAAAAAAAAAAAAAAAAAAATAAGTAGATGATCTAACAAATGATGAAGAGATTGAAGTGTTGTATGGTGTTGTTCTTGATCTAATATTAAGAATCGAATAACCTTAATGTATATTAAACAAGTTCTTTGATAATTATATTTGTTTAAACATATTCTCTTGTAGTTATTGAAGAATGTTAAAATCAATTAAAACCCCACACCTGACCAGACATAGCAAAAATAGTATTCTGCAGTCGCCACAAACTTTTTTTCGTGCAAAAAAAAAAAAAAAGTGTGAACAGCAAGTGGTTCGCTATGTTGGTTTTTTTGTTTTTCTCACTAGCTTTAATTGACTTTTAACAGATGATTGTTATTATTATTGAATTGAATTGATGAATAAAATAATAAAAAAAGAAAATTGTAATTTAAATATATAACAATAATTTATATATAAATATTTATTTACTCTAGTGAAAGATTGAGAATATTTGATGGTTGTCCAGCAATAAAGACTTGAGCTGTATTTGGTAACTGATTTGAATAGGCACATTCGATATAACTGCTACTCTTGAAGGTCGTGCATGTCTGTATGTGGTTATCATAAACAAGTTTGACATAGGTTGTAGCTGCGTCGAATGTTACACCAAGGTCAACTGGAACAAAGTTTGTACCATAGAATAATAAGTTATTTTCATCACCAATCCTGTACTTGGAGATGGTTGGTGGAAGATAGGAAATGGTATCGTTTATTCCAAGATCAATCGATTGATCTGACACTGTTGCTGTAACACTCAGGTTTGCTCCTATACCAGGAGGAATGTAGCACTCTACAAAGTAATCGAATGCATTACAATCAATGTCGCTTGCTCCCACTGTGAACTCAACTTCTTCTGTTGAGATACCCCATCCATATCCAAAGATTTGAATCAATCCTCCCGAGGTTTTAACAAATGTATTGTTGAAAAGTGAAACGACTGGTGGAAGGTATGTGAACTGAGAGTTGACAGATTGATCTCCGGCTTGGATGACGAGTGGTTGGGTGAGTGTATCGAATTCCAGTGTAAAGGTAATCTCATCATTGGTGAAGTTGTTGATTTCAACGAGATCATCATCGATGTAGATGAGTGGTGGCAAGTCAGAGTCTTCAGGATTACCGAAACCATTACCCAGTACAATAATAACATCATTGGGATCACCAGAGCTCGGTGCGAAAGCGTTGATTTGAGGTCCGCTGAAACTGAATGATTGGGTCTCGAGAGTAGCGATTGTGTATCTTGAAGTTTGATCAGCAACAGATACAGTCACTGTACGATGGTCACCAATGGCAGATGGTGTAACACAAACAATTGAATCCGATGAAATACCAATGATTGGAGAACATTCAAGTCTCTCATCAATCATGATCTTGACTTTACTGACATCATCACCAAAGTTGGAACCGAAAATAGTCATGATATCAGTACCGTAGCTCTCAATAATATTTGGAGAGATATCGCTGATCGCTGGTGCATTGTATGAATAGAAGAATTTGGTTCTCTGAAGGTTGAATAAAGTTTGGTCGGTAAAGAGTTGAATCAAATGTTGAGTACCTGAACCCTTAGGAACTGTACACACTATTTGGTTGGAAGAGATAAGTGTAGTGGATTGACATTCATAGTCACCAACTGCAACAGTCATCGATGAATTGAATCTGATACCATTGAGAGTAATTATATTACCACCCACGGTTGGTCCGGTGGAGTTGCTGATGGATGTCACAACTGGTCCGATTCCTGTGCAAATAGAATCGAATCTTTTGGCTGTAAAATTACTCGACTTGACCATCTGGATATCACAGAGTTGTGTATTGACTGTTGCGATCAACATACCATCGACATCACTTGTGATGACACCATTGTAATTGGCTGGCTTTGGAAGATAATAAAATTCTAAATCTCCAATTGAAACTCTGCTTGCTGCTTCACTTATCATGATACTCTCGAGAACGAATGTAATTGAGACTATGGAAAGAGGTGATAACAATGTGTATCTACTACCGGTGGTACCAATCGTTTGGTATCCAAGATCTATTTGATGGCCATTCTGGTCACGATTGATTTCATCGATAAACTTAATCGGTTGATTGCTATGCTGATTGGTTGGATCCAATACCAATGTCTGAATTGCTTGGCTTTGACTACGTATGGTTATCCACTTGTCGATGGATATCTCCAACTTTTCCTGTTCATATGGAGTGAGTGAAGTGACACTGCTCTCATTCATTGTATTCATGTAGGAAAGCAGGAGTTGGTGAATACCCGAGTCCAATGATCTTTCGTCCTGAAGAAGTGGTGCTTGTGAATCGATTGGATCTTCGATCAACTCTTGTAATCTTCTCGATTGGAAGTTCATCGGGAAATTCATAAGGACGATACCATTATTAGCAACGACAGCTACCTTTGGTGCAGGTGGTTTAATAATGTAGTTATTGATGAGAATGGTCTTAAAGTTGATCTCTGTCTTGTATTGTTTCTTAACCAATTTGGCGAAACCATCCATTGATTGAACACCACTAATTTGGAAGGTCTTAATCATCAGCTTCATCAAGTAATCCACTGGAATAACATCGGCATTATCAACTCTATTAACTCTGGCACCATTACCATCAGCATAGGATGGACCCATCCAATCCCAAGCAGCTGCAGCTGATCTTCTTACAATCTTTTCCAAAGTTAAACCTGGTGGATCCATTGCCTTATCACTTTTCATTAAATATTAGTAATTAGTATTAGTATTTTTTCAAGAAAAAAACTTGTTAATAACATACTCTGTATAAGTTTCAATATTAGGGAAATTATCAAAAATATTATCAAAACATGGATCAAAGTTTGCATTCTTTCCAACAACTAAACTCTATAAATTATAAAAAAATAAAATTAACAATAATAAAAAACAATTAAATTATATGTTTAACTTACATTATAAAGTTTCTTTGAAATAGCTAAAATTACACCATTTGCCCAATTTGGACTGATGGCATTGATGTTGTATAATAGAGTTGCTTCATTCTGTGCACCAGCTTGGTAGTAGATGTATTGAAGTGTCATAAAGTAAGCAATTTCTTCTTGACACATATCTACTGTCAGTCTGATAATAAACGGTGGTTGGAAACGAGTTGTTAAAATGGTACCTGTGGTATCGATCATAAATTGGTAGTTCTTTCTCTTGGGATTTGGAAGTTTGGTCATGAATTCCGATACGAATTTGA